TTTATTGGAATGATGATTGTGTGTGTATTAGGTGCTTGAGTGACTTTGGTTGTATGGAATGATTTTGTTGTTTGTTTGTATATGTGATGTATGTAATTAGTTATTTTAATTATTTGATTTATTTATTTATTTTATTAAATGGATTGGACTTGGAAATGGATTAAAGGATTTGGTAGTGGGCTATATGGGAAGTCTTGGAGGATTTATAGGGTTTAGAGGTCCATGGATTTATGCATGAATATATATATATATATATATATATATATATATATATATATATAGGGATTATATATATATAGTAATTACATATATATATGACGTAAATACATATAATTATCATTATTGTTGGATTTGTTATATATATATATTAACTGGAATATATATATAAATATAGTAAGTATATATATACATCGTATATATGTACTTATTTATTCTGGAGGAGTATATATATATATGTATATATATATTATTTATATGTATATTACGTATATACATATGGGGAGTTGTCAGATTAGGATTAAGAGATTAGGTGTATGTGTATGTGTATAGATAGATATATATATATACCTATTGTGTAACCCTTGGAGGGGGGTTTTAACGTGAGGAAGAGGGGAGGCAAAGAGGGTCTGCCGAGAGAGAGAAAAGAGAGAAAGAGTTGCCAAAAAGGGAGAATCGAGGAAAAAGGAAAGAGAAAAAATTGAACCAAAGGAGAGGCTAGACCAAAGGGCAGTCGGAATTTCAGAACAGATCATAGAAGCTTGCGGCGTCAGTTTCGTTTTGAAACTTCAGGCAAGTTTTCTCTACATCTCCTCTTAGAACCCATGAGTTCTACACCTTGGGTATCATAATTTAGACTGTAAATTGCATGCTAATCACCTAGACATAGGGTTAAAAGCATGGAAGGAAACTGGTTGTATGTATATATATTTATATTATAATGTTTTTGGTTGTTTTGATTTGAATGAAATCATGTTAAATCATGTTTAGAATACGTATATGGATGCATAACTATGTATTAAATCGTCCTAGAATTTAATTAGGATTGTTCTTATACGAATTGGAAGTGAGACGGACAAGTTACAGAGGTTGGATGCTGTCGTCGCGACGAAGAAGACACTTCAGCCCAACTCAGCCGACTAAGTTGGGAACTTAGCTTGCTCAGTTGGGAACTCAGCTTGCTAAGTTGGGAACTCAGCCTGCTAAGTTGGACCACGACCTGGATGTTGGTTTTAATTGCCCAGGATTAGTTTTAAACTTATTTTAACTAATCTAAATAAGAATGATTAATTTAATAATAATTTAAAGGGAAGTTTTGAATGCTTATACGGCTATTGGTTTTGGAAACATGTCTAAACAATTCATTAAATTGTTCTATGAGATTTATCATGTGTTGACATGTTGTAATTGGGATGAAAATCTTAGAGGATTATTTTACATCTTTTTGTGTATGCTTGTATTGTACCTATGTTGCTTATTGTATGCTTTATTGTGCTTTTAATTTATACTTATGGGATATGGTTGATTTGGAGGCATGGATTATTTGCCAAGGTATAAATATTTTGTTATCAATTTTGTATGTAGAGAACATACTATTGGAGGCATGGATTATTTGCCAGAGATATAAATAAATTATCATTAACTAAGTATGGACAAGAACATACTATTGGAGGCATGGATTATTTGCCAAAGTTATGAATAAATTGTCATTAACTAAATATGGACAAGAACATACCATTAGAGGCATGGGTTATTTGTCAGGATATAATTGGAATGTCAATTGGTTAAGTATATATATTATACTTGTGGAGGCTTAGACGAGCTGCCAAAGCATAAATATAATGCTATAGGAATTAGATAATTAAATAAACATATATGGTTATGGTTATGTGAATATGAGGAAATAAAATGCTCCAAGGATTGAGCATGGCATTATTAATGGTTAATTAACCATTTGGATTAATTTTGGGAAAGTAGAGTTCCATGTGATGGAAACGGTGTATGTTAAGGATGGTCGTGTGTATATATATAAATCTATATATATATATTTATTAATTCACGGTTTGGGATTATAGAGATAGTAATTATTATTGGTGATTTTATGTATTATTACTTATCACTATTTATTGAAGGCTAAAATTGGAATTAGGATGGTTGTAGTTAGAGATGTGTTATTCATCGGTTTTCAGGGGCTTGTTAGAGGGAACTTGTTCGTGGGTTTTAACCTACCTTATTTTATTTTTCAGGTTCGTAGAAGTTCAAGTCTCAAGGTTGAGGATTCGTAGTTTGGAGGCTTATCCATCATCCACTCTCATTTATTTCAAAGTAGGATGTTGTTAAGTTATTTGACTTTAGTTTTACTTATAATTTTTGGATTAATGGATATTGGTTAAGGGGTCCTTAAACTATTGGATTCCCGAGTTGTAACCTTTGGAAGATTTTTTGTTAATGGAATTATTATTTATTAGTTTCTTCAGCCTTTTATTTATTCGTTATTATTCATCTTTGTATTCTGTACTTGCTAAATATTAATTGTTTTGATATCCCCTAGTTTTGTGTGCGGACTTGATCAACCCGTGTTCCGAAATTAGGGGTATCACATTTGACAAGATATCCTATTACAATCACTAGAGACTTATGCCATTAAGAATCTCGACAATATATATATATATATATATATATATATTGGATAAATTCAAAATTAATGATCTTTTAAGGTATGGTTTTCGAATATTGCCATTTTTAATATTATAATTTTCTAGTAGAGTTGGCCAGGTAGGGATGGCAACAGGACGGGGCGGGGTTTCCATTCCCCATCCCCATCCCCGATGAATTTTTCAATTCTCATCCCCACCCCCATCCTTACTTAAAATGTCGCCACCATCCCCATACCCGCCTCCGCCCCCGACTCCTTATCCTCGTCCCCGACCCTATAATTTTTTTATTAAAAAAAAAGACACATTTTTTTTCTTATTTTCATATATATACTAAATATAATTTAGTAATAAATTATTATATGTATGGGTATATTAGTAATTTTACACTTAATCGGGGCAGGTTTACTCCATCTCAGCCCCCGCCCCTGACCCCAACAGGAATTCATAATTTGTTGCCATCTTCATCCTTGTTTAGCTAAAAGGATTCCCATTCCCACTATAAACGGGGCGAAGCGGGACGGAGCCCTGGCAGGGATGGGGAATTTGCCATCCCTATGCTCATGGAAGAAGGAGGGTAAAGAAAATGAGAATAAACTATGATGTTTAAAAAATAAGATCGGTAAGAATGATTATAGGGATTGTTTTGTCATTTAATTTTACTTAAAATAAGGATAGAAAGCAAGAGGAGTTTTGTGGGAGGCTCAATAATCTCTCCCATTACAAAAATGTATTGTCAATTTAACTAAAGTAACAAAGCAAAATTACCAAATAAAAAGGTATATAGATTCATATCCGCTCCATTTATCAGGAATACATCGGATTCAGTAATTAATAATAAATTAAGCAAAAGCTAACAACAAAAAGAGCATAACAAGAAAAAATAATAATAATAAAATAGACTACCACACAGCCGAATGACATGCCTTAAAAGGATAACAACGAACTTTACACAATCTCCTCCTCTCTTTTTGCCACTCACTTTTTCACCGCAAGTATTCAATAAAAACGAATCAATATAAAAAAATAAAAAAAAAAGTCATTTTTTTTTTTGGGTCTCAAAACTTTCCATCTCTGATGTGGAGTCTGCAATCTGAATCAGTATTTGCCTCTGGCGCTCTGGTAAAACGTTTTATTTCTATTTTCACACACTTCCAATATACTTGTTTGAAAACACTAATAAATCAGTTGTTTTATATTTGGTGTGAGAGAAAATTTAGTTAATATTTTATTTATTTTGTTATAAAATATTTTTTTACGTCAATATATATATATATATATTTTTGATATTTGACAAATGTTTAGGTTGACGTTAAGATTAAATTTATTACACGGGACATTGAAAATAATTTGCCTAAAATTAGATAAGTTATTTTTATTAAATTTTAATATATTTTTTTTATAAATATTTTACAAATACTAAAAAAAATTAATAAATATTCAAACATACGGAGCCTAAATTTTAAATTTTTTTCAAGCTCCAATTTAAGTAACCAATACAATACTCCTAAACATAATAATAATGTATTTCGTGTCTCAACATATTTTTTTACACAGATTAAACACAAGAAACCTAATAACAATAAATTGAAAGGGTTTTTTTTTTTTTTTGAACAGTTTAAAAAAAAAAAAAAAAGGAATTTTTTTTTAAATTTTGAAACACAAAAACATAAATGATTATTTCATATTTCAAAATATTGTTTTTGTATTAAAATGTAAATGAAACGTGTGGTATATATATATATATATATATATGCATTAAAATATACTGCATATATTTGTTTTTTAATACAGTCATATATGATTTCTAATACGTATTATTTATACTTTAATACACTTTCAGTCTTTTAATATAGTTGAAATACAAATATGTTATGTTTGGAAATTAAAAATTAAAGAAAATTAGTTAAAATTTTAAAAATATTTATTTTTATTTTAAATTCAAGACATGATTCAATACTTTCAAGTACAAGAGTCTAGTCAAACATATTATTCAATACAATTAAAATATAAATAAATATATTTTTTTAAACATGAAAAACATAAATAAATGTTAAATGTTAAATTACTAAAAACAGAAAGTTGAAAACTACAAGCATTTTCAGTTTCAAAGTATTGTTTTGTTTGTTGAAAATTGAAATGTAAATATCAAATGGGAAAATATATACAAATTCATTAAAAAAAATCACCTGTAAGGCCTTTTTATTTTTTTTCATTTTCCTTTTTGTTTTTCACCGCAAGTATTCAATAAAAAGCAAATCATTAAAAAGTCATTAAGTGGGTCCCAAAACTTCCCATCTCTGATGTGACCACCTGCTATTCCCTCCTCTCTCTCTCTCTCTCTCTCCTCACTTCTGACAATACTGCAGAAGATAGGTGAACTCCAGCCAGACTAGCCCTCTCACTCTTTCTCTCTCTATTATTTCCTTCTCTGTCCATGTTCTTTGGAATTTGGGGAAGCAAAAGGCATTTGGAAATTGGAATACGAGCCGATCTCTTTACTCCTCTGCTCTGCAAGCTCTCTTTCTCAGCTTTTCGATCTTTACTTACTCCTTTTATGGTATCTCTTCGTTTTCAAGATGGAGGAGTTTCTATAATGGCTTCTTTTGTCTCTGCATTTTGCCGATTACGTACGGTACGTGCTCTGTTATTGTTCTACTGAGTGATTTTCCTGAGAGAAATGGATTTGATTCTGTGGAATTGTGTTTTTTTTTCCCTCAGTAATATATTGTGGCATTTTAAGGGGTTTTTTTTTATATTATGATTCGTGTTCTTATATTCCCAATGTCTTGTTTGTGTGGCGTTTCGGAAGGGATGATTAATTAATTATTGATTCTTAGATCGAAACTCATAACGATTTTTGCTTTTTAAAAAGCTTTTACGAGAAAAATAAGTGCTTTCAAACCCAAAAGTTTGGAATTTATATGCTTTGAATTTAACATCACTTGAATTTGGGTCTTACAAAAGCAGAAAAAAAAAAATAATAAAGCTAGTTGCATCCTTTTTATTTTTTTTCTTTTACCTTTTTTCCTGGGAACCAAACGGAGGAAATGTTCAAAATTCGAATCACGGGTGGGCTCTGCTCTTGACTGGCTGGGTGGTTGTCCTTTTCCATCAGTTGTAGCTTTGATGAGGACTGCCCACGTTTCTTATCTTCATTATTGTTCATGCGAATGGGTTTCTAAGGACCACCCAATTTTTGTTTCTTTTCTTTGGCTTTCTGCGACTACGCGTTGATTACTGTCTTATTGCAGCTTTCTTCAATTTTACGACTTTCAGGACCATTTCATACCACTTAATATCTTAGGAGCTAATCTGAGGTTCTCAGTTGAATTGCGTTGTGGATCATTATTCATCACAATATTAGTGTTGTGAGATTGAAAATTAGAGAACTAAAATTCAGAGAACAACCAATCAAAGAAAATGACTGACCGTTGAGTTTGCTTTGTGGTATTGCCTTTTGTATTGGTAGGGTCATACCTATTCGTTGCCTTTTTCTTCATTCTTTGGTAGGGAAAAAAAATGCAGAATCTGAAACAATATTACAAGGGTAAACTTACACTGACCTCTTTGAGGTTTGGAAAATTACATACGGGTAGACCATTTACCCTTCAATACTTTGACCTCCCCTAAATCCTGCTGTTGGAAAGTGACTTTGAGAGTAAGAAGTCAATAATGCCCTTATATTATAATAAAATGACTTCGAGGTCAAAAAGTCAGTAAGGCTATTACTGTCATTTTAATTTTGGTCAAAAGGTCTGCCACACACGCCAAATCTCAGGGAGGTCAAAGTAATAAACGATGAACAAACCTCAAGAGAGGTCAGCGTAGTGTAATTTACCGATATTATAATTATGAAACTGTGGATCTCATAAATTGAGAAATTTTCTATAATCAAGTGGGTGGAATGATGTGTGAGGCTACAAATGAATTAGTGCAAGTTGACAGGTCCAGGGGTGATTAAAGATTAGTTCATTTTTTGTTGGGGAGAAGAAAAATAATAAATGAACAGTACATTTATTCTTCAGAAGCAAAGGGAGGATTTTGATTATATGGTAGAGCTCAATGAGTATGGGTTCTTTGTGCCGCTTGCATGCCTAAATAAAATAAAATAAAAATAATCAGGCATGTCTAAAAAAAATTAAATTAAATTAATTATGCATGTTCTTCATTTGATTCATGAGTGATAATGTAAGATTTGGATTTCTGTCAAATTCTACCAACTAGAATTTTGGTGATCATAATGTCACCTTGGACTTCTATTGCCTTATCGTTGTCCTCTGGATCGGACAATTTTCTCTCTGCTTACATCTGTTTCTTCTGTGGGAGAAGACCTTGTCCTCTCACTGTCTGTACCTCTTTATTTATATAGAGCTCAAGTGTTTCTGAGGAAGAGAGAGATGAAAGATATTGTAACAAAGTATATTAGAAAGTCATAACATTAGTGTGCTTATTGTGTATGCTGCCCAAAATTGTTAATAAAATGAATAAACATCTGCTTTCTTATGTTATCTCTTTATCATACATTTTCCGGAAACGCAAAATAGTCTAACGAATATCTGTTAATTATAACTCTTGTTTACGTGCATATAAGATCCATGTGCAAAGGATGCATATGTAGTCTATGATATTTTTGTGGATGAGAGAGGCAATGATAGAGAAAGGATCCAAATGCTGGAAAAACTATGGCTTGTTTTTGGTATATCTGTATTCTAATTTGATCACTTCGGCTGCTCAAATTTTTGTCAGTTTACAGAAAATGAAACTAGAGATTACTCTCAAATTTCTAAAGTCACTCATAAGGAAGCTCCTTATGAAAGTTTCCTGATTAAGGCTCCGTTTGTTTCGACTTAAAATATCTTTTTGGGAAAATATTTTCCTTTTTCAGGTAAAATATTTTTATTGTTATTTTTTTGTTATTTTGCAAAGGTCTAGGTCGAGTCCATTGGGTGGGGTGTGTAAGATGACTTGCCGAAAATTGATGAGTAAATTATTTTTGTTAGTTTAAAAAAAAAAATTCTTTCTATATATTTTACGACAACCAAACACAAAAAATAAAAAATACTTTCTAAAAAATATTTTACATCCAAACAAACGGAGCCTAAAAACACCTGCAGTCCTTTTCCTTGCCATACTGTTTTGATTATTCTTGTGTTCTTGCATCTAGTTGTTTTAATTGCTTATAGAGTCAAACATACCTGTTTCCTGATTGTTGCAACTTCCAGTATTCCTATGTGGTATTATCAGAAGAAAATGTATCCGTGTGATATTGTCAACTGACCTTGTCACAAGCTTTTGCAGAATTGAGAAGCTGGTAGATTGCAAGAATACTTTAATCTGTATTATGCCATCTGAGAAATAGCAGATTCTCATGTCCTATCAGGCACGTGGGATATTATTTAAAACTTGAGAAAAGTTCAAACGAATCAGCAAACCTCAGGAAGAATGGAAAATCGATGGGCAAGGCAAGGTACAAACTTGCAAGACAGGTTGAAATTAGAAAAATCCAAGTTGTCTTATGCTGATCTCCATTGCAAAGTAATAGAGAATGCAGACAATATCCCATCAACTTCAGGTAATCAGCAAAAGCTACGAGCTGAAAGGAAGGCAACTGAGAATGAAGAGCTTGTTAAATACATGTCAAATTTGCCTAGTTATTTGGAAAGAAATGAAAACCTCTGGAAGAAAGCTTTTAATGTAGGGGTTCTTGACTGGCGCAGTTTAGAAAAATGGCAATATAACCATAAAGGGATCCCCTACAGAAGTAGCAGAGATTCGCTGTCTAGCAGCAATGCCTCCTCATTTTTCTCAACAGAGGGATCATCTACGCATTCTAGCAGGGGTCCCAGCTGTTCTCCTGCTCGTCAAAGAATTCACCGGCCTACCTTGCAATCTCTGCTGATTGCATCTCCAAAGGAAGGCTATTCCCAAGGTGTCAAATCCTTTGGAGGAAGTGTTGGAAATTCTCAAGATCTCAAAGCTGCCTCAAGAGAACCCTTGAAGGGGCACCAAAGAATGCTTAGAACATACCAGTCTTTTGAGAAAGAAAGCAAGAGGAAAGATTCATACCCACACATTGTTCCAGACATAAAAGTTCGTCAGGGTTTTGAAAATTATAGTGGGGAATTGCATTCAAAGGGAAAGATGAAGATCCAAGAAGGTGAGTCTAGAAAGAGAGTGGAGAAAATGCAAGAGCCTTATCATTATTTTGTTGATCATGATTTGACAGCAATAAATTATCAAAGATCAAGTGAAGCAAATCAAAGGAGATTCTCAGACGTACTTTCTTCTGAGGAGGTCTACAGTGCGGAGCTCTATTCTGACATCCCACACTCATGCCCGCTGCCTTGTGAAGTTGACAAGATCAAATGCTCACACTTAAATCAATCCAGGTCCTTAGATAAAAAGAGTGTCAAGTTTTCAGCTGAACAGTCAAAATCTTCACCATCTTCTGCCAAAATATCAATTAATCCATCCAGAGGCAAGAAGTCTTCAAAACATTTGAAGCCTTCTGAGGGATCAGATCTAAAAATGGGCACTGTAGCTACTCAAGTGAGAAATTCTTCTCCAACTCGTCGTTTTAGCATTGATATGGGTAAGGCAAGAAGTGCCAGCTATAAAGATGGTTCAGTTTTACTGCAGTTAAGCTCCAAGCATGTTACTGCTAAATCTGGTTCAGAGAAATCTGTTCCTCCTGATTGCTTGGATAATACAAGTAGTGATAAACCGAACAGTACTAGTAGAGCCCGGTCCAGCCCTTTGAGAAGGTTACTGGAGCCATTGCTCAAGCCAAAGGCAGCAAACTCCCATCATTTTTCTGAACCATTGCGGAAAGATTCATCATCCACATATGGGGCCTGCAAATCATCTAATGGACGTGTAGAATCTTCCATTTTACATCCAGTGAAAGTAAAATTAGATTTTACAAGCTCTAGGACAACTAGTGCGAATGATTCACATCACAGGGAGAAGCATGGATTGTCAACTGTTCAAGCTCTTCTGAAAATTGCCATAAAGAACGGTCTTCCTGTTTTTACATTTGCCATTGGCAAAAATGTTGACATTCTAGCGGCTACAATGAAAAAGATACAACCTTCAGAAAAGGATGACAACAGTTGCATTTACACATTCTTCAAAATTTGTGAAGTCAAGAATAAGAATGGTCGGATAAATCAGAGAAGCAAAGGCAAAGGTCCTGGTTATGTCCCAAATGTTGTTGCCCAAATGAAGGTTTCTAATTCCCAGTTCTTGGAGTCTATCAGACACAATCCCGTGGATCAATTTAGCATCAGGGAGTTTGTTTTGTTTGCCGTGGACCTAAATCATGTGAATCGGCACACGTCAGACCTCCAGCCGAATGATGAGCTTGCAGCCATTGTTGTCAAGTTCCCAAAAGAGCCCCCTAGTGGCTTGATCCAAGATGGGCACCGGTGTGATAACTTCAATCATATATCAGTAACTGGTTTGAAAGAGCCATTGCCAGAGGTGACCAGCTATTCCAATTTTAAGGATAACAAAGAGAATGGGTCTTCTGTTGGAAGTCAAGACCTATTTAACATGACAGTTATTCTACCTGTTGGTATTCATGGACTGCCAAGTAAAGGAGAACCTTCACCACTGATTGAACGGTGGATATCGGGTGGGGCATGTGATTGCGGCGGTTGGGATTTGGGTTGCAGAATAAGGGTTTTGGCCACCCAAACTCAACTTAGGAGATCAAGTTCATCCAAAGCTCATCCTACTGCAGGACGATTTGAGATTTTCCCTCAGGTGTTTGTCTTTCCCAACTAACCAATCTATTTCCCATTTCTTTTTTAGGTTATGATTGTCAGTTAACTTTCCTAACTTATTCTCTACTTCTTCCACAGGGAGAAGTCTTACATGATAGGCCTCCCTTCAGCTTGTCCCGGCTCGTTGATGGGGTATTTTCAGTTGAATTCAACTCTTCACTCTCCCTTCTGCAAGCGTTCTCCATTTGCATAGCAGTTTTAAACAGTAGGAAACCATATGAGCTTTCAGAATCAAGTGACCTGTTTGAAGAGAAATCTTCCAAAGAAACCACATTACCGGAACACTATGAAATAAAGGCTCCTAGTGGTAATCAAGTGGAGGTTGCTGCAAGATATGCCTCGTATCCACCCCTTTCTCCTGTTGGGAGGGTCTAGTTTGCACAAGAAAGTAGTTCATGATTGGGATCAGGTTTTACATTTCCGAATTTCCAGATTGTGTTCAAGGCTATCTTCATCTGTCACTGAAAAATATCCAGAGTCAAATGAAGCATCGCCTAAAAAATCAGAATGTAATTTTGCAGTACTTGTGTATAAAGAAGCAATTTCACCAGAGTTTGGAAAGATATGTTGTTTTGTGTAAGTGTGCATTTCATAAGAAATCATTTGGTAAGAAAACTCAATATATGAATCATTTTTAGAAAAACTATTATAGCGTCATAACTGCCTCTCAAATGTATAGTGCAGCTGCTCTTTTTTGGACTGAGCTTAGTGGAGATCTCCTACTTGTTGGACTCACAGGTGTTGAATCTGTAATGAAACTTCAATTCTGGTTGAGGGATGACCCTTCGTTTTTTTTGGCCCCCACCATGCTGCACACAGAGAGAAGGGGATATACTATTTTCAGTAAAATTTTCAGATAACATCAATTTTTTTTATATATGCTTCATTCGTCCCATAACAAGTGTCTTGTTTAGAGAATCGTAAAAAAATATACCTCTCTGTCCCATAGTAAGTGTCTTATTTGAGAAACTGTGACTTAGCCACTGTTGTCCACAAAAAATATACTCCTTCTATTCTATGATAAGTGTCTTGTTAATTCACCACCAAATACATAAAATTCTCCATCTCACATGCACGGGTAATTACCGAGAAAAAACCACATAGGATCAATAGATTTTGGTATCTTGATCAAAGTTAGTAAGGTTAATGCTCGATTACCACTCCTGGGAGGTAGTGGATCCAATGAAGAAAAAAGAGTACAAAGGTCGAGCACGTGCGCACGTGATTCTCCCTTAATAGAAAAAGAATCACCTTGCATGTCCTGAGTCCCCCCTGACTCCTACCATACTCCTCTCTCTCTCTCTCTCTTCACGTGCCTGTCACAGTTCCAATACTGTTTCACTTTTCTCACTTCCCTTTTTGCTCTATCTGTTGTTTTATCTGACCTCGTCTCTGCTCTGCCCTACAAGCCTCAAAATCATTAAAGAACTATGGAATATGGATGATGACATCCCCATTAATTTGTTTGAAAATGAATGTCTTCTATTCATCTAAATATCTGCTATACTTACCTCAAAAGAAATATATTGGGAAATTTATTGAGACATATATTGGTTTAGTTTTCTACTTTTCTGTAATAGTTTTTTGTTTTTGAGAATTGAATATTAAGAAATTATAAATTTGTTTTTAATTTTATTTAGTTGGTAATTTCAGAATCAGTTAAAAATGTATGTTTTCATAAAATAGTCTTTTATAATTTTTTAAAAATAATTTTATGAATTTTTGAGAACTAATTTTAAGAAATTAAATAAAACAGGCCCATTCTATCATTGTGTCCAAAAATCGGCTCTCTTGTCAACAATTTCATTAACTCTCGGAACTTGTTTGTGTGAATTCTTACATAAGAATAAAGTGTCCAGCGGAGGGTTTCATTACTAATCATATTAAGAAAAATTATCATATAGTTATGAGATCATTAGTCACCGTCAACTACACAAAAAGAAATGTGTTTAAAGTTTTAAAATGATTTTGAAGTTGTTGTCTTGTTGGACACATAAACAGAAAGCTAAATACAACATGCTTAACACAATTGTTTACTTGTACATTGATGATGGGTCGGGACCATGCACTAATTTCAAACTTTATATTAGCTTACTAGATTTTTTTTTTTTTTTGGGTGAGCTAGTAGTGCAGAGACCGTGTAATCAATCCAAATAATAATAATAATAAAAAAAATTCTTGATAGGGAGACATTTACACAAATATAGGATATACACATACATATACAGTACTAAAATGTTAGAAGATTAGCATGCAAATATAGCTGTCTACAGCTAGTTGTAGCCTGTCCATGCCAATTCTTTGGAGGATGGGGATATATTATATGGCATGCACTTGATGAATCTTTGATGATGGCAATGACCACAGAGAGGCTCATGTTGTGAGTCATTGTAGGCTCAAGTTGAGCTGGAAAAGTTTGTCAAAAATTTGAGGACCCAAATTTTTGAGGCATACATATCTTACAGATGTGAGATGTCCACCTTTGTTTCTCTGCGACCTTTTATATCTCAATAAGAGCTCTTCTCATGGGAACTTAAAATTTTCTATGCTTTAGGTGTAATATGAAACACGAAGTCAATAAAGCTAGAAACTTAAGGCATAATTTAAGGGGAAAAAAATGTTGAAAACCATGTAATACTTATGCTGAACTATGCCAAATTATATATTCTCTCTGTCCTACAACAACAAAATGTCTTACCTTTCTATTTTTGAGTGTCTCAAAATAACTGTCATGCTTTTTATTTTAATGCATTATTTTTTTTAGTATTTCTAATTTACCCTCATTGCCTTGAAGTTATAAAAGTAATTCAAATTATGTAAAAAAGGATATATTTGAATTTTCGTAAACTACCACCGTTAAAATTATATATTAAAAATTACACTCTTACAAAGTTAGATTCCCAAAAATATATATATTTTTTTTGAACAAAAGGGGTACTAAACTAATAAGCATTTTTTTTTATTCCCGCTACAAGTTCACTATTACAATGAATAATTCCTCGTCATACTCCCCTTCCCAATGTGTGAATAAATGTAACCAATGTTTTAAAATTTTCATTGAGGTTGATAACATCTAGATTTTGATTAGATGATGGTCTTAGAAAAAGCAAATCATTGTAAAATTAGAGTATTGGTTAAATTTAAAGGTTAATTTCAAGGACACCCACTCAAGTTTGTTCAAATATCACATTGAATCATTTTTCAAAAATAACTATCACTCGTATTACAAACGTTTGATCCGTTTTTCATTTACACCTCCAAAGTTACTTTTCAAGTATGACAGATACTTTTTTGCATGTAAAATGACATTACTACCCTTCCAATTGTCTGATGACTTAAATAAGGGTTGAAATGCCTTGAATACCCTCTGACCTTCATTATATAAATTTAAAATTATTCTTCATATATATATATATATATATATATCCCATTTTTTAAACCAACCAAATTATAATTATTTTTTAAAACCAAATTATAATTATAAATTTATAAATATTTTTTAAAATTATTCTTTATATATATATTTCTCATCATGGGATATATATATATCCCATTTTTAAAACCAGCCAAATTATAATTATAAATTTATAATCATTTTTTAAAAACCAACCAAATTATAATTATAAATGTATAATTATTTTCTAAAACCAAATTATAATTATAAATTTATAAATATTTTTTAAATATTATTCTTTATATATATATATTTCTAGATAAAAGAGTGAGATGAAGAGTTTTGGGAGTGACGGAGTAATAAATGAGGGCAATTTGATTATTTCAAGCTTTTGAATTAAAATAGATTAAAAAAAATAGAGATAAAATTGTTATTTTACACATTTATAACGGAAAAAATAATGGACAAGGAAATTGAGGTCTGGGTGATAGTTAATTTTGAACGATGTTTAATGGTGATATTTGGTCAAATCTGAGGGGGTATCAGCAAAATTTACCCTAAATTTAAAAATGAAATCTGGATTAAGAATTTGACATTTATAACATTTTTTAGAATTTTAATATTGAATTAGAATTTGATATATTTACACAAAAATAAAATAGAATTTTCAAAACTTGGGTTGTTTAAAGTTGGCAAAATAGTATAATGATAATAATAATAATAATAATAATAAAACAAAAATCCGAGTATGTATGGAGTCCTATGCACTGGTTATTACTACTAAGAAATGAAAATTAATTATGCTTGCCCAATAATGAGAAAATTTTAATTATTGCATGGTTGAAGATTGCTTTCAAGTTGATATGCTGAGAAGGACTAGACATTCTTATCCCTTAAATGTTATTTTACCTAAGCCAAGTCTACGACGCTACACGTGAGTCCCTTTCTTTCCCATGCTGATTTGACCCGTCCGAAAATGATTTGTTTTAATAATCAATCCAGTCGAATTATATATTGTTTTTATTCTTAAAAAATATATATCTACTATTCTATTAAATGATAAAAGTGCCATTCTCTCCCTTGTGAAATTAAAGACAATAATTTTATAAATATTTTTAAAAAATAAAGTGCCTTTGTCAAAATATATTGATTCTTGTGATTTAAGAAATATTTTTTCTGTGAATATTATTATAGTGAAGAATCAACTACACATATTTTAAGTTGTTCATTCAAAAATTATGATTACGTCCATGAAATAAATAAATAACAAGTCAATAAGGACCACAATAACAACTACAAAATATGTCAAAATATTCTTTAAAAGACTTCAAAAATTAGACTAAAGTGTATATAATAAATACGAAATATACCAAAATACCTTTCAAAAATTTGAAAAAAATGGAATAAGGTGTACATATATATCAACAATATCATTACAACTATTCAAAAAACAACCAATATATATATATTTACTCTTACAGCCCAGCGGTATTACCCTAATGAATACAACGAAACAATAATTCTAGGGGAAAATACAAAAACGAAAAAGACGAAAAAAGAGAGGCCTGGATAAGGGTATAACTTAACGCGACCATCGCGTACGTGAAGTGTCCACACATTTAATCAGCCACGTGTTCGAATCACATAAAAGAACGCATAGAACATTTCCTTAATTATCGCGCGTGTACGTGCTTCAAATTAGAGCACGAGTTGTATCATCACCTCCATGCCGCACGAAAACCTTACTCTCTGCAAAAAGAAAACCAGAAAATGAGAAGAAAAGCCCAAAAGAAAAAAAAGATGCAGAAACAAGAGAATGATGAGCTGAAGAGAGAGAAACTCACTCAGAAAAGTTGCACGCAAGACGTGGTTTGTAGAGAGAGAGAGTGGAGGAGGAGGAGTGAGAAACCTTGGATCCAAAAAGCCTCTCCTCTTTTATTTTTCTTTTCTCTTTCTCTCTCAATCGGAATAAACAATTCCTCTCTGTCGCTCTCTCACTTTCTTCTTTCCTTTTTCCTCTGCCACGTTCACTCGAATGAAACCCTCTCAATCCCCGGAGTTCTAGAGAAAGAAAGCGAGGCGACACTTGATTTTCTACTTCTTTCTCTCTCTAAAACCTTCATCTCCGGCAATGGGAGCTCGTTGCTCCAGATTCCACCTCTGCTGGTTGTCGTCTGATCTCAAATCCAAAGTTCCAGATTCATCCGATCTCGGTTCGCTCTTACTTTCAACACTCTGTTCATATCTTCAGATCTTGCAATTTGCATGTGCTGAACTGAATGTTCTTGTTTTTGTTTTTATTTTTGTAGAGAACTGTCGCGAAAGTGAACAGGCCTCATTGCCCAGCTTCAGAGAGTACAGTTTGGATCAACTCATAGCTGCGACCTCTGGATTTTCAGTGGAAAACATTGTATCGGAACATGGAGAGAAAGCTCCCAATGTGGTTTACAAAGGAAAGCTTGAGGATGACCGTTGGATCGCAGTCAAGCGTTTCAACAAGTCGGCGTGGCCCGATTCTCGTCAATTCCTAGTTTGTGCTCTTGTTTTGATTAATTTGCTCATTGTGATTGTACCTTTATGTGTGTATGTGTTTTATGTTTGATATGTGTGGTTGAATTTTAGGATGAAGCGAGATTAGTGGGGCAGCTACGGAGTGAGAGGTTGGCGAATTTGATTGGGTGTTGCTGCGAAGGAAACGAGAGATTGCTTGTAGCTGAGTTCATGCCTAACGAAACTCTATCAAAGCATCTTTTCCATTGTAAAATTTTCATCCATGAACCTATTGCAATGCAAATAGTCTTTCTACTGATTTTGTCCTGGTTAAGTGATTTTCTATACATACTAGGTGAGTGAGGGATGTAATATTCAAAGAGCTGCACACTCTTAACTGCCTGATTGGGGTAGTGATTTCTTTTGAGAGGGTTTTGAATGTTTGAAGAGGAAATTTCTAAAAATTAAATATAGTAAAAGAAAAGGGATACAATATATATATTTATAATGTTGGCTTAGATTTTTATTAAAAGAATGCCAAGAAAGGGAAGTCTCTACTCAGCTGAGCTACATAAAACTGTTTGGCTTAGTTGTATTTCTCATTTCTTTAGGGGAATTTTTTATATTTTTTGAATGGTAAGGCCTGAAAGCTCATATAGTAGCGTGATATTATTTGTGAACCTTAAATGCAATAGAAGAGTGGGGGGATATAAAAATCTATAATGATATCTTGATTCCACACTAATTTAATTATTGGATGTGAATTTTTTAATTGAGGAAGTTTGCCATGGGTATAATTTGTATTGGTTGAATTGGATTAGGGGAGACCCAGCCCATGAAATGGGCAATGCGGATGAGAGTATCCTTGTACTTGGCACAAGCTTTGGATTATTGCAGCAGTAAGGGGCGAGCGCTATATCATGATCTCAATGCTTACAGGGTTTTGTTCGATCAGGTGCTTTTATCTTTCCTTTTCTTTCTAGCTTCACCTGTTTGTTGCCTGTCAAATGTTTAGCTATTTTTGTACTATATTCCTTATTGTAAGGGCGGTCTGCAGGATTGTAATCCCAGGCTCTCATGCTTTGGTTTAATGAAGAATAGCAGAGATGGCAAGAGCTATAGTACAAACTTGGCTTTCACCCCTCCGGAGTACTTGAGGACAGGTATATAAACTGATTACAGAATTTCATGTCCTGTTTGAACAAAATTGCATGCTGCACTGTTTTGCTTGTGAGTCATCATGGCAAGTTGAACAGCTTGAAAATTATAAAAACAAATGTTGGCTAATTTGCTAGCAGAAAAGGTCTTAATACTGTGTATATGACAACACAAAATGGAGATGTAAGTTATTATTGGGATGGAGTTTTGTATTTTTGTTCTTCTTCTTTACTGATTGGTGTATTATTACTCTTCTTAGTCCAGTTTGATCTATGAAAATTAGTTTCTATCCATTTAATCTGGCCAGACTATAAAAATATGGGCTGCATAGATGCGTCTATGGCTAGTAGCCTAATGGATGCTTCTAGCTTTATATGTATATACCATAAAAGGTTTTTGATTCTTCTAGTCCAGAATTGCCAAATGCATGTATAAATGCAATTAGTCTATGAACAGTAATATGCTCATTGAACATTTATTTACATTACTATAATTGAGCTAATGTGATTGTTCCAATTTGGCAGGTAGAGTGACGCCAGAGAGTGTAGTTTACAGTTTCGGCACCCTATTACTTGATCTCCTCAGTGGAAAGCATATTCCCCCAAGCCATGTAAACTATTCTCTCTCTTATATAAGCTTTCTTGAGGTTAGGCAAAAGTTTGGCCAGATATTTTCTTGATACTCCATGGATTCTGGTCCATGAGATTAGCTTAGGCTGCTATCATTACTTCACCAATGGTCACAAGCATGTAGGTTGTCAGATGCCCTTGACTTTCAAAAAATGTTCTGGAAGAAAATCTTATCCATACCACTTCCTTAGTTGCAAGAAACAGAGGTGGGGGACTGGTTTCTTGGCGGTCAAATAATTGTTTTATTACTTCCATAATACAATGTGGCAGATACATTGGATTTCAGGGCTAACAATTTTGAATCTTGGACAATATAGATAAATAGAGGTAGCTAAAATGCTCAACAAAAGATTTATATTGTAATTCTTCAACAAGTTTAAAGAAGCACCAAAAACAGTTAGTTTGTACAATTCAATTTAACTCAGCTAGCCTTAACACGGATCAACCATCTCCAGTCAGCTCTCTAAAGCCATATTCTTGCATAAATTATAGGCCGTGTCTGTTTCATAGCCTCAACCCATGGAATCTTTTGTCATTCGTCCTTTTAGTATCTTCAACTTGGATCAAACTCTCCTTTGCAATGGTGCGTAAAAATCCATCGCCAGTGTTGTGATTTTACGGAATAGATGCTTGATGATTGTATATTGTTCACTTTTGGTATTTTTTTTTCCCCTCATACTCCATGAAGTTGGCTGCCATTAAGTTCATAGATGTTCATAGCCACCAAAAAACGTGTTTTCTCCATATTGACTACCATTATTTGGAATTTGTATTCGAGTTATACTTCAAATACGCTCGCAGATGAAACTATGATGGTGAATTTGGCCCCCTTAACCTCTGGATTCCCATACACGTGGCCCTGAATTTATTATACCCCGTAGACAGCATTTATCTTCCAAGAAAAATGCATAACTAATTCTAACATCAAGCAACCTACTTGAAAATTTTGGCAAGGAAAAGGTCCATGAAATGTTGCTGGATGTCCTATTAGGAGATTGAGTATACAAAAGATGGTATAAATGATCCAAATTGCCTCTTCTGGAAACCTGTAGAATTTTTTTTTTTTTTGAAAAGATAAAGTTTCAGACACTCAAATAATTTCATCATTTCACTAAAAGGTGTATAAATAGTTTATATGATGTTGATCTATGGCTTTGGCCGAGTTCCATATATTTTGAAGTCTAATTCATTGGATGAAATCTCTCTCTCTCTAATCCCCAAAGTAAACATTTCTGGTTTTGCTTGTGGTTGCAGCTTGGTTAGTGCTGTCCATTCAGAGTATTTTATGCCTGATATAATTAGATGAAATGCTTTAACTTTGAGTTGATACTAGTTCCAATTACTTTGATCTTTTTTTTATTTATTATTATTTATTTATTTTTCTGGCAGGCACTTGACCTGATACGTGGCAAGAATTTTCTGATGCTGATGGACTCTTGTTTGGAGGGTCATTTCTCAAATGATGATGGAACTGAATTAATGCGATTAGCTTCACGTTGTTTACAATATGAACCTCGTGAGAGACCAAATGCGAGGTCCCTTGTAACTGCTCTTGCTTCTCTTCAAAAAGAAACCGATGTATGCCCCTAACTTCAAGCTATCTAATTGGAACTAAACTTTTGCTTGTATAATGTTTCTATAATAGTTATCTTGCCATATGCAATGTCATGTGAAGTTGCCTCTTATTCATATTCTCTCCATATCCCTGCTTGAGGAAGTAAAATATTTGTTTTTCTTTATATTTCTCCACCACGGCATATTTTTCTTCTGGCAGACCAATTTCCTTTCTTCTTCATTTAGTTAACGGTTGCCTATCTAGCAGCAAAGCTGTCATGAATGAAGGTCGTAACCTCTAATTATCAAAATTTCATGGTAAATATAATGAAAACAGCTTCCTAGTACTTAAGATTTGGTGCTGAAAATTCCATGTTTTATTGATACTCATAATTCTAATTAGCTTATTGTTGTTGAAATCTGATCTGCAGTACTTCAAATAAATAATCTAGTTGTATAATAGCATCTAATTCAGTGCTATTTAGCAGGTACCGTCACATGTTTTGATGGATATTCCTCATAAAACTGCATGTTCAACGCAAACATCAGTATTGTCACCGTTAGGTGAAGCTTGTTCAAGGATGGATCTTACTGCCATACATGAGATATTGGAGAAGGTTGGATACAAAGATGATGAGGGGGTTGCAAATGAGGTTAGTACTTCTCAATTGGTAAACTCAATGTTCTAGTTGAACGTAACCAAAGAATGGAAAAGAAAGAAAAAAAAAAAAAAAAAAAAAAACAAAAACACAGTCGCACACACGAAAAGATGAAACAAAGGTGAATCTATCTAAATAGGAAGAAGAAGAAGAAAAGAAGGAACTTTTGTGTTTAAATTCAACTTTTCTGTTCACGAGTTCCCATCACTCAGTTGACTGTAATTATCACTTATTCACTTATTTTGCTCTAATGTACAAGATTGAACCAGGGAAAGAACTGGCATTTGCCATGCTGTGATATTTTGCCTGTATGAATAGTGTAGTTGATATGCGTACTATCTGTCGGGTTGAATGTTTACTTATTTAGATTTTTAACTCATGACTTATGAATATGTCAACTAATTACAGCAAGTTGCTTTAGGAAGAAGGTTCAATAGTTAGACGCCTTATTTGCTAGGTTATTTTGGTCAGCAATTGCATTACATAAATGATAATTAAGGATTAAAAAAATTCCAGGTCCTTGGACGTAACAGTTATGAATCTTTGGATTCTGCATTCTTCTTAGTTTTGTCAGCGAGTCTAAGTCGAAAGTTTTTAGGCATTCTTGCAACTTGTTTTAATCTAATAATAAGAATACACATAACGTTCTTCAAGAAAGTTTATGCAACAATTCTCAAGCAGAGTTCAGGGCCGGAGGTGGTGGCTGAACTCACTGCAGCATATAGGAGTCAAATGAACAAAACAGTATTTGCAAATACCTACTCTTTTTTTTTTTTTTTTTGGCTTACTGATTACTGTATATAGCTGGATGGGCAGTAGTTCCTTCATAATTCTCACATGTAGGGCAGGGTTTGTTTGAGCAGCTAAAGATGCCTACCAAAGTGGTTAAAATAGATCAGAATTTTTGCTACCCAAGCAGCTTTTTACTAAGTATGAAAGATATTTACCGGTCTGGTTTTATGTGGGTATGTAAATGATAACTTTTTATGTCCATAAGTTGTCCTTTGTTCATTGCAGCCACAAATCTGTGCTGTTAAGGTCTGACTAAGAACTTAATTTCTAGTTTTTTTTAAGTAAAGGAACACCCTTTAAACTTGATTGTTGTGATAGACATACAAATGAAATAAGATGACAAACTGAAAATTGTAGAAAAGGACAATTCCTTGTCAATCGTACTTGTACATGGAATGTTCTAAGTGGAGTAGTGGATGCTTTGTTTTTTTGCCTATTTCTAACTGAAAGTTTTTACCCAATTGGGTTGCACTCAAATCTAAAGCATTGGATTAAAGCTTTTTGAGGTGTCTCCAATCCCGAGACTTCTAAAAAGATGGCTAATTTGGTCAGATCCACCATATGCTCACACATTTCCTTGAGATCGCCCATATTTGCTGGTGGACATGATGTCAATGTTAATCTGCCATATGTCATGGTATGTGCCTTTGAATTGAAATGTCAAGAATTCTCTCTGTGATGTTACTCACCATAAAGTCCTGAGATTTTGAAGTACCAAAATAACATAATGTCTAATTTTTTTTTAGAAAATCAATGCCAAAAGAATTATGGTATCTACACTAACATGTTATATTCTTCATATTTCAGTCTACTCATCTAGGCTAGCCCATTTGGAAAAGTACTCCTAAGAAGTCTTAGAATCTTCTTGCAAAAACTAACATGTTATCTATCTGCAAGACCTACACCTTATGACACAATCACAGAGAGTGCAGCAGTAATTACCAACTTTTGTTTTCTCGGATCAATATTGGCAGCTTGTTTTCAGTTAAACTTGAATTTGGTAGAAGATGCGTTTTCTGTTTCATTGATAAGTTGAATTTTTTTGCTGTCACAGCTGTCTTTCCAAATGTGGACAAATCAAATACAGGAAACATTAAATTCTAAAAACCGGGGGGACGCTGCTTTTCGAGCTAAAGACTTCACTACTGCAATTGATTGTTACACACAAGTAAGCCATTCTTCTGCAACTACAGCATTTTACTTCAGAATCTTTGCTGTTAAACATGAATGAGGCCTGGATATTTTGTGATCTAGGAAAACTTCAGTCATTACAGTTGTAGAACAGTGAAAATTTGTGAATGCATAAACGGAAAAAAAAAAATGCTTCATTGTCCAGGAAATTAAAATTTTGCAATAATGCATATCAAACCATACCTTTAAAGGTGGGGCATGCTATTCAAGTCCATGTTTTAGCATTTTCTTGGCATAAAAAAGGGGAGGAACTTCCATATTGACAATGTAGGAACACACTCATTTAACTGAAATCCTCCACTTTGACCTTGTTAGCTCAGTGGTGTTAACCACCTCTTTAGCATACAAAAATATTCCCTCAGATGATGATGGGAATGTCAAAGTTTCTAGCGTAGTGCCCTTTTCAAGATCCTGTTGGTCAAAAATCAAAACATTTTTTTAAGCATGGAATGAGTTTTGCAAGAATTCAGTTACTAGTACATTAGTGTTGCTTTTACCCATGTTCCTCGCTCAGAGGCATCTTGTTTGGTTCTTGTGTAGTTCATTGATGGTGGAACCGTGATATCGCCAACTGTTTTTGCCAGACGCTGCTTGTGCTTCTTGATGAATGGCATGCCACAAGAAGCTCTTGGAGATGCTATGCAAGCCCAAGTTATATCCCCTGAATGGGCCACTGCCTTCTACCTTCAAGCAGCTGCCCTCTTTAGCCTGGGGATGGACAACGATGCCCAGGAAACTCTCAAAGATGGTTCATCCTTGGATGCCAAAACTCTCAAAGATGGGTCGCCCTTGGATGCCAAAAGGAAAAGAATCTGAAAGTGTATAGTTTTTTTTGTTTTGTTTTGATTATTATTATTATTTTTTTTCTTTATTTAGAAATACTCCTTGTATTTATAAATTAAGCCTTTGCCATATGAGTTTCTGCAGCACCAGATGATTGATTATATCATTCATTTGTAGATGGTGTGCTAATGTTATCATTATCTGCAGAATCAAAGGAGTTTTTGTTGTATTTCGCCAGAAATCACATTTCTTTGTTTCCTCTTTGCTGCTAAGTTTATACAGCAATGATTAAATGAATATCAAATATGGTATATTCCCAATTCTTCTTAGCTTTTGGTTGATGATGTCATTGTGAAGTTTTAGTAGAAGACTTGGTGTATTATCCTTGTCTGATCTACTTATTGGTCGGGGAAAAAGTATCATGAAGATGCTCCCATGCACGTTCGTGCCATTAACTGTTGGATTGACAGGTTGTGAAGGTGATAGAGAGACCAATATAATTCTATTTCACAAATTTCTGGACTATATTTGAATTGATTGTATATAAAATGATAACATGTACTTTTATAGTAAGTATTGTCTACACATGTATAGAAAGAAAACCATAATAGATCAAACCAACTGACTTTGCTGTATATATACTGTGAATTGATTAGATGCTAGCTGGAGCACAAGCAAGTGAAGCAGATGATTCGCTAGACATGGGACCGGCAGCCTCAGCAGATGCTGGACCTGAAGCTGCAGAGACTGGACCAGAAGCTGCACCAGAACTTAGAAGCTCAGCCATTGCACGTCGTGGATTCGTTTGCTGTGCCTTGCACAAGTCTGGCAAAAACACTCCTGCAGATGTAACACAGCTTGTAAGTTAATTACCTACCTCGTTTTGGTCATAGGAATACAAAAATGCCAGTGGACATAAATGTATAAACATGTGTTATAACTACAGTGTATAACCAGTGGATCATTTGAAATCAACTAGGAAAAATGTTGGTGTTGGTGATAAAAGTTTGAAGGCAAATCACCACCTTCTGCTAGAGCCAAACTGTAGTAGAGGTCAACAATGTTGGGGCAGTTCTGATAACAAGCCGGAGAGCAAAGTCTGGCAGCGAATTCAGGCTCCAGAAGGGAATCTGAGGAGATCCCGACGGAGTATCTATCAATGCCACAAGCACTCACACACTCGTTATTCTCAACCCATTCAGGCATATTTTTCACCACCACCTCTGAGCTCTTGCATTGGTATGCAATGGTTCCATCACTAGACTCGGAAGTCTCTAACAAACATCGCTTTCCAGAAGATGCGACCGCGAACGAGCACATTCCTACGGGCAGTTGCTCACATACAAAACCACCTACATATATATATATATATATAATGTTAGTATTGCATATAAAGTTTTAGAAAGAGAAAAAAAGAGGAGAGAAGTTCTAGTGGTGGTACCTAGAGCGCCTTGGAGGAAGAGAGAGAAAGCGAAGAAGAGGATCAATGCCATTTATGTGAAGAAGCTTTGTGGTTCTGGTTTTTAGAAATTCTTGGACTTCGTTTAAAACTTTCTTGGGATGTTTTTTGGATGGAAGATTATAAGGGAGGGGAGTGTTTATATAGAGAAAATAACCTTGAAAATCTATAGAAAATGACAATGGAGAGCATAACAAGGTTTGAACTGTTTTTGGATCGCACTCTAACCTGACATAACGTGAATTCTCTTCCGTATTTTTTTAATTATAATATATAAATTAGAAGATTATTTTGGCGGAGGGGAAAATAATTTTGGTCCTTGATACCATTTTCATCTGACCTCAATACTAAATTTATTTGTCCTCTATGTTTGGCAAGGGACATATTTGGAAGCAATCATGCCTAACTATCGTCTTTTTCTTTAAAAAATAATAAATAAATAAAAGTCAAAAGAATTGCCTCAAGAGTAGTATTTTCAACAAATAATTTAAAAAAATGTTATGATGAAGAGCCTTTTCATATGAATATCCATGACAACACTTGTTTTTTAACAGAATGTCTAAAAAAATTTGCCCTTTTTCTATGTTGGATGTTTTTTCTTTTTTCTTTCTTACTTTTTCTTTTTTTTAAAGAAAAGTTTTGTTCATTCTCGAGTACTCAAAATCTATTATAAAATTAGAATGACCCAAAAATGAGAAAAGCTTTTACAAAATGTCCACATTTCGTTACATGATCAGCTACTTGCATTGAATTAGAAAAATTAAATTGAAAATTTTTATGTGCAGATATGTATGCTTAAGGAAGCTTTCAACATTGCGAGTAGGCAACAATTTCTCAGTCCAACTTTATTAAACGTGTCATGCACATTTAGGCCATAAAGATTAGGATTCAAATGTAAATATGAAAAAAAACACAGGCCTGTCAAGCCATTCCATCCTTTTCAGAACTTAAAAAACTAAAAAAAATAGAAAGTATAATCGAGTATTAAATAGCAAATGAACTAAATAGTAAGTATTATAAGATTTACTGAAACTTTGACTCACTGAGAATGCTCGAGCACAGTTTTTTTGTTCTCCATTAAACCTCAATAATGGCGGGTGATTCTCATAAAGTTCGAACATGAGAAATAAAAATAATAATTACAGTAAAAAAAGATAAATTTGGTTATTTTGTACAAAATTTTTAGCATTGAATTAAATAGTATTCAGCATCTTACGAGGTTCAATCAAATTTCGTAATTTAAATTTTTGGACTAGAAAGGGTTTTGCATTTTTCTGTCATCAGCATCCCACATAGGGAGTGCAATCAATAACTCTTTAATATAAATCAAATTTAAAATTGACATTGTTCAATCAGCAAGCTTTTCGTAGAGGAAAAAACATTTTGTAATCTAATATCCTGTACAAGATATATATTATTCGACGCATAAGCTTGCATAGTGATAACATTTTAAAGATACAACATTACCATGAAAAAAATATAAAAAAATAAAATCCAGGACTAGTTTACAGAGGAGTAAGTGTCCAATGCTGAACTCTTGCACAAAAGCTTACATTTATAAGCAATTCAATCTGCTTCTGGACATCGATGAATCTGTACCAAGGGAGCCTTAAAAATACAATCAAAATAGTTACAGCAGAACAAGGCAATTAGTATAAAAATACAAGAAAATCAATAGTTACAAAACTCATTACTTACAGACTGGGAAGAACTAACACGTTCAAATACTCCCTCAGACTCCTAGTTGAAGAAACCTTCAGACTGAATAATTAAATAGAACATGCATGTTTAGCCGTCTGGAACACCTTGGGATCGATATGAACTATAACACCTCACAACATCTCCAGATTCTCCACTACTAATCCACACTGAATTAGCTATCCTGTTTTACTTTCACCAGATCATGGCATAATAATGACAAATCATTATGGTAATTGTAACGGGTGGGCGCTTGCCCATTTACCCAAACGCTCGAACTATTGGGTAGTGCTGCATACCCATCCATTTATAGCCATGTCACTTCCCATCCGAATCCGATATACAACAAGTCTCCCCTTGTAACAGTAATTTACTAGCCCACTTAAGATGTCACTGGTTGATGATGATAGCGGAAAATCATAATAATTTACTTTTGGCTCCGTTTGTTTGGATGTAAAATATTTTTTATTTTATAGTGTTCGGTTGTCATAAACTCAACCTAGACCTTTGCCAAACATCAAAAAAGTATATATATATATATATATATATATATATACACTCACCTGAAAAAGAAAATTATTTTCTGAAAAAATTGTTTTACGTCGAAACAAACGGAACCATAGTATAAGGTTCAACTTATTGACAGTAACAAATGCAGTCAAATTGTGCCACTCCATGTCACCTTTGAAACAAAGGTAATTGGCAAATCCACCACTACTTGAGGGAAAAAAAAAAAAAAAATTAATTTTTTTTCCAGGCAAATTAGGGGAAGGGAGAACTCAACACAAGCACAACAACTCAGGAAGCTGGGCACTCTACTAACTAAGCTACTAGGTAATGCCCATTACTTGAGGAAAAAAATTCAAAATTTGATACCGAGGAAGCAAAGTATATTGACAAGGACAATCCTTGGATCCTCACTGGTGAGTACCAACTCTATCCTGCCCACTGATGTCATTCAATGACAAATAAACATGTCTCTCTAAACATCAAAAAAGTAAATATATATATATATATATATATATATATATATATATATATATATTTACCTGAAAAAATATATATATATATATTTATTTTCCGATAAAATTATTTTACATCGAAACAAACGGAACCTTAGTATAAGGTTCAACTTATTGCCCGTAACAATTGCAGTCAAATTGTGCCCCTCCATGTCACCTTTGAAACAAACTTAATTGGCAAATCCACCATTACTTGAGGAAATTTTTTTATTTTTTATTTTTTATTTATTTTCCAGGCAAACTAGGGGAAGGGGGAACTCAACACTGGCACAACCGCTCGAGGAGCTGGGTGCTCTACCAACCAAGCCACTAGGTAATGCCCATTACTTGAGGAAAAAATATCAAAATTTGATACCGAGGAAGCAAAATATATTGACAAGGACAATCCTTGGGTCCTCACTGATGAGTACCAACTCTATCCTGACCGCTGATGTCGTACAATGACAAATAAACATGTCTTCCTTGATTAAAAAGAAAAAGAAAAAGAAAAATAAGGAAATAAAGGGAATGAACCCCGATCGACCTTAATGAAGTCGGGTAAAACACGTTTCTTTTCCTTGATCTTTCTCCATCTTTTCTCAGGAATCAAACGTAGCTCAAAACTCAAGACCCACGACTTGGATCTCCCATCATTGCTACTTCTTGAATCTTAAAACTCTTAAAATTACACATTATACTAGCTATAAAAAGGTTTTTTTTTTTTTTTAAAATGGAATAAAAGAAAGCAATGCAGTAACGAAAATAATCAGTGTTTGGCTCAATCATCTTTCTATGGTGATTTCAATGAAGAAGAGTTTGGAGAAAACTCAAAACCCTTACCATCCAGTCTTTCCAACACAATGTCCCAACAAATCCAGCCTCATCCAAGTTCTTTCTACACAAGAACTCTTCACTACAACTTTCTCCACCTCCCAATTTATATCGTGCACAAACGCGTATATCATGCACAAACACGTGCATGTCCCCTCTGCCTCGATTCTCACCAGCACACCAGCGGTGAATATCGCTGCCATCTTCCCCGGCCCTGCCGGGAAGTACCCCACTTGGCCAGTCCACCAAAATCACATCCCAACCCATTTCTAATACATGATTGGGAAGGTCATTAATGCCCAATTTGCAGTTTCAGAAGAGAAGGTTCTGTAGGGGCCTACACTCATTTCAAATTTGCTCTCGAAGGGCGTGCAAATCACTCACTCTGGTGGTAAATTGAACGTTGTACTTCCTTCTGGGCATTAGTAGGGAATTGGCATGATGTAGTAATGGATTGGTCCTGGAACATAAGTTCTGCTGGAGTGGGGTAGGAGCTATGGATTGGGATCTGTTCGAACTGGTTCCATGTTGCTTATCCATTATGAAGCTGACGGATGTTCTGGCTCTTTGGGGTTTCCGGAAGTGGTTCTTTTTATTTTGCTTTTATTCTCTGATGTTGGTTTTTCTGTGTATGTGTTGGTCATGTAGTCAACTCTTGTTCTTTGTGGGTCATACCTCCTGAATTGTTGTTTGTTGAATTAGGAATTAAAAATAAAAAAATGAAGGTTGTAGGCTTTGATTTCCAGGTGTTTCTCTTCGATCCGGTCCATTCCTTTATTTCCTTCATTTTCTGATTTTTAATTAAAAAATACATGTTCATTTGTCATTGGACAACATCGATAGAGTAAGTACTCACCGGTGAGTACCTAAGTATTATTTTATTGATAAGGACAATAATTAGGTCCTGCCAAAGTTTTAAAAAATTAAAAATGGGGCATACCCATCTTAGTTGAAAACCATTGTCAAACCCAAACCTGAACAGCTATAACCTAAGATCGGCAATCAAACACACAACTGAATCTTAGCCGTACGACTTCAACCCCAAGACATAGAATTCACGGTCAACCAACTCTCAGTCGCTGAACACCCAAACATCAGTCGTCGTTGCCAATCATCAACTCCAGTAACCATGTCACCGTCACCGATCAAACGACAGTCATATTCGTAGGAGCTCTTAGTCAACAAACTCAGCTTTCACCCCAGATTGTCTCGTCGCCTTTGGTTTCATCTCTGGTCACCATCAACAGAATTATCTTTCCATCGTCACCACCGTGTCTTGTGCTGCCATTGAAGAGTTGTTCATCGCCGTCAGCTTCAGTTTCGCCGGAGCATCCCATCGTCCATATAGTACAATTGGAATTCGAAGAAGAGAATAAGAGAGAAATCCTCTGTTCGCTCTTGCTTCTCAAGCCATCGTCATCAGCAACAGACTTGTTGGTTGGGTAGAGAGAAAGACACGTTCTCAAATCTACTGGAGGGAAAGACATGTTTCAAATTTGCTAGAGATACACGATTTGTGGTTCTTTTGGGTCATTCATTAAAAACGGGTTTGATTCGTTATTTATTTTTTTTTTACTATTATATAATTTTTAGGACACGTATCAAATTTTTTGTTGGTCAAGTCACCCTTTTTTCTTCTTTTCTATTTTTTTTCCGATTAGTACATTTGGTCACGTCACCTATTAGGTCCTGATAGGGAAGGACCCCAAGTATTGTCCTTTTTGTTTTCTTCTATGAAGCACCAACACGCTGATTAGGGGTAGCGTACCGATGTCAGACACGGATACGCATGTCTGAGGCTCGGACACGTGTTCGACACCTTGGAAACGTGTCGGATTTATTTTTAGTTTCAAAAGGAAACGGACACGCCGTGGATATGCTGGAGGGACACGGCTGTCTCTATTAGTTATTATTTTTTTGAAAAAAGAAAGAAAGAAAAAGATGATACAAATATATATATAGATGTAACATTCACTTTGTATATAATATAGGGGAAAGTCTGAAAAACACCCCTGTGGTTTTAAATTTGTGCGACTTACACCCTTTTAGTTAGATTTATTTATATAAATCCCTACTAGATATAAAAATATGCAATTAAGCCACACCGGTGACTATTCCAGTGAGAATTGGACGCCAATTGGTCATGTGCATGGCACATGACCATTTTAAGACCTTAAATACCAAAATTGCCCTTAGGCATATATATATCATCTCTCTATCTACCGTCGTGTGTGGAAGCGGCGGATGATAGACTAGACGGCGAAAATTGGGCGGCAATGGTTTGGACGACGGTGGAGCAGCAATGGTTGGGTTCGCCTGCATGGGTGTGGTCAGGAACGGTGATGGAGAGAGGGACACGCCATGTGTTTCTGAGACTGAGAGTGTGTGTAGTCGTGTGAGATGTTAGGGACGGTGATGGAGAGAAGGACACGGTGCGGATTTCCCTAAGAGTAATGGTTCCGTCGGCGGCTACGCGTGGTTGTGATGATGTTGGTGTTGTTGCCCATGGTCGTATATGCAAACCCGTGACAAAAAAGTCTCAATTTGGGTATTTTCTTCGCCCAGGAACAAGAATCAGAGAGAAAGAAAGATGGATGGGTGGGTGGGTGGTGGTTCACCGGCAAAATCAAGCAAAAACTCTAAGATTGATCAATCAAAGAGGGCCTAACCTTTCCAATTCTTCCTATGATTCTTGTAAATTTTGTAGTCTGCAATTACAGAGAGAGAGAGAGAGAGAGAGGGTAAGTTTAGAGTTGAGAACGAGAATAGAGATGGAGGCGATTGGGGAGGCTGAAATTATTTGCCCTAAAACAAATTATATAAAAAAATGAGCCGACACCCTAAATTCATTCAGACCCGAGATGATTTTAGGGCTTTCCCAAGCAAACACGCCGAGTGGTTCCCCACCATTGTATTAACGATCCATCGAACCTTAAACGATCTTGAGCAGTTGGTTCAGGAAAATGTCGTCCCTGTCAGAATTCTTGGTGGATTAGTAAGATGTTGAACTCATAAGGTTCTAATCCAAATGATCCTCATTCTCAAAACCTTTGTCACAAGTCTGGTATGGATTTTCGTATGTACTATGGACCATCTCCCTTTTCTTACCTCTTCTCCGAGCATGGTTCTAGGGCAAATTATTTGGACAAATTATATATTCACTCATGGTGATGATTTGTGGAGGTCGCCGACGGAGGTCGCCATAGAGGTCGTCGATTAGGCCGGCAAGTGTCAAGGCTTGCTTCGATTCAGGGGAAATTGAGCCATCGAATTAGGGTTGGTTGTGTATAAAAGGTGTGGTTTAGTGAGTTATATGTATCATTTATGTGTGTACATGTATATACAAGGGGAGATGTATATGGGATGGATGAGTGTGAAGGGGAAGAAGCTGAAACTGTTTGTGTGAATATTGCCTGACTTAAAACGACTTCGTATTGATAGAGGGTTATTTTAGACTTTTTCCATTTTATGTTATTTTATTATTATTTTTAAATCATAAATAGAGGGTTATTTTAATCATTTTGTAGCTCCGGTACCGGTCAATAGCGGTCAACGACCAAAATGCACTTATTCGCACCATTTTTAAAGTATAGGGGAGGTGAACAAACAATGAGGGGTTATACGTACTATCTCGATATCACAGGGGTGTAAAGCGCACGCGACCCTATAATATATATATATATATATATATATATATATATATATATATATATACAAGGAAAAATCCATGGAGAAGATTCAGGAAACTATATAGTACAATACAACTAAAAACTACATATCCTTATCTTTGCTCTTCTATCGCCAAGATCGATGCTCTTCTAGGTTGCGATCTGAAATTTTCAGTTAGAAAAAGTAGATGAGTGAGAAGAATGGTCAGGAGAGGCGTGCGTGAATAAGAAAGCGAGAAAGAGAGAGAGGGGAAGTTATCTTTCTTTACCCTACCCTTGTTTGGTTATAAGGTTATGACATGTACCTTTTGGATCTAAAAAAATATCCCTTGTTTGGTTACAAGGTTATCTAAAAAATATATTTTTATTTGCTTGTAGTTTAATAAATTTGGGCCTACTATGAAACTTTATATTTATTGACCAAAAATATTGAATACTTGGGGCCTATTTGGCTAGCGCTTTTGCTTAGTGTTTTTTGTTTTGCTAGCGTACTGTAGCGAAGCAAAAGCATGAATCATGTTTGGTAATATTTGCTGTGCTTTTGAATAGTACCGAAGCGCTTCTAAAATTGAGACCAAAATTGGAAGCATCAAAATGATGCTTTTGTTTGCTTCCGCACTATTCATAAAAAATAAAAAAAATTCTAAAATAACATTTTTAACTAACAATTCAAATTTTCAAACTTGCAACACTTATTACTAAACATGCTTTCATGTTTTTGCTTCTAAAAATCTTGTAACAAATTTACGTAACCAAACAAGCTTCTAAATAGTGTTGAACACACTCTAAAAGCATAAACATTGCTTCTGTTTCGTATTAAAGCAAAGGCACAAAGCAACTGTGGTTGCAAACGGGCCCTTAGTGAGTCTAATTTCTTGATTGAATACTTAGTGATCTGAACCATCCCACGTGTTGTATCGTACCCGTATCCCATATCCGTGTCCGTGTCCCTGTCCGTGCTTCCTAGGTTTTCTTGATGCAGATCTGAACCATTTATGGTACAGATTCAAATCTAATGAAAAGAGAGTTGTTTTTAGAGTTGAACTAGATCACGTGATATAAAGCTAACACAATCACAATATATATATGTATATATGACTGTCTCTTACCTTATCTAAATAAATGATATATTATCTAGTAGGTTGTAGCTATAATAATATGAAAGTGATGAACCTATCTCACTCTCGCCACCACCAACAAAACTAGAAGTTATACGCAGCACAAAACATGGATGGCATCACCAGGTACTTTCCAACTAATATTTATGAAATTTGGCCATGGGTTAATTCACCATGATGACTGAACAAGCTTTGGTAAAGTAATATTCATAGTAAGGAACTGGGGCCAAAAAGGATTCATCCGGCCCCTTTAGTGTCAAATCCTGATAAGATACATTAACATGGATGTGCTAATTTACTCTCTTAATTTACTTGATTGTTGACAGCATTAACTAGAAAATTACAAAAATAAAAATAAAAAAATAAGACAGCAGTAATGATCAATGCAGTATGCATGAAAAAACTATATATAAATGCTGCCATATTTTTGTTCCCAAATTCTTAAAATAATGTATTGCACCCTACGCCCGTACATACCTGGATCTTTTGCCGCTCTTTTTTGTTATACCGAATTCTTCAACATACTTCTCAAGAAAAATCATATTAACACAAGTTCTAGAACATACCGTATTTTTCCCAACCAATTTTCAAAACTCTGCTGAAAATTTATCATAGAAGAGAAGATAACATCAAGAAACATACATGGTTAAACAAAATGGCTGTAATAACAACTTAAGTACAAACATATAACAACCATGTCAAGTATACAGAAAATACTCTGACCTCTTGTGTACAATACCTATGAATATATTCAAGGAAGAGAAAAGAGGACATTAAGTAAACCATGAACTAATTTATTTCAATATAAGATATAAGTTTCTACATTCAGACATTCAAGAAAATCAATAAGATCAATTGCTCAAAACCAAAACAAAAAATTTGATTACAGCATCAGTGGACAAGTGCATATGCCACACAATATTTTTTTCCTCCCTGCACATTGTACATATTTCCTCTATGATCACTATCTATAGGCAGAATAGCATGAATTATTTGCTTTAGGTGGTGGAGTCATTGGCAAATTTTGATGAGGTTACCTTACATTTTCATTATGATAAAGGGTCATTCAAGCGTATCAAGAATTTAAGACAGATACTGTGTTTATGTATGGGTTCCTACACCACTCAATTCCATTTAAGACTATGAACATCCATAATTGAACCTGATTTTTTCATATCTCACGTTATTTTGGACCCTAATACCTCTTTGGACTTCTATTCATTAGGTTTGCTTGTCCATCTTTTGATATATTTCAAGCATCCTATTGATAATTGAAATCAAAGCAATTGGATTTTCTGAATTGGGCCTATATGACATGACTGATAAATAGAAATACTCCACCGTTACGCCATAAAAAAAATTAATAATAAAATAAAATACCACCTAACAAGCATTAGCTCTCCTTGAGAAAGAGGTGAAAGTGAACCTGCCTCCAGTATAGCCGCATTATTAGAACTTCACTCCCGTCACTACCCCCCCACCTTCAGCATCCCCCTCCTCGCAGTTTAAGTTAACAACTTGTAACTATCATGACAAGAAAAACTATGTTCAGAATTACATAACAAGAGTTTTGAAAATAAAGGCGACGAGACAATCTGGGGTAAAATAATGTATTGCACCCTACGCCTGTACATCCAGGAACTTGTTCAGAATTACATAACAAGAGTTTGACAGAAGATATTTGACCATATAGAATCATCCAATTCAGTCCATTCCCATTAACCACTCAAGCAGGGACCCATAGTAGAATCAATTTCAGGCTTAGAAAGTCGAAACCCCTCTGCCTCCTTGAAACTCTTCAATAATGCAGGATATACTGGGGTTGTCTCTTTTTTCTTGGAAGCTAAAGATGAGTTGGGTAAGACTCCTAAAGGTATGGCTTCTTCATGATTACGAATATGAAGGAATAATTCCATTAATTCTCAGCCTTAGGTTTTTAGTGCTTCACAGTATACATCTAAAGGAGATATAGCTTAACAAGATATCAAGGATTGGTGACGTAAAAGATTTTTATGAAGAAGAATGTAGATAACAAAAAATATCAAACAATTGCATAAGAAATTTAACTAAAGCTTGCAGCCAAAAAACATTGCAATGAATGAGTGATGCAACTAAAAGTTCAGAACGCAGAACATACAGCAAACCTGGCATAAAACGGAGAATCTTTGAAGTCAAAGATTCTTATCCAACAGAGAAAGGTCTACACTGTAGCTTCAATTGAGCCCCATAAATTGAAACAAAAGAAATGGAGCAGATCAGTTATAGAAGCATAATATAATAAATCTCTCTCAGATTCAAACACGATTCAATCAGTAATCAATCTAGACAGCACAGGCAGGTAACATTAATAAAAAAATCAAATAAATAAAAATAATAATAATAATGACTATGCTAGTCTTGTGGTTGAATTACAGTTAAGCAAATAGATAATATACTCTAGTAGCACCCCACAGAAATATTTTACTAAGAACTATATCATTTTCACTAAGAATAAAGCAATGAAGTATGTGAGAAGAGAGAGCATATTCCAGAGAAAAGATAAAAGAAAAGGAGAAAATGAATTTCAAATACACATGAAAAAACGAAAGAGGCAAATAAAAACTAAGGAAGCACATCTTCAGCCCTAAGAGCAGCAACATCAAGAACTGAGAATCAAATTGAAGTAGCAAGAACATCAGAACAAGAGGCCTATCCAATATGGAGTCCTGAATTTTCTCACCCCAAATGCCCCAAAGGATAGCAACAAATAGCATTTAACAACTATGTCCTTAATATTTGAATATTAAAGTTCTTTACTGTGACTCATCTACAGCAGTTTCAGTTATGTTCCACTATAAATCTTACTTAAAGCTAATTCAAAATTAAAATCAAACAAAGGGTCATTGTTTGGCACAGCAGGAAAATCTCAAGCTGACAAGCATGAGGATACAAACGTGAGTCTGGATAATTTTTTTCAAAGGTTAAGTTTGTCTCCCGTAGTCTTCTCCCAACACCTACATAGGCAGGACCAGCACTTGGTGATGCAATTTTTTTTATTAAAATAAAAGGATAGTTTCCCCTTAAAAGTATAAAGGACCAAGAAAGGTTAAAGCAGAACAACCATCCTGAGCTATATAAAATATCTAGCCCCAAGGAAGATGTTATGTAAATATGCAATGAAGACAAATTCCTATCAAGAGAAATGAACCAGTTTAAGATATCTGAAGGTCAAGTAGAAAATTTATTAAAGAGAAAAGCAAACAAATTTTGAAAGCTCCTCGATGACCAACAATTAGAGCTATATATAATATATTGACTGTAACAAAAAACCAATAAAGTCAGATAATTTCAATCATTTACCCTTCAACGGTGAACTTCAATGAGTGGTCTACAATCTAACAAATACCAAAAATGCTACACCAAAACATGCAATTTTCTTTACCAGTAAATCTTCTAAAATATTAGCAATGCTCTAGGTTTTTGCAAGAGGAAGCATCGAGATGCGGCCACATCAATACATTCACATCATTCAATTTCTTATTCCAGAATGTGACAGTAATTGTTGCCTTTCAACCCCAAAATATATTGTTTTTTTATTTAATTAATATTTCCACTTTCTGCGACCCTTTTATATTTATTAAAGTGAAAAGGGGGAACTATAATGTATAACATGGTAAAAAGTGCATTTTTCTTGATACTCATGGGAATTATCTACCACCTGTGATCGTTTTGGTAAGGTTGAAAAGAGAGAGAGAGAGAGAGAGAGAGTTGACTAATCATTAAGCAAAGCAAGGAAGTCATTAAAGCAACTTTTCCTCATGCAAATGGATCAAACAGGAGACAAAAGCACACACGGTTTTATTGTCAACAACTTAAAACTTCAGTGAAAGAGTAAATTTAAAGTAAACCCATTCGATAACAAACAGAACTTTAAAAAGTTAAAAGAAAACAAATAACTGTTCTCAGGAAACTGAACCAAGCAGCCCTTATATGCTATACTTGAGAGTTCACATTTAAATATAAGGATTCCATCTCATAAAAGTTCCAAGAATTCCCTAAATTTGAAGCCAAAATAAGACAAGCAAGCAACCAATTACACAGATAAAAGCATTCACAATTTCTTCTTCTAATCAAGAAAAAGATCGATATATTGATAAATGCTTTTATGAAAGCAACAAATTCAGGTGGTTAGTGTACATTGCTACATCGATCCTTCCTTCTCTTTCATCAAGGTTAGGTATTTCCCTTTAACTTTTCAGGGTGGGCGTGAACGTATGTGTTGCAGGGTGGAAGTAAAATGGTGGTGGGCCCGAAAGGAGGCCTCCTCCATCGTCACATCCTTCCTGCTTACCAAATGTAGGCTTAGGTTGTTCTGTGGAGTTTTGTTTCTATTGTTGGTTGTGGATGGTTCTCCCTTTTGTACTTGAGGCAGGCCCTTGAGTGTATAACTCTCCTTGGTTGTTATAATGACAAATACAACCAACAGATTAAATTACTTAGGATGAGGACAGAAGGCACATGAAATGCATCAACAATGAACTATAATAATTATTGTGTAATTGGTGTTATCAACTATTAGTGAACCAACTTGGATAATCGGTGGATAAATAATAACTCCTAACAACTCTATTCCAACCCATGACACATAAAGGACTTGCTATAGGGGTTCCTAAACTTTCTCAAAAGCTTGGGTCCATTTTATCAAAAACGCTTGATTAACTGACAAATGAGAAATTGTTTATCAAAGTCACTGCATGATGAACTGCCTACACAATAGATGACGTTAACATGAAATAACAAACAGTTAGTTACGATATACCAGTGAAGTGGCATGAATCATCTTCTTTGTCTTTATTCCATATGAATGGGTCAGTCGCATACAAATATATATATCCCTTCTTTTCTATAACAAGTCATTTCTCCGACTATATTTCATCTTTAAATTTTTTTTTGAATAACTTCATCCCATATTAGTTCCAGTCATCCTCTCTGTCTCTCCTCTCTTTGTTGGTGCATCAACATGTATACATCGTATAAGTCTACACCACCTATTACCTAAGTCTGTTTTCTCTTGTGTCATCCCTTTTTTCTCTTATGTCATCCCTTATAAGTGATATCCCTAATTCCTTCCTCACAAGTTAATTATTAATCGTCTCTCTTCTAATCGGTCCTCTTAGCGATGGCTTCTTCCAACCAGGTGGTTTTCCGCCCCTAATGGGACTGGCATTGAGACCCCTTTCAAAAAAAGAAAGGGTATGGATTAAGAGATTAGAACTCTTGAGTCATGTTCAGGGCAGGACCAGGTTTTCTATCACCCGGCCCCAATTATATAGCAAAACTATGCATATACAATATTCTTATTTTGAAGTACTCAAATTGCCCTTATATACATTAAAAAATTTGTAAGGCATCTTACATCTCTGATCTCTCAAACACACCTCACCCGCTGCTCCCACGGACCAGCCGTCCACTATCTCAATACTGCCTCACTTCCCAATCAGCGATTTCCTACAATCCAAAGCCTTCTCCCAATCATCTTTTGTGCGATTAGCACTATCCCACATCTCCCAAACATATTTTTTACAGCCAGCACTCTTTCGCCCATGTCAAAGCCTTCACATCTCCCAACCCTCATTTGTCTCACCCTAAATTCCAAAGTCGCAGCGTCATACTGACACACCGACACTTTGACAATGGTGATCATCCAATCAGGAGCAAAAACCACAGATTTGGTTTATTCATGATATATTTGTGTGCTTTGCTTTTGTTCATAAACGGCCGGGATGGGTGGGGTGGACTTGTGTTTTGCTCATAAACCCCTCCTGAGTTCAGGACAGGTATGGGATAGTCTAACACTTAACAAAACGGGGTAGTGTTTTGGGGAACCCCCCTAACGCACACACCCCCCATCCCTAATTCTTATCATTCATTTTAGCATTCTCACTTTTTTTTCTTTTCTTTTTTTTTTTGGGTTGCAATGCATTTCATCAAGTGTAAGTTGGAGCCCGGAGCCAAATGTCTCTCCAAATAACAAGCTTAGCCCCGCTCTTATTTAAATGGACATTAAAAGTTTCTTATACATTAGAAGTCAAAGAACACTTTACATGAGTAGTGTACCTTTAACTTTAAGGATATTTTTAAAGGCTTCAGAAGTAAATGAATTATAATATTTAATAAATTTATTATTTATGAATTTTGTCTCCCACAATTCTACAAGTTTCTATGGTATATGATCTCCTTCAATTTATGAATGGTAATGATACATAAACCCCCAATTTAAGTGATACATCCAGCCAAAATGTCCTCACCATTAAAGTTCCATCCAAATTGCACTTGACTTGAGCAAAGATACCTGCAAGAACTAGAGTCACTGAGTTCACATCAACAACAAACACAATTTAGCTTAAGTTGATGTATTTCTAGCAGAATATACTTGTCTTGTAGCCATCCAATATTGGGATGGAAATCTTTTGCCCAACAACTCAGACCAGAAACCATGTCAGAGTGGTATTGATGAAATCTCACTATTCATCTAGCAAAGAAATGAAACATCATATTTTGTTAATTTTTGCCACCCCAACTGCATACCCATTTCGTCATTTGGATAGTGATCTCTATTTTTTTCCCCGAGATAATAAACAACTCTGAAATCAAAATCAAGTAGGCATACACTATAAAGGCATGCACAAAGCCAGGAGCATTCCGGAAGATAGAAAAGGGAGGGACAAGAAATCTTTTGTGTCTGGACATTAAGCAGAAACAAGAATCTAATGACAAGTTACCAACCAAAAATACAACAATGGTACAGCATTCAGTCTTCGAACAATCTTAGTCTATGAATTTCAAGGGGAAACCTGAAGTGACCAATCCACGCCATATAGAGCCGGACATAGTCCACATATTGTTTCGCAAAAATTTAAAATAAATTGATTCTGATCCACAAAGGAAAATAATTTTTTATAACCCACCAAGACCATGAAGAATAGCCCAGAAATTTTAACATTCGATTTACATATCAAAATGTAATGAATTGGTTAAATATTTTCAGAGGATTGTGGAGGCAACAGATTATAACAATTCCGCAATAAATCATCAATTTCACAAGCACAAACTTTGAAGCATTTGGCAAGAAACAAAGCTTATGCACTGAACATATCCTTACCATATAAAAAATTTGTGAGTAAACCTTTCTGCTGAACTTTAAGCTCTTTAGTCATCTGCTTCCCCGACAGAACACAGGTTGAATTGAAAAGATCTAGAGGGAGAGAGAGAAAAAGAAAAAAATCAACCAAAAAGTTAACTTAAGAACTGAACTCAAGTATTTAAATTAATTGTTGATAGATTATGAATTATAGCTCAATTTCATACAACTATTTTTCTGATAAGGGGCAAAAACAATGATGTTAAGTTGCTATTTGATAAGACTGAAAATTAAGTACCAAAAAAGTTAAGAACTGAATTATAAGTACAGAGGTTTAACCGCTAATTTTAATTTGAGAATTTCTTTGATACTTTTAAAAAAAAAATTTAATTAATTGTTATCTTTGGTGAAAAATAAAGTCTCTGCCACTTAAAATCTTACCCCATTTTAAGCAATTTAAAGTGATATTATAGATTGGGTTATCAAATATACTCAGTTGGATAATCACTTAATTATTCAGAATAAAATACTGAATTGAGTTAAAGCCAGAAGGCATTTAGAATGATCAAACAGATGCAAATTATGTTCAACAGAAACATCCTATTGTGCTCTCTGTTTGAAGACTCACGTAGCACGCAATAACATAAGTTGACAAGAACATTCCAGTATAAATTAGGGTTTTCATGTAGTTTATGCTTTCCTGAAAGTAATTGAATAAACTCCAATAAGTATCATAATGAGGCTACTTAGCAGTCATAAATTACCCACCTGTCTTCAATGCACAACATAATGTACTGACACAATTCAACATCACCTAACAGCCTGTAGCACGCAATGACATAAGTTGACAAGAACATTCCAGTATTTTAGTTTAAGGTGTCAGTTTTATTTAACTTGGGGCTTTCACGTAGTTTATGCTCTCCTGGAATTAATTGAATAAACTCCAATAAGTATCATAATGAGGCTACTTAGCAGTCATTAATTACCCACCTTTCTTCAATGCCCGACATAATGTACTGACACAATTCAACATCACCTAACAGCCTGTAGCACGCAATGACATAAGTTGACAAGAAAATTCCAGTATTTTAGTTTAAGGTGTCAGTTTTGTTTAACTTAGGGCTTTCATGTAGTTGTTCATGCTTTCCTGGAATTATTTGAATATTCTCTACTTAGCAGTCATAAAATACTCAACTGTCTTCAGCGCCACATAATGTTCCGACACAATTCAACATCACCTAACAGCCTGTGTGGCAGTTTTATTTAACTTAGGGCCTTCGTTTGGTTCATGCTCTCCTGGAATTAATTGAATATTCTCCAATAAGTATCATAATGAAGCTTCTTATCAGTCTTTAATTACTTAAAGCGCAATTCAACATCACCTAACAGCAGTTCCACGATATCTTGCAACCAAGTAGGGCAAGGGTAGGCCTATAACCAACTCTTAACAGTCTCCTCTTAGTTGCCCTCTCCCCTTCTTCACTCTTTTTTTAAAATATATATATATATATATACACACACGCACAATATCCAGCTATATTACGCTAAATTCAAATGCCATTTTGTCATAAAGTTCAAAATAATTTACAAAACAACATATTCTCAACTTTTTAAGAATTTAATCCCATGAGAAAACCTGCTTCCAAGAAAGGGCTCATGAAATCCAATAACATATTTCTATAATTTTTCCAAAATAGCTATAGAAAGATTTGAGCCATGCAGCCACTGGTTTGCTTGTATACCAATATTGTCACAGTTGATATTTTAATTAACTTCAAATATCATGAATCTCTTTTTTCAATTTCTCTTTGAATTTTTTTTTATGATGGTAGAGAAAAAATGTTATTATCCTTGATGACTAACATTGAACCAAGAAATCAAAACTAATTAATAAAAAGATTTCAAAACAAAATTTATTGTGAAGTTACAAAAGAGCATAGGTTCATTATGGAACTGTCTAGTTCAATTTTTCACAATTCCAATTTATGATTGCCATATGTTGGATTCTTCGTTGCCTTTTGTTAGAGGCATGGCATAATTTTTAGTTGATACTATATCTTACAGAAAATATTAGGCCATTCCAGCGCCAAATTATACCATGAAAAAAATAGCCATAATTTGTCAATCATGCATCGGCTCAACCATTTATTCCAGTCTAAAATTCCAATAGGCATTGTTGGCAGTTATCAACAATTGTTTTTTAGTGCTGAAGCATTATAGAGTATTGAAAGAATTCACACTTTATCAGCAGCATGCTTACATTCACCATTTAGAAACAAATGTGTTCAATAGTTTATTGGTTTTTAACACCTAACCACTTATCATAATGTTTTCCGAAAAATTCTAACCAAAGTAATCTTTCCTATCATACGTTTCCTATCCAGGAAATCTAGTCATCTTTCAATTGTATTTTCGATCATGCATCCCTTGCCTTTTGGGTAGGCCAGTATCTATTCTCAGCTTTCTAAATAAATGTTTCCAACTGCTGAGTGTGATTGATCGTAAAACTGTTAGAACCAACAGTATAAGAAAATTAATTACTTCAGATAAATAATGACAGGGTAAAGGGCCAACAAGCAAGATTCTAAATTCTGGAACAGGATTGTCCGTCAAAAGGTACATAAATCTACAAGTACATAATGCTTATTTAGTTACGAGAATTTGACTGCAGTATCACAAAGGTAATGTAAATCATTTCATTTCAATCTTTAATCCAGACGGTCCTGCTTTGCATTTTGAGAATTGCTGATTCCTCTGCCCTTTTATCACCCCCTAAAAGCGTAACAGAGAATGCTAACATATTGCAAGGTAAACAAAATTACTGCAATAACCGACTAGCATTGGGCAATTTCCTCATGCCCTTGCTTTAGATGATACTCATTATTGTAACAGCAGGGTAAATTTAGTCACAATCTAGTAAGCATAGATACTTCCCCAAGGTCGCCGTGGCCATATCAGATACGTATTCAACACAAATACATGAATGCAGGATACAGCAGGCATATGGATATGTATCCGGTACTGCTGGTAATCATTCAGATTTTTAAGATATTTTTTTTTCTAAATCGACACAGTGAAACTTCTAGGTGTCCTGGGCTATGGCTGGGCAAAATTATATCTATTTTTAAAAAATAAATATAAAAAATCATTTTTAAAAAGAAAATAAAACAAAAAGGACTTAAAAGCCCAAACAGATACCACCTGACACTCAACAACACAATGAGAGAGAAATACAGAAAAAAACTTAGGGGAAAAAATAAAGAGAAAAAGGTAAAAATAAAGAGAAAATGAGAAGCAGAAGAAAAAGGGAGATTCAGTGTCTACTAAAGCATGTACAAATATAAAATAAATAATTTTATATTTAATAATATAATATATTGTTTTATTTTTGTATCTTGAAATAACCGTATCCTTTTTCTTTTTCTTTTTTTCGGAGATTTGATGTTTCACCGTATATGTGTCGTGTCATGTCTGTATCCCATATCCGTGCTTCATAGGTCACAATATATAGAGGTAATAATTTAATCATTCACTAAAAAAGTAAAATAAGCGATAACTTATAAGACTGACACTAAATGGACAAATTATGTCTTTTCAGCTAAAAACTATGGATACAGACATGAGATATGGATATGAAATTTCAAATTAAAATAAATAAATAAATAATATGAACAAAAAGGGTGCATAGTAATAAAATATATATTTATACATAAAAATCGTATTATGCATGTTAAATAAACATTTTATGCTTGTACCGTGAACTTTGTAATTTACTAATCATATGATTATAATCATCTGTAGCATAGAGAAAGACATAACAAAATACCATGTATATCTTTATGTTTCTTAGTGTATGCATGTAGATAAGTAGACGTATACCACCAAAATCATCATTCTTGCCTTTTATCCCATATGAACGGATTCTGCCTAAGATAAGCAGATGCATATATAAACATCATTTGATGATTTCTCCTATTTTAATAAAATATTTCTTTCTCCTGATTCTTAAACATGATCAAACTTTATATAAATCTTATATAAACCTCTAATTCTATATTCCTTACAATTATACTTTGTTTCTGTGTTAAAAGAAAGTCTTGTTCAACTTTCAAGCTTCATCAGTCGCATGCGATTATTAGTGGTCAAGAAATGTCAAGTTTTCAAGCTTCATCAGTCGACAAATGACTTATACAGATACGGCTTCTCAGCTTTTCAGATAAATCAAGGGAATAATTTATCCACAAATTAGAATTTGGGTGCTACCGAATGATCCAATGAGGTGGAAGCATGTAGAACCATTAACAAAACTACTTATTTAAAACAAATCACATAAAATGACGGATGCCCCTATCAATTCCAAAAGAGAAAATGCGTGTTATGGAAATTTCCTCTTGATCAGAATCAATCTATTATCTCCAACTGTATCATACTTTTAACCGTACCATCTTCCTTTCCAAAAACCAAAACACCATTATCATTTTGCTCCATAAAGTAAACCCACAGACCAGCGTTTTCATTTTTACTATTAAAGATATAGCTCAATGTCTTGAAGAATTAGACACAGAAGTAGGCCAAACAGAAAAAAGAGCAAGCTGCTCAACAATGCTGGCCATTGTAAAACTAAGGTTATACATATCTGGGAAAGACAATAACTACATATGGATTCTTGCAGAGTCAGTTATCGAAGTAGAATGATTGAACAGAAGAAAACATTATAGCTTGGTTGGAGTACTATTTGTTACATTAAAATTTTAATCTTCAGACATAACAAATATCCCAATTTCCCAATTTGAGTGTTGAACCAAAGAATGAGAAAAGACGGACAATAACCAGTATGGGCACCAGATATAGACCATTAACATAGCCCTCAGCATAACTCACACAAGTGACAAGCCAATAAATACAGCCAGGTCCTGTTACCTATGAGAAAGTACCACATTTTTCCAAAAAAGAACAGCATTGACTAATAAACTGATACCACAAATTTGTTTTAACTTTTAATTAAAAATGCTCACTTAACATAATACTGTCCAATTATAAACAAAACAAACCTAACTGCCACTGCAACTCCAGTTCCAAAACCATCTCCAATAACATAAACAAACCCGTAAAACAGGAAAAAGATACAGAAGGGTGAATCAACTATATATTTCTAAGTGTGAAATTACCAAAGACACGACTTGATTCAAAGTCGGGAATGAGATCGGTGTAGTCCACTATCTAGCATTGCACCATGACTCAATACTTGTTGCCACAACCCTCATGACTGGAACTACTCGACGTGCTTGCCCCTTTAAGTGAAGGATGATCGTTGGAAGTTCTACGAGAGAAGCCACAAAATGCGTTGGAGAATTCTGACCTAAATATTAGCAACTTTTACTTAATAATAAACTAATGATAACTTACTTCTGTTTCTTTCCATTCTGCTGCTTTATGCTTAGAACCGTATCCATGGCCATCTTTTGGTGTTCCTTTGTTTGTGAATGCAGTTCTAGTCCTTCCATTGTTTCACAATCAACTTGACAAATGCCACACCATCCCATGCTTGCTAACTTTCTTTTCTCAACGCCCTGAGGATACCCGTGCAATAAAAGAGATACGTAACAAATAGAAAGGGACCAATCTAAACTAAAGTGCTCTATGTGCATACCATATTCAAGCTATATCGGTCAACAGTTTCATTATCAGAAGGAAACTGAGAAAGACAAAGCAAACAATGAACAGCAAGATATCAATACTTACTCTGTAAAAACTACCATCATTTGGATATCCCTGGGTAAAATAACTGCTTCTAAATCCAGGCTCGCCAAGACGTGGATGACTCAACTTGTTGCCTCCAAAAGATCCACCAGGAGGCAGATGTTGAGGGAAGTTTCCAGAGCCAGTCAATTCCCCAATACGTGCTTGTCCAGGAACGACACCCAAACCAGCCTGACTCAGAAAGTCCTGAGGACCCAGATGTTCACCACTCAATTGGCCAGGTAAAGTATTTTGTGCAATCAAGTCACCTCCCTGCAGAGTCCCCGGACCTTCAAGCACACCTGTTCGCATCTGATTAGGTAAAAGTGGGAACCTACCTCCACCAAACAGGTGTGATTCATTCAACGCTGACTGGTTAAGTGGGACACCTGAAAATTTTCCAGATCCACTCATCTGAATGCCAGGATAGTCTCTAATTGGACTTCTAGGAGTCGAACAAACTGTGTGATGCCGATCTAATCCAGCAACTGGTTCAAACTCACGCCTATCAAGGCGCTGAGGAGGTTCCAGAGGCTTCAACCTTTCACCCCGAAACCCTAGTATCAATGTGGAATCAAAGACTAGGGACCTGTTCATTCTTGACACATTTAATTTAATACCAGACAACTGCCCAGTTGTACCACTTTCCAAAGTCTCATGTAAATCTGAATTAAGTTGTCTGCCATCAAAGTGACAAGACCTCTGATTGGAAAAAAATTGAGTCTCCATTGGATTAATAGGATGCTGCTGACCAACCTGACCTTCAGGACCATGTGGTGGCGCTTTTCCCATTATCCCACCACGTGAATCCAACGATCCAGTACACAACTCAACCTGCGGCAAACCTACTATAGGACATTCACCTTCAGATATCCTAGAGACCCCATCATGCGGAGGAGACATATGATCTTGATTGTATTGCTTCTGAGAAGCACCAGCCACATAATTTTGAGGCTGCTGCAGATGCTTTACAGCACAACAATGCTGATTTGATCGACTCTGATTCACACCCAATGCTTGACCCTGCTGCTGCTGCTGCCGCTGCCGCTGCCGCTGCGCATATTGCTGAGGCACTGGTTGTTGAACTGGCTCCATAACAGAATGCTGGTTAACAGGGTGACCAGGTTGCTGTGCATGTGGGTAAATTGGCTGCTGTTGTGAAGAAGGGACGCTTGAGATTTTCCCTTGTGATGGCAACAAGGCTGGCTGTTGCTGATTGACCATAGGAGGACGAGGTTGGGGTGGATGCATCTGAGGAGGATGTAAAGGGAGCTGACCATGTATTTGGGCCGGATATGGAGGCAGAGGCCCATTCTGGAGATGTATGTGCATAGGGAGGTGTTCTGAGGCTCCCAACTGCATCTGCTGGATAACCTGGGGTTGCGTATGGAAGTAATGGCCAATCACTGCATCGGCCGAGGGATGCTGTGTCTGAGACTGGGCATTTGGATTTGGTAGCTGCTTAGGCTGAAGAGCCTGAAGCTGGGGTCGGGGTTGGGGTTGGGGCTGGGGCTGGAGTTTGGGTTGGGGTTGGGGTTGCGGTTGCGGTTGCGGTTGCGGTTGGGGGGGTCGGGGTTGGGGTTGGGGTTGGGGTTGGGGTTGGAATTGGGGTTGAAGTTGGGGGGGTTGGGGTTGGGGTTGGGCTTGGGCTTGGGCTTGGGCTTGGGGGGTTCGGGGTTGGGGTTGGGGTTGGGGTTGGAATTGGAATTGGAATTGGGGTTGGAGTTGGACCCACGGCTGGAACTGTCCTTGAGGTTGAAATTGGTGTTGGCCCGGTTGGGGCTGAATGTAAGCCTGAGGCTGATTTTGCCCTTGAACACGCTGTGGATGCTGCTGGTAGTGCTGGATGGCCTGCTGCTGGTAGGGGTAGTAATGTTGATAAGTCTGCTGGTAAGAGTCATATCCAGGGTACTGCTGGTAGTGCTGATATTGTTGCTGATACCACGTTTCTGGAGCTGGCACACCAGCTGGAGCTACAGCTTGGGCTTTTGAATTTGCACCGATTTGCTGATTGGGATCATATCCAGGTGGTGGTGCACCGGTAGCTTGTAAAGTCTGTGACTGAGATGTCCGCAATCCAGATTGAGTAGCAGTCTGGATCTGGTCAGCAACAACAACTGTGGCTGTGGCCGCAGTGCCCTGGACACCCTGTGCCTGCTGTGCTTGTGGTTGCACACCCTATTGTTCGATTATACAAGAATAAATTCATCAAGAAAACAAGATAATTGTCTTAATGTATGCCATATATGTAAAGATATGCAAATGCTATATATGTATAGATATGCATATGCCTTATTGCACTCACAGGACAGTTTTGTGTATGCTCCTGTGCTTGACGATGCAAAATTTGGCCTCCACATCTGTGGCATACCACTGGCAAATTTCCAAAGGCACACCCAGAACAATGGGAAGTGCACTCAGATAAAGGACCCAGCCATGAGCATCCACTCCTGTAAAAGAGACAATGAACTGCTACCTTGCCTATGGTTTCAGCCAATGTTTTGTTTGATTCTATAAGTGGCTGCAGAAAAGTGTTATTAAAACAAACTTAAAAAAAATAAGATAACAAAAAACTTAGATAGGCACAGTAAAAACAAAGATAAGTGAAAAGTAACCTTAGATTCCGCTTCGGCCACCAAGTATCCATCATATGGGCAAGCCCGTGTAGTTCCCACAATGTATGTCAAACAAGGTTTGCAATAAAGATGAGTGCACCCTGACTGAAGAGCTTCATTTGGGTAGACAAGCAAGCGACATACTGGGCAGAAGTACTCTCCAGAAAGAGATTGAATGTTCAATATGCAGTCAATATCAAAACCCATGTTGGCTCAGATTTAAGCCTATCTCCTACCATACACCAATGCAATGGTTCTAAAAATTGATGGATGATACAAAATGGACAACTACCACCTGACCCTGCGAAGAAAACAAATAAAAAAACAAAATAGAGATCCCGGTATAAATAATTTTCCAAGAAAACTCTGAATTTCAACTTGTATTAATGCCAACCAAGACTAGTACAAAGAAACAAAAAAGGATGACATCTAATACAGCTCATACTTAAACAAACACAAACCAATAGCAGTCAGACTGACCATTGTCATTCCGTCACATTTAATGCTAGGGTGAATCCGGCAACCATAAACTTATGCTTATATATGCTGAATCTCGTGGGAACACAAATATAATATATACATATAAGATATGGGCAAAAACTTGGTTCATTCTGTCACATTTAATGCTAGGGTGAATCTGGCAATCATGAAGTAATGCTTACATAAGCTAATCCTCGCTGGAACACCCATAAAAATAATATGGCAAATTTTTGAAACCAAAAAGGTAAAAAAGATCAATACAACCTTGGCAAAGCATAAAATAATAACCAAAACAAACCTCATATTCCCTGCATGAATTTTTCTCTGGCTACACTCTCTCACAACAAAAATGAATTGTCGTCATTTCCAATAAATGTAATTTCTTTATCAAAATAGAAAGAAAATTCATTAATTGCAAAATTCAGTGTTTAAAAATAAAATAAAATATTAAACCAAATGAACCTTCTAAAATGCCAAGCGACAGCACAAAGACTATGCACACTAACTTAAAGCTTAAAAGAGATGTCATATGCACTTATATATATATATATATATATATATAGAGAGAGAGAGAGAGAGTGATGAGAACTTAAAGAAAGGCTCATCAGTGATCGTGCACAACCCATCACCGTAAACTTGATAAGTATGACCATCAAGAAAGCTTACTTGCATAGGCAGGCCTTAGGGGTTAACTGTTATCATCTTGATAATGGGAGACTGGTTTGGGATGTTCGATTCAGGCGTGCCTTTCAGGATTGGGAGATTGATGAGGCAATTCGTCTCTTGGAGTTGTTATATCGCCAGAGGATTGTGGTGGAGGATTCAGATTGTTGGTATTGGGTCGCAAACTCCAAGGGGCGTTTTGAGGTGAGGTCTTTCTTCAAGTGCCTCTCTGTTGATCCTAGAGTTCGTTTTCCTTGGAAGTCTGTTTGGCGTTCTAAGGCTCCTCTCAAAGTGGCTTTCTTTGTGTGGACTTCGGTTCTGGGTAGGATCTTAACCCAAGATAATTTGAGAAGGAGAAGCCAGGTGGTGGTCAATCGTTGTTATATGTGTCTTCGTGATGAGGAATCTGTGGATCACCTTCTTATTCATTGCTCTTTGGCTAGAGAGTGTTGGGATTTGATGCTTGGCTTATTTGGGTTTTATTGGGTTATGCCAAGATCTACTAGAGAGTTGATTGAGATGTGGAGAGGTTGCCATGTGGGGGCTCTCAGTCAGGATGCGTGGAGAGCTACGCCGCTTTGTGTGTGGTGGTGTATTTGGCTTGAAAGGAATAGGAGATACTTTGAAGGAAAGGCGATGTCGATTTCGGTGCTTAAATTCTCGATTATAAATTCTCGATTATTTCAACTCTTTTTTGTTGGGTTTCAAGGAGAGATCATAGATCGTTGGAGGAAATTGTTGATTTTTTGGCCTCTTTGAAGGCTTGAGTCCTTTGTGCTCTTTTGTATTTCCTTGGGTTTCTCTCCCCTCTTGAGCGTCTTTTTTTTTTTTTTTTTGATAAATAAAAAATTTAATAAAAAAACACTCCAAGGGGGAGCGGAACCCAAGAACAATACAAAAAGCCACTCAATCCTTCAAAGAGGCCAAAAAATCAACAATTTCCTCCAAAGATCTATGATCTCTCCCTAAAACCCAACAAAAAAGAGTGGAAATAATCGAGAATTTAAGCACCGAAATCGACATCGCCTTTCCTTCAAAATATCTCCTATTCCTTTCAAGCCAAATGCATAATAATATTCTTTTATTTATCAAAAAAAAAAAAAAATGGGAAGGTTGCCCACATGGGATCTTCTTGAATTAGCTTGCATTGTGATATGAATTCCAAATATATTATTTAGAAAGAATAGTTAAAATATTCTGGTAGTTTAAGATTAATACTGATTTATTTTTATATGTTCTTGCAATCTTACCATTTATCGGTAGTGTGTACAATTTAAGATTTATTCATATAGAAGAGCACAATCTCATACCAGGCTGGAGTCACTGGATAGCAATTAACTACAGTAAAAGAAAGATGTCTCACCGTAAAAAAATTTGGAAAGTTATACTTTATATTCACCAGTCATATAAAAACACTAAAAACAAGAATCAGATTCGAGGAATAGCCAAGGACATGAATGATAGCACATCCAAAAACCTTTACAGATGATGCAACGCAAAGAGAAGATCCATATTTACATAAAATCAAAATCAACATAAACAAATAAAAAATCACCATGAAATAATGTACATAAATAAACCCTAAAAATTTCTGAGATCAACCCATGCTTCCTTGGATATTTGACTCTCACTCTGCTAAAAGTGACATAAAATAAACTCAAAGAATGACTAGATACAATAATTCTTGGGAAAAAACAGGGAAATGAACTATGCACATCCAAAAAACTTTACAGATGATGCAACACCAAAAGACTCGTGTTTACATAAAATCAATGCCAATGGAAACAATTAAAAAATCATCAAAAAAATGTACATGAATATATATGTGTGTGTGTGTGTGTGTGTGTGTGTGTGTAAGCATTATCATATACAATACAATGATAGCACAACAAACAACAATAGATATTTGCACCTCATGTAGAAAGAATTCCTGAATTGTTGAATTTATTGTCTCGTTTTCCTGCATAAAATAAAATAAATATAAAATCTTAAATCATATGAACCTCCTGACATGTGAGAAAAAAAAAATCATATTCCAAGTAATAACACAGATATATCTATACATAACTAACGCAAACCTTAAAATGATATTTGGATGCGCATGACAGATATGAACTTATAAAAGGCCAATCATCCATTAATTATAAAATAAATAAATTTGATCATGCACTACCAATCGACGTAAACTTAATAGGAACGACCATCAGGAAAGCTTACTTGCATGCCTGCATGTAATACCTGCAAACATGGAATTTTGTTGATTTGTCTTGAGTTGTTATATGAATTTCACATTTACTATTTACAAAGAATAGTTACCATAATCTTATTTACCGAAAAAAATATATATAGTTAGCATAATCTGGTAGTTTAAGATTAATACTAATTTTATGTTGATGTGTGTATATAGTTTGAAACTGTGAATATCAGGTGACCTTTTGCTCATATAAGAGAGTGTAGTCTCTCTCAAAACAAATTTTAAAAATTAGGGTGTGGGATGGGGACAAGTGACAGCACAAAAACTATGCACACTAACTCAAATCTTAAAATAGATGTTATATGCACTTATATATATATATATATATATATAGATAGAGAGAGAGAGAGAGAGTTTGATGAGAACTTAAAGCAAGGCTCATCATTCATTGGTTGTATGCGCATGACAGATATGAACTTATAAAAGGCTGATCATCCATTAATTATAAAATAAATAAATTTGATCATGCACTACCAATCGACGTAAACTTAATAGGAACGACCATCAAGAAAGCTTACTTGCATGCCTGCATGTACTGCCTGCAAACATGGAATTTTGTTGATTTGTCTTGAGTTGTTATATGAATTTCACATTTACTATTTACAAAGAATAGTTACCATAATCTTATTTACCAAAAATATATATATATAGTTAGCAAAATCTGGTAGTTTAAGATTAATACTAATTTTATGTTGATATGTGTATATAGATTGAAACTGTGAATATCAGGTGACCATTTGCTCATATAAGAGAGTGTAGTCTCTCTCAAAACAAATTTAAAAATTAGGGTGTGGGATGGGGACAAGCAACAGCACAAAAACTATGCACACTAACTTAAATCTTAAAATAGATGTTATATGCGCTTATATATATATATATATATATATATAGAGAGAGAGAGAGAGATTGATGAGAACTTAAAGAAAGGCTCATCATTCATTGAAAAAAATGATCGTGCACAACCCATCGACGTAAACTTGATAAGAATGACAATCAAGAAAGCTTACTTGGCTACATGGGATGGTTGCCCACAGGGGATCTTCTTGAATTAGCTTGCGTTGTGGTATGAATTCCAAATTTACTATTTAGAAATAATAGTTAAAATAATCTGGTAGTTTAAGATTAATACTAATTTATGTTTATATGTTCTTACAATCTTACCATTTATCATAAATGTGAACAATTTAAGGTTCGTTCATATAGAAGAGCACAATCTCATACCAGACTGGAGTCACTGGATTAACCACAGTAAAAGAAAGATGTCTCGCCAAAAAAAAAAAAATTTGGAAAGTTTATACTTTATATTCACCGGGCACCGAAAATCTCAGGGAATATAAATAAAAATAAAAACCATAACAAGAATCAGATTCGAGGAACAGCCAGGGACATGAATGATAACACATCAAAAAAACTTTACAGATGATGCAACACGAAGAGAAGATCCATATTTACATAAAATCAAAATCAACACAACCAAATAAAAAATCACCATGAAATAATGTACATAAATAAACCCTAAAAATTTCAGAGTCTCACTCTGTTAAAAGTGACATAAAATAAACTCAAATAATGACTAGATACAATAATTCTTGGGAAAAACAGGGAAATGAACTATGCACATCCAAAAAACTTTACAGATGATGCAAAACCAAAAGACTCGTGTTTACATAAAATCAATGCCAATGGAAACAATTAAAAAATCATCAAAAAAATGTACATGAATATATATGTGTGTGTGTGTGTGTGTGTCTGTAAGCATTATCATATACAATACAATGATAGCACAACAAACAACAATAGATATTTGCACCTCATGTAGAAAGAATTCCTGAATTGTCAAATTTATTGTCTCGTTTGCCTGCATAAAATAAAAATAAAATCTTAAATCATATGAGCCTCCTGACGTGTGAGAGGGAAAAAAAAAATTCATATTCCTAAGTAATAACACAGATATATCTATACATAAATAACGCAAACCTTAAAATGATATTTATATGCGCATGACAGATATGAACTTATAAAAGGCTGATTATCCATTAATTATAAAATAAATAAATAAATTTGATAATGCACTACTGATCGACATAAACTTAATAGGAACGACCATCAAGAAAGCTTACTTGCATGCCTGCATGGAATATCTGCAAACATGGAATTTTGTTGATTTGTCTCGAGTTGTTATATGAATTTCACATTTACTATTTACAAAGAAAGCATAATCTTATTTACCGGGAAAAAAATAAATAAATAAATAATAGTTAGCATAGTCTTGGTAGTTTAAGATCAATACTAAATTTATGTTGATATTTCTGCACACACAAAGTTTGAAACTGTGACTATAAAGAGTGTAGAAACAAATTTAAAAATTAGGGTGTGGAATGTGGACTGTGCATGCGGTCCCCAACACCACCCAAGGTCAAAACAATAAATAATAAATGAAATAAAATAACAGTTAGTCAAATTTAAAATAAAAAATATATATAGTTTAGTGATTTTCTTCCGGCCAGATCATATAAAACAATAAATAATAAATGAAATAAAATAAAAATAACAGTTAGGTCAAATTTAAAATTAAAATAAAAGATCTCGTTTATTTTCTTTCAGGTCACATTAAAAATAAAAAAATAAAACTAAAAAAATTCTGATAGAGACAATAGCCTTCAAGAAAGTCTTTGACTCGACTCACTCTGACTCCACTAAAAGTTACAGGATCAAAATCTTCTCCTGTCACAATCAGGGATCAAAATCTTCTTCAGTGGTTGAAGTTCATCATTATCAATAATAAATTTCACTACTATAACTATGTGAAATTCACCAGTAAGCAAACAGTAACAAAATTCAACAGGTGAAATTTCACATTAGATTGAAATTCACCGTGATGCTGAACTTTACCCACAGGTTGTAACCGCGAAAAACGTGACTGGAGAGTATTTTGATCCAAACATCACACACAATAAATCTTGGGAACAACAGGAGAAATGAACGATGCACGTGCAAAAACACACCCAAAAGATTCATATCTATATCAAATCAAAATCATCGAGGCAAGTATATGTGTGTGTGTGTGTGTGTGTATATATTATCATATTAATATATATATCATTTTTTTTTTTTTTTTTTTTTTTGTAACTCAGGTGAAATCTGCGACTGTAGATAAAGATTTGGCACCTGAATTTGCTGATACAACGATCAGACTCAAATTCGATAAATGTGAATACGGTTTGAAGATCAAAAGTGAGTAGAGGAAGTCTTGAAGATCAAAGGGACTCGGAAACAGGTGTTGGGCAGGCGGAGAGAACGAGAGTGAAAGGAAGCAAGGAAGTGCCGAATCGGTAAGGACAGTAGTGCTTATATATAGAGACGAGGGCCCACTCATGCGTTAAATGTTCTCTTCTGACAGCAGAGTAACGGCGTTAGGGTAAAACTAACGCCCGCACTCATGCGAAATATGTGAAATGTGGATAATCTTGACGCAGATTTCTGTAATACTTATCCACCAAACTACAAATTGTGCAATTCGTCTTTAGTCCCTTTTTACCAAAGTACAAACTGTACAACTCATCTTTAGGTTTTTTTTGTTTTTTTTTTTCATCGAGGAAGAGTTGAGTAAATGCAAGTGGATCTTTTTACAAAACTCTATTTTTTTAATTTGAAGGTTACTGATGTAATTTGGTAATTCCAACTACAAATTTTTCATGTCACATGCTTCGATTGTGAAATATATTTCGGTCAGTGTAATTTTAGTTAAACTTTAATTTTTATGTAAATATATTCAATTATAAATAATAATAATAATAACAATAATAATAAAAAATAAATACTTAAACTTTTTTATGTAAATGTATTCAATTATAAATAATAATAACAAATAAATACTTAAACTTTTTTTTATGTAAATGTATTCAATTATAAATAATAATAATAAGAAATAAATAAATAAATACTTAAACGGATTGACAGACATCTACATGTAAGGTTCACAGTTTTTCAAATTTTCGTACGAATGGACCATTAATGGCTCTATAGCTCAATCATTTTTTAAAAATTTGTCGTTAAGCGGTCGAAATCGCGGTAGAATGTCATTTAAAGTTCATTAATGACTTTGTAACTTAACGGTATTTTAAAATTTTCGTCTCGTTAAGATCATAATAAGTGTCCTGTCAAGTTCGTTAATGATTACGTACTTGATAATCTTTTAATATCTTGTCGTGAAATGATTTGTCGTGGTTCAGTTTGCGGTATAATATCTTATACAAACCGTTAATCTATTATTAACTTAAGGATCTTTTAAATTTTTGTCATCAAACTGTCGTGATTATGACAGAGAGTCTTGTCAAGTTTTGTTAATGATTTTGTACTTAACGATCTTTTAAATTTTTTGTCGTTTAATGACTTATCATTAAACTATCGTAAACATGATGAAGTGTCTTGTCAAGTTCGTAAATGATTTCGTACTTAAAGATTTTTAAAAAATTTATCGCGAAATGATTTGTCGTTAAGCAGCGTATCATTGTGGCACGTCATGTAAAGTCCATTAATAACATCAAAACTTAATAATTTTTTAACTTTTTTTGTCGTGATGTGATTTTTCGTTAAGCAGTCGTAATCATAGTGATGTACTGTTAGATCTTTTAAATTTGCCTCATTCATAAATCAATTTGAGCAGTCATAATCACAGTGATATGTCGCGTAAAGTTCGTTAATAACTTCATAATTTAATAGTTTTTTAAAATTTTGTCGTAAATATCCTTATTAATTAAACATACAAATTTAACCACCATTTCCATATAATATTTACATTGATTTGTTCATCTTTTCAATGGAAATAAAAAAATAATATCAACAATAATGGTACAATTTGCATTATTAAAATTATATATTATTCAAGGGCATTTTGAAACAACAAATATGGGCGTTCCACCAAGTTTTTGCCATTACAACAAGAATAAAAATAATCTCAATAGTATCCGATTGAATTGGACTATTAAAGGTTTTGAATTATATTTTTGAGTAAATTTGTCTTTTTTACTCTAGGAACATAAATGGATAACGTAAGAGTTCTTAAACGAATAAAAAGAAATAAACAAGTTAGTCATGCGAATCAATACACATTAGTTCAAATGATATGATTGATTGATTTATTCTTTTCAAAGTGGAGGTTAAAGTTTCGTTTGGATAAACACGAGTAAGAAGAAAACAAATGATATATGAGTTATGGGATAAAATAAATAAAAGAAAGTATAGTAGTAACCTACATTTTATGTTTAGATAATTTACAAAGAAAAATAAAGGTGAAAACATTATTGTTTGGAAAGTGTAGAGGACAGAGAGAAAAAAGAAAAAAAAAAACAGAAGCTATTTAAGCAATTTACTATCATGCCCTAATATTAAGTTGAGTCTCAATTGTCTTTTAAATTTTCTTCTTTAAAATATTAAGGTTAATTTTAATATAACGAAAGTTTAATGTTACATTGTCATCATTTATTTCCAAATAGTCTCACTTTTGAATAAATAGCAAATGAAAACCTAGAGGGATAAGTTCCCTTCAATCTCTTCAAATAATTTATTTTTTATCATTATTAACAAACCAAACATAAAAATTACTATTACATCATTTCTTTTCATTTCCTTATAATTCATCAATCCAAACAAAGTCTAAGAGTTCGCGAGTGTTTACTTGGGAAAAAAAATACTAATCATGTACTATTCACATATTTTACATTATATTCGTAGTTAATGGTAGAATAACAATAAATTGCAACATTTGAGTAAATTAAGGGGTTTCTTGCAAAAACAAAACTACAAATTTAATTTAGCATTAATCTTTTAATAAAAATAAAAAGGTTTACGTAAAAAAATTGAAAGTTTATGGTCCTTTTTTGTTTCCTGCATTTTGCACTTAAATTAATGCATTCACTTACATTCATTTCAATTATATTTTTTAATTCATTTAATACAGTGACGTAATAGGGAATTGACCAGAACTCTCTTAATTTCGACCCAAACAAACTTTGTTGCTTTTCTATTTCTATCGTAATTGCATTAATTAGTTTTTACCAAATATATCGTATTAATTGCTTTGATGTTAGGGCAAGCTTATCCTCAAAATTAATTAGTATTTTTTAGTATTTTTTTCAAAAGTCAAGTGTGCGTCGAAAAAAGGGCTTATGAGTTGCATCTCAAAATTCAAAGTAATAATATTTGATTTGAAAATTGAATGTGTCTATTTATTATTGGTATAACCAATGAGGACCAAGTATTGTTAATTTGTTTTTAAATTTTTGTTATGAGTTTTGGTTGATCACGATATCTGGAGGTAATTAGGTTAGTTAAAAAAAAAAAAAAAAAAAAAACAGGTGGACACACACTTAAATAAATAAAAAATCAATGAACTAAAGAAATAAAAAGATTTGAATAGTACTACTAAGGCTAAAGAATTTACTACCAATGAGTACGATACATTGGTGACATAGTTTGCTAAAACGAGCACATGTTTCATATTTATCTATTGAAACTATTAAGAGTTATTGTTTAAATATAATTTATATAATTTTATTTGAAGATAATTACTAGTAGGAGATAAAAGAAAAAAAAAAGAAAAAAAAAAAGAGAGAAAAGACAATGTTAACCGCTTATTGGTCGATTAATGAAAGAACACGAAGAAAATGCTAGTAATTATATTTAGAAAAAGAAGAAGAAAAGAAACTATTTTAATGAATTTATAATAAAAAAAAAATTTACATAGATTTTGTCTTTTATAAACACAAGGCAAATTTAAAATTAACAAAATTTTATTAAAAAATTTCCTCTCCCTTTTCAGAAGTAACAAAAGTTACTACTCCGTACTATTCATCTCTTATCATATTCTTCAACCTTTTCATTTTTCTTCATTTTCCTTCCAACATTTCATACTAATTACTAAATACAATTTCTCGTCTCTCTCCATTATCATTATTTTTTTATTCCTTACATTTTCATTGTACAAGATTCGGCCCTTAGTTTTTAAAATTGCTTGGATTGTTTTTTTTTTTTTTTTTTTTTTTTGTCCAATTACATCTAAAGTAAATCGAAGCTCTAAGATTGAAAATCATTGGGCCATTATGAGCCCATTGCAAAAAATATATTTTATCCACATTTGTAAAATATCTTTTAGACCCATTCAAGTTTTAGGCATTGCTTGCACATCAAAATGAGTCCAAATAAAAGTAAATTCGGATCCGATACAACCCTACTTGCAAATAATTTCAGATTTAAACTTAATCCAATAAACAAATTTAAAGTTTGTGAAAAATGGGATTGGGCTCTAGCTGTGTCATGTGTGCTTATTTGTAACTGGTCTGGACATGGGACAAGATCCCTTTGTAAGAATTTTTTTGCATGTAAATTTGTAATGTTACGATTGGGCTATCCCACTTATTCGAAGTGTAGATTTGGACGTTTGAGGTAACACCCGATCAAGAATGTGACTCTAATATTAACTATACCCTCTGTCTCAAAAAAAAAATATGTCGTGTTTTCTTTTTTGGTTCGTTCAAAAATAATTGTCACTTTTTTTTTTCAAATAATATATTTTATATCTTTGAAACTTGAATATTCAAAACTCAGAAAGACAAATTAATAACTTTTAAAAATTCTTATATTCAAAAATGACATTTAAATTGGGATAAAGAAAGTATAATAAATCGAGTACGTGGCAAACCAATTAAAAAATTTATGTCACTAAATAGTGCCGACACAGAACCCACGTGTACCCCCGTCACATTTTCATTTAAATTCCAAATAGGAGAAGAACTTCAAGTAAGCTAGTTAATTTTATACTGTAATTAAGAGTCAACTGCCAAGCCAGACCGAAAACCAAAAGGGCTTTTGCGACAAAATGGGTAAATTTTAAGTTTTTGACTGTAAGGTGGCACCAGTATTGGAGGTGAAAAGTTTCAAGCTACCAGTCTAAAGACTCTCAACTTATCAGCAAACTAATTCAATTGCTTCATTCTGAATCCGTTTCTCTCTCTCTCTGTGTACTGTCACAACAATTTTCAAAAATGAATTGAATTAGCAGACGCTGCAATCCGATTGTATATACATGGAGTCCCGTGTATCACCGGATTGAAGGTACGAGACCTCCACTGAATTTCTCGTTGGTGATACAGTAGTTTATGCTAGGGTTTGATCTATCTATATCTATGAATGTATATATTTTATGTTGATGTATGAAGAGGCCAACATATGTTTTGATATTCCACTCCACTTGTATCAGAATTTCCCCATGATTACTTGTAATCACTGAAATAGCTTATGCTACTTAGGCGCCAAAAAAAGTAAAGTAGAAAAGCGACCGGTGATTTGGAGTTTGAAGAGTATGCCCCCAAATTTTTTTTTTTTGGTATTATATGTGGGCATAAGTTGTTAACTTCACATGGTCAAATTGTTAAAAGAAGCATATTTGAATATAAAAGGAAGGTGAAAGAAGAAGTATGTACACATCTTACTGAAATTAAAGGTGAAGAATTGAAAATGTGTGTTTGAAACTGATCGTAAAGTTCGAATTACCTTTTTTAGTACTGTTTTATGTTATTTTCTTTTTCAATTGGGTTCCTAATTTACGGAAAATAGAAGAATCATTCCTATGACTTGTATAAAAGAACTAAAAAATTTGGTGTTTATCAATTTATTTTCAAAGATTGATGGATCATTCAGAGATATTTTAGGAATTGCTTGTGCACTTTCATAGTGTGTGAGAGTTGGGTAAACAAAGGGATTTATATTAAACAATTTTGTAAACCATTTATTGTGACACATTATTGCAACTCACTTGTCTGATCTAAGATGTGTTTAAAGACGCTGGTACTATTATTTATTTATTTATAATGTTGGAAAGCATACTAACACCAGGTGTCTTTCATAAAGGAGATACCGATAGAGCTTATCTGAGTCTATCTGGTGGAGCAGTGATGGAGTTATTTTCTACTTTGAATCTCAATGTTCAGAGACCATGCGCAATAATATCATTTTTGATTTCAGTGCTACTCTTGCTAATGAGTAGTAAAGGAATACTCTCAGCTTCTGATTACTTAGTTGGGCTTGGAAGCTATGACATTACTGGACCCGCAGCTGATGTTAATATGATGGGATATGCTAACATGGAGCAGACCACTTCTGGTGTTCATTTCAGGTTGCGAGCACGAGCATTTATTGTTGCGGAGCCACAGGGAAACCGTATAGTGTTTGTAAATATCGATGCTTGCATGGCCTCACAACTCGTGACAGTTAAAGTGCTCGAGAGGTTAAATGCGAGGTAATTATTATCCAATTGAGTTCCTAACACATAGCCAATTACACTGAATCATATAGGAACTTTGTTAATTGACGCATCCATAAAATTGTGAAAAATTGTGCTAATGCTACACAATCTAATAGCAGTTAGAACCAAGGCCCTTTAAAATGAATTAATTCGGATATATAGTTAGCCCCTTTTTGTAGGAGTGTTATATATGTTCTAGCTATTAACTGAAATAACATGGTGCTGTCATTTTTGCAGGTATGGGAACCTATATACTGAAAAGAATGTTGCTATTAGTGGTATTCACACCCATGCTGGCCCTGGGGGTTATCTACAATATGTTTTGTATATTATAACATCTCTTGGATTCGTACGCCAGTCATTTGATGTTATTGTTGATGGCATAGAGCAAAGCATCATACAAGCTCATAATAATCTGCAGCCAGGATCAATTTTTGTGAATAAAGGTAATGCAAAGCTGTCTTTAATCTCTCTTGTTTTTTGCATGTTCACATGACCAAGTGTTCTTGATATCTAAGGTGAATTCACATGATCGAAATGTAGAGATTTGCACATCTATGCTAAACAAAATGGTAAAGAAGAAAAAAGATCATTAATTTTTGGTTTTTCGTGGAATTGAATTATTTTGACGAGTGGAATAAATTTGAAGCATGCTGTAGTAATGGACCCTTATATTCTAAGGTGTCTTTGATTTCCTCTTCCCGTCCTCCGTAGAAACCAGTCTATGGAAGTTCTTTAAGGAATTTTTTGAGACACTTATTTGCCAGATGTGCCCTGCATAAAAAACATAGCCTACAGCTTTATTTGGTAGAATATGGACTCCATGAGATAACTGGAAATCTTACCCGTAAAAGTGTATGATTGTTGAATTTTAGGCTTGCCTCAGTAAGTGTCAAATTGCCAATTTTCAAAACAGGATTCGACCATGAGGTTTATGTTTCAAAACACAATTTTCTGTGTCGTGTATTGTATCCATTTTTCTAACCTGGCCTTGTGAGTTGTGAGTGAGACATGTGGTTCATATCTTAGTCAGAATCAAGTAACAAAATTTTTCCTCGGGGGTTATTGAACATAAAAAATACAATTCTTTCATTCTTTAGTTTGTGGTCTCTTTCTTTTCTTTTGACTAAAATCTAATTGATTTGTGTAACACAAACAGATTCTTTGGTATCTGTTGTAACCTCTTGTTCACATTAATTTTTTTTCTGGGTGATGCTTAAGGATTCATGTCATTGTTCTGCAATATAGTTTTATGAGCTCCTTGCTCCCATTTGTTTGAATTGTGGATCAGGATTTGCTGGGAACATTGTTTTGCCACTTTTATTGTCTTATATGATGGTAAAATTATTTCATTACATTACTTTCTTTTCAAAGTAGCTATTGACATGCTCATTGTCTGCATTTCTCAGTTGGGACTTTATTATATATTTCAACAGCAAAAAAGGAAAACTAAATTTGTAACTTAAAAAGAAGGTACTATGCCCCATCTTGAGGGCATCCCCATGCATTAGCTGGCTGAAGTTCTATTGTTGTCTATTGCATGTTTCTTATTTATTTTTATTATTCATTCATTTATTTATTTTAAGGCTTGGTGGTGGTTGTTGTTCATTTATTTATTTTGACTTACCAGTCACCAAATGGCTAGATCTGTTTCCGTGCATTAAAATGAATCAGAGCTAAGGCTATAGTTTCTGAATGTAACTATTAGATATTTTTCTTACATCCATAGCAGCAGGGTAACAATTGGTTGCTTTAAATTGTTACACATCCAATCTCATGGTTTTATGCTCTCTTTTTGACATATAGATTGGCTTGGATACTTAAAAGGTCAAACGGTTTTTCTTTCTAGAATTCAATCTCTAACATGAAGATACTTCCTGATATAAAAACACCGGTTCCATGTAATCTTTCCATTGACTCTGCTGCACCAATACTCTTATAATCTTGAAATTTGCCATTGTTTAATATTTACTTTAGTACATAGTTACTCATCCTGATTTTGGGATTTCTACTTACAGGAGAGCTTTTAGATGCTGGTGTGAACCGCAGTCCTAGTGCTTATATGAATAATCCTGCAGCTGAACGTGATAAATATATGTATGATGTTGATAAGGAGATGACCCTTTTGAAGTTTGTGGATGATGAATGGGGTCCAATTGGTAGCTTTAACTGGTTTGCCACTCATGGAACTTCTATGAGTCGTACAAACTCGTTGATAAGTGGGGACAACAAAGGGGCTGCTGCACGATTTATGGAAGACTGGTTTGATCAGAATAGTGTTGAAGATGTATATTCTGATAAATCTGAAGCGAATGAAATCCCTCGAAGAGTCTCAAACATAATTTCTGTCGTCCATGAAAATCGTAAGCTAATACCTTTTCCCAGTCATCTACAGTACATTAAAACAGAACCAAATATAATGAATGAAATACTATAGAAGCGATTGGCTGCACATCATGCCAGAGAAATGAGAAATATATTTTCTATGGTTTTCTACTGTTGCTGGGCATTGCATGTGGCTTTAAACAACTCATATCAGGGCCTTTTTAGAAACCAAAGCATACCTTTATTGACAGTAAATGATAGCATTGACAAAATGAAATTTGAGATGCAAAATGTCAGACTCGGAGCTACCTGAATAAAATAAAATAAAATAAAAAAGCATAGCAATTGAGATTAAAATAGTTTTTAAAAAAATAGAAGTGAATTTTTTTTTTTAGAAATATTTAATTATCAGTTAACATCACTTGTACCTTGAGACACAAAATGTTGCTAGCCTGAAGCCTTGAACAATCAGGAAAGTGTGGTATAGATTGGTCTAGTCTGTATTTCATACCCACAGCAATGTCATTTTGAGTCGTTATATGGGTAAAAGATAGATTTGAAGGCTCAGGCAATGTGATTGTAGCATCAAGTGCACAACTTTATCATCTGTTGAAATGAGAAGAAAGGGAAGAAGTTTTTTCTTCTTTACTTCCTTTTAAATGGTTGAGATATTTTTAACGCAGACCACAAGTTCCTGGAGGTTGCTGCCTCTTTCCAATCTTCTTCCGGTAAACCATCAAGTAGGCTTTCAAGTGTTGCAAGACGTGTCAGGAGTGCTCTCAGGTCGCCTGATAAGCCTAGATTTGTTTCAGCGTTTTGTCAATCAAACTGCGGTGATGTTAGCCCAAATGTTCTTGGTGCATTCTGCATTGATACCGAGCTACCTTGTGACTCTAATCACAGTACTTGTTGTGGAAAGAATGAGTTATGCTATGGTCGAGGACCGGGGTATACTTTTCTTTTCTTGCTAAGATTTTCTGACCTTACTTATGTGAAATCAATCTCATCACTGGCTTACGTGGCAGTTACCCAGATGAATTTGAGAGTACACGTATCATTGGAGATAGGCAATTCAAAAAGGCTGTGGATCTTTTCAATGGAGCAACTGAACAGTTGAAGGGGAAAGTGGACTCGCGTCACACTTACTTGGACTTCTCCAAGCTTGAGGTTGGACTTCCTATACAGGGAGGAGGTGTTGAGGTGGTTAAAACATGTCCTGCTGCAATGGGGTTTGCATTTGCTGCAGGCACAACCGATGGACCTGGAGCTTTTGATTTTCAGCAAGGAGATGACAAGGTAATGAAGAACTCAGTTCTTCAGAATTCCAGCATACTTCTATGTTTGTAATGTTTATTCATGTCACTTCAGGGAAATTTGTTTTGGAGGTTGGTTCGCAACTTTCTTAAAACACCTAAGAAGGAACAAATTGATTGTCAACACCCAAAGCCTATTTTGCTTGATACTGGTGAAATGAAGGAGCCGTATGATTGGGCGGTGAGTTACCTGTTTGGACTTTTTTTTTTTAAACTATAGTTGATTTATAGAGTTTCAAATATGAAAGGTTCAATAATTGTGTTCTCTAAAACTCGATATGGGTAACTGTATAGGTACTTCAATTTTTATAAATATATTATATGTGACAGTTCCTATATGCATACACTGGAATTTCAGTAAGAGTAATCTTAGAGCGTTTAGCCATTTTTATGTATGGCTAGAGATTTTAAAGGCGGAGTATCGAGCTATTGTATAACCCATGTCAAACCATCTGAATTTCAGTAAGAGTTGTTTTATAGCAGCATTGATAATCGAATTCTATGGCAAAATAGGACTGACGTTGCCGACCCCAAATATTTGAGAAAAGGCTTTGTTGAGTTGAGCATTGATAATGTAATTCTACAAGTGAGATTCTTTAATGCATTCCTGAGATTTATATCTGGAAGCCTCTAGCTTTTATGCACCTTGTGTGTGCATAGAAGAGATTAACATTTACATTCTATCCGAGATAAGTTTGGGATAAGTTAGTAATGAAAACTAAGGTTTCTTTTAGGGACTTGGTGGATTATTCAGGTTTATTAAATTCTCAAAGCTGTAGAGGATGTCTATCTCATTTTGTCTTCCTTCTATTGTGGCTAATCATGTCTGTATTGTGCTTTTAATAAAGAATACTGATTATTTCCCCTTGTGTAATTGAAGATCAAGCCTGATTCCTTTGCCTACATGCACATAATCACATTTATTTGCGTCTGTGAAACACATGGTGCAGATAACTGTGAACATGAATCTGTTGATTTTACTAAGTGTATTGATGGTTTTACTCCCAAATTCATTTGTTAAATTGTATTTTCTGCAGCCTTCAATACTTCCAATTCAAATCCTCCGGATAGGGCAGCTAGTCATTCTCAGTGTACCTGGAGGTATCTTTGTTTGTTTGTTTGTTTTTTTTTTTTGGTACGCTCGATCAAAGTTATTGATTCACAGTCAACTTCTGAGTACAAAAATCAATGACTATAAAAAGCGGAACAGATATTCAATTTTTATTGATTTTATAAAAATGGAGCAATCCTCTGTTGTAATTTATTTACATAAAGTATTTCTTTCAGTTCCATCCCCTTTACTAGTCCTAATAAGGATTAAGGACTGCAAAAGGTTTATTTTGAATCGGGTTATGTAGAGTCTTCCTCAAGTCATTGAGGTTGAAGAAGATCTGGTAAGATTCCCAATCTGGTGATGCTTGATCTGGAATGCCAACACAGTGACCCTTAGAACTTGTTGAATAACTTGAGAATTAAAAAAAAGGTAGGGCGCCTATTTGGAACAGTTCCTCGTTAGCCCAGAAAGATAAAATGAAAGAAATTTATCTTCATTTACTTGAAATGAGTTTGAATTTAAATTTGATTTGTCAAGATTTCCCATAAAGGTTTTCGCCTTGAGTTCTTGACGTGTCTATCGTGAGACCCACATTCCTGAGTTGAACTTTTACAACTTGAACTTGATCAAGACCTAAGCTAACTTCTTGATTGATAAAACAGTGATTAAGCCAACACAAATTTTAGTTTCCACAATTGGTTTTGGAACATGCCCTGATCTAGATATTCAACCAATACGATGATGACATTGATGAGTGGTTTTGTTTCTGATTGCCACAGCTTCAAATTGTATCTGTTGGATTTTGTTTAGGTCAACCTGCAGCAATGGTGTCGAGTTTTGCAGGTCTGAAATTCTGAATGCCACCATAAGTTTGATTTTAGTCAAGGAAATGCATTCATCTAAAATGCTTGAAGCATACTCGAACTTGAAAAGGAGAAACTCAAAAAGAGAAATTTTAGCAGACTAAGCTGAATGAATTATTTTTGTATCAGAGCACAGAACCATTTTATAATATCAAAACATTTTATCCTTAATTTACTCTCATAGTCATTCCAAATTTCTACTTAAAGCCAGGTCATGGGTTGAGGTTGAGGTGTACCCTGCTCAATTTGCGCCCTTAGTTACCACACTACTTTGTGTGTTCTTAAGCAGCTTATTAGGATGACCTTATCTGCATGACTTCTATGGTCATGCTTTGTTTGGTAGGAGGGATGAAAATCCGAGAAGATGGATTAAAAATAATTAAAGGTGACCACACACTCTTTCCCCTTCAGAGAGAGAGAGAGAGAGAGATGACAACCATTTTATCAATACCACTTTTATTTCTTCCCCTTCCTCTCCTACCAAAGTAAGAGTTTTGAATTGTAAGAGTTTAATATTCTATTTTAGTTGTGTACCCAAGTGTTGAGTTTTCTTTTATCTTCTTAAAGAAGATGCATTATGCAGAAAGTAGAATCTAGGAATCATTTTAGAGGCTTTTAGAAACCAATTCTTGCTTGCCTAACAGAAAGAGGTTGTAAAACCAATTTTAGCTTGAAGTGCCTTCTTTTTAAAATAAGATGCATCATGCAGGAGGTAAATGCTAGGTATCAACCTAGGCGCTTTAAGAACCCAAACCGAGCTGGCGTGCCATAAAAAGTTGTTACTAAACCAATTTTAACTTAGACTATTTGCTCATCCTAAGTGCAATATTTGCTTCTTTGGTTTTGATTTTCCTTCCTTTCCCTACTTAATGGTCTTGGCTATTGTTGAGCCATTCGACGCTGATTAATTCAAACCTCTGGCAGTTTTTTGTACTGAAGTTGTTGACTTCCCCAATTTTGTACCAGAAAACCTGATTTTGGAGTATTATTATTATTTTCCGAATGGTAAAACAAACACACACACCCTTTTGCCCACGCCCGGACTTGAACCCCTCCCCTCCTCTCTGAGGATTGGGAGGTTATACCACTAGGCCAAAGGCCCTTTGGTTATTTATGGTTTTCCAGTAGTGTGATTTTGAAGTATTATTTCTGATTCTCCAGTAGAGCTAAAGACAATCTATGACACACGTTTCTCATGGCTAATGAAATTTCTGTTCTTTGATCTTTTTGTTTCCAACAGAATTCACAACAATGGCCGGGAGGCGTCTCCGAGATGCTGTAAAGACGGTGCTCACAAGTGGAGGACATGAAGAATTCAGTGGCAATGTTCATGTTGTAATAGCTGGGTTGACAAACACATATTCACAATACGTGACTACCTTTCAGGAGTACCAGGTGCAAAGATATGAGGTCAGTAATCAGAAAATATTCTTGATTTGAGGGGCCATCTATTTGTTAAATATTTCTTCTTAGGAAGCCTACTGGTGAGTTTCTTTAACTGGAGTACATCATTTGCACTCTCTACATTGGTCACATTTCTTACTTTTAAGGCTGTAAACCATTAACTTGCTCTACCACCGTTCCAAAATTGTGGACAAAATTCAAATATACTTATTCTGCTATTATTGTTTTGCGTCAAGGCAGTATGATGGTCAGATTAACACAAAAAAGCTAACTGGCGGTGGGAAGTCTTCCTGCTATAGGATTGTTGTAATATTTGTTTTTTCTTTTTCTTTTGGTGACTGGTATCAAATTTCTCAGGGTGCCTCCACACTGTTTGGTCCCCACACGCTCACTGCTTACATTCAGGAGTTCAAGAAGCTGGCAAAGGCTCTGATCAGAGGCCAATCTGTTGAACCGGGACCACAACCCCCAGATCTCCTGGATAAGCAAATAAGCTTGCTCACACCAGTTGTTGTGGACATGACCCCTCATGGTGTAAACTTCGGGGATGTCAGCACTAATATACCCAAGAACTCCACATTCAATAGAGGTGATATGGTGACTGTAGTTTTCTGGTCAGCTTGCCCCAGAAATGACCTCATGACTGAAGGTACATTCGCTCTTGTCGAGATTCTCCATGGAAAGGACACTTGGGTCCCTGCTTACGATGATGATGATTTCTGCCTTCGCTTTAAGTGGTCAAGACCTGCTAAATTCAGTCCCTGGAGTCAGGCAACCATTGAATGGAGGATCCCTGAATCCACAGCTCCAGGTGTATACAGAATAAGCCATTTTGGTGCCTCCAAAAGTCTTTTGGGATCGATTCACCATTTTACTGGTTTATCTAACGCGTTTGTGGTAACATGAGAAAGCTTGTGATGTTTGTTCATGTATTTGCTTCTGAGCAATTATTGTGTGTATATATATAAACTATACGAGTAGTTAGCTTGTTTGGAAGTTTTGGATTTGTAGCTTTAACTCATGCTGCCTGCAAATAAATAATCTCTGCAATTCAAGTATGTTGGCTGCAGGTATCATTGAAACATATTGTGAGTTGTGCGTTGTGAAATATAATATGGATAATTATCCTAGGAGGATGGTGAATAGATTTAACTTGCCCTTTTATCTAATTTTTATTTATTTTAATTTTACCAAAATAAAACTAAAATCAAACTCACAAAGCAAAAATAAAATGCAAGTAAAGTAAATAAAGTTTGAGAGATGACATTTGGATTTTTAGCGAGGAAATTTCAATTGGTCGAATAGACCAATTGTTGCGGGAAAAATTTCATGGACTGTGTAGTTCAGAGCAAACGATTCATTATGTTTGAAACGAAATAAAGTACATTAAACTTTGACTCAGGTTTCCATTCTATCGTTCTACCATAAACAATCGCTGACAATTCCCAACTTTGCGACTCTCCCGTTTAATAGCTCTCGATTTCAGTCTTACTCTTGATTTGTATAAAAGAGTTGCAGGTATATCAAACAACACTCTACAAATGCTTTGACCCCTTCAAGAACATCAGACAATAAATAAATTACACAAAATAAATAATAGAAAATATGACAGATATGAGTTTAAAACTTCTATCAACATATTTGAACATTGTAACACAATTGGATATTTCTAAATTGTGTGAGCTGGATGTTTACATTGTAACACAATTGAGATTTGTGATGTTACCTTCTTTGGGTTTTTTCTAAGGTGATCATTTAAAATGTGAAATTGAATTTATAAATTTAAGAGGATGGGATTACAATGTATCGAGTGTTCTCTTGATATTTATTTTTTCTTGACATGTTTGCACACAGGTAGCAATCATTGAGCCCTGGGGGTAGTGCTTGGCTAGGTGGACAGCTCTTTTCGGCTATGGTTGTTCGGAAACCGGCTCATCTATTCCTTAATGAGCTTGGTATTGATTTGGATTTGGTGTAAATGGATGACGTAATTGATGTGATAATTGAATTTTAATTATATTTGAGTTGCTTCAGAATTGGAATTTGATAATAAATGTTATAGCATTGGAAACGCTTTGGTTGTTTTCCGGGACTGATTTCGAGCCTTCACATCTTTAACTTCTAATATAATATTTTTGCCTTAATATATATATATATATATATATAAATAAATGCTATATAATTAGTAAAGTGTTTTTATTTTATTCAAGTTCTGATAAATAAATTTTCATAAGTATTACAAATTGTGACGAGACAATTTTTTTTTTTTTGGCAAATAACACTCTCAATGGAGAGAATCGAACCCACCAACTTTCACTTTGAAAAAAGAAAAAAACTTAAATGCAAAGAAATTTCAAGCTTGTCATTTGACTATAGTTATTAATAATATTACATACTTGTTTTAAGATTTTTGTTATGGTTGGACCATCTTGTTTACCTGTCCTTTCAACATGACCATATAATGGCCTGGATACCATTCAGATGGGCTTGTAATGTGATACCATAATCAATGACTAAATTTGCTCTAATACCATTTGTAAGAGCTGAACGCAATGTCGTTTGCCAACCCCTTAAAAAATTACTTATATAAATTTCATACGGACTGAAAACCTCAAACATATCTCCTCTACAATAATTCAACTTCTTCTATAGCTGAGGATCAAATTCTTCTAAGGACTGGAAGAGGGTGAAAATAAGAAAAATAATGGCATTAATAAAATTATTTGCCAATTACATGGGCATTAATTTTTTTTTCAATAAAAGCAATAAATGCACTCAATATGTTATAAATAGTATTTTGATCTCAATCACCCTAATGGTATCCAAGTCATAATAAGATCCTTCAGTTGAAAGGACAAGTAAACAGGATGATCCAACACAAGTTCACAACACAAGTTCATTCTCTAATTACCTTTTAAAGAGGAAAATAACAAGTTAAAATCTATCAAAAAAAAAAAAAAAAAAAAAAAAAAAAAAAAAAAAAAAAAAAAAAAAAAAAAAAAAACGACACCGTATAGTATTGTATTTGTTGGGGTTCCCGTAAAGTGTAGACTGTAGATCCACCGATCGAGTGAAATGTGAAAGGCTTCCAATTTTGAACTGTGAAGCGGAGACAACTTTGAAGATACTGAACCCGATACTCCAGAATCTCTTCGAGTACATTCCCATCACTGAAATTAGGCAAATATTTTCATCAAATTCTTCAATCCAATATATATATATATATATATATCCATATATATCCACAAAATTTTCGACTGCTTCTTGTTCAAGAAACAATTAAATCAGAGTCTCTCGTCTATAAAAGAGCAAGCTAAGAGAATAGTAGTAGAAGGAAAATGTCGGTGCAAGAATATCTGGACAAGCATATGCTCTCTCGCAAAATCGAAGACGCAGTCAATGCCGCCGTTAGGGCCAAAACTCAAGATCCTGTTCTTTTCATCGTAATTAACTTTCTCTCTCTTTCTGATTTATATTCTTGATTTCGAAAAGAATGGTTTAGTATATCTCTGATTTTCTGATATACACACACACACAGATATATGCATGTATAGTGATTTCTGTATATACTCTTTTATACGTGCAGTCAAACCACATGAAGAAAGCGGTTCCTTCGATGATCACGAAGGTGAAAGCCAGGCAAATCCTGGATAGCAGAGGAATTCCTACTGTTGAAGTGGATTTATACACCAATAAGGGCATGTTCCGTGCTTCGGCTCCTAGCGGCGCTTCTTCTGGAATGTATGTTAATGTTATCTTTTTCAGTTTTTTTTATTTTTATTTTTATTTATAAATATTTATTATTTATTGTCTCAAAGGGTTGGCCTTATTGCTCCATGTGACCAGGAGGTCAGGGGTTGGAAATAGCCTCTACGCATGTGGCTGCATACATTGAACCCTCTCCAGACCTCGCCTGCAGTGGCGGGAGCTTTGTGCACTGGGCTTGCCCTTTTTATTATTTATTGTTTCAAAATTAAAGAGCCATTGCAAATTGATTATCGTCTCTAGTTGTTTTGGCAGAAGAAAATTGCAATTAGAGTGAGTTCATATTGTTTTTCATACTGGCCAGTATGAATATCACTAGTTGATAAGATGCATTAGTTTGCTTAATTTGGGGTTGGCAGTTAATTAATCCACACATATTGGGTGTGTCATCCCATAAATGTGGTAGGAAAATTGCTCTTTTCCTTCCTTTTGATTTTCTCCTTTTGAGAAGAAATTTTGCAATAAAGAAAAGTTTCATCGAGTCCACGGGAATATAGTAATGCTGCTTTCTGCTATGATTTTATGGTCCACTCCCTAAAGGGTCATATCCATTCTGTATTTTTTATTGCGTTGTTGTATAGCAGACACACACATATATAAGTATATAACAGCAGATAATGAATCAATCTCTTTGTAGCTCACATAGCTTACATTTGTCTGGTTACTGATTCTATCTCTCTTGTGCCTTTGTGTGTGTATGCATGTGTTTCTGTGTGTCCAATATGAAATTTCCACTTTGCGTCTTCATTGTTAACACTCTGCATCAAATACCATGTTACAATTCCTTTATCATATGACTCCAGGTATGAGGCTATTGAATTACGCGATGGAGACAAAGGAACATATCTTGGAAATGGTGTGCATAGAGCTGTTAGGAATGTCAATGAGAAAATATCTGAAGCTTTGATCGGTATGGATCCAACTCTTCAGTTTCAAATTGATCAGGCCATGGTAGACTTGGACAAGACAGAGAAGAAGGTACTTCTAACCTTTTTTCATTATAATATGCATTACATCTACTTGTTTTGTATGGAAATGCCAATTCTCTACACCATGTATGGTGAAATTGGAAGGATGTCATTTTTCTGAAAGAAAGCTTTCGGATTGGGTTTCCTAAATACCTTGAAGATCTTGATGACTAGCGTTGAAACAACACATTCTAGTTATAATTATAATTACAATAATAACAATTATTATTATTTGTGTGATATGTAAGCCAATCCCAAAACCACTTTACCCAAATGGGAAGTTGAACCCTCAACCTGTTCTTTTAGGAGGAAGAGGCAATGCTTGGTGGTTCACAATTGAAATATTGCTATCTGAAAGTTTGAATGGGCGACAGTCAATTTAATCTGAGGCAAGCTGCAATGATTTTGTTGAGGATAAGTCATATGCAGCTGTCAGTTGTGAATCTAAACAATTTTGGCTTGAATACATTTTTCAAACAACATTTAGATTGATGTGCTCTTTCTTGAAACTCAATTTAGTTCCAATTTTTTTTTTTTGATAAGTAAAATTTTATAAAAGAGCGCTCAAATGGGGAGCGAATCCCAAAGAAATACACAAGGCCAAAAAATGCCTCAAGCCTTCAAAGAGGCCAAAGAAACAACAATCTCCTCTAAAGATCTATAATCTCTCCCTGAAACCCAACAAAAAAGAGTGGAAATAATAGAGAACCTAAGTATAGAAATAGGCTTCTCCTTTCCATCAAAATATCTCCGATTTCTCTCAAGCCAAATGCTCCACCAAATACAAAGAGGCGTAGCCCTCCAAGCATCCCGAACGAGAGCCCCAATTGAAAAACCTCTCCAAGCCTCAATCAACCCTCTAGAGGATTGAGCCATGACCCAGGGAATCCCAAATAACCTAAGCATCAAATCCCAACAGTCCCTAGCCATACTGCAATGCAAAGAAGGTGATCCACTGTATAACGACCGGACCCGTAGGCCTGAACCATTAACTGGGTTCTTATCCAAACCCGAGGTTACCTAGGTCAATGTCATCTAATCCGGTGCTATTACGTCGTTAATACATCATACAAATGCTCCAAAAAGGCCCTAAGCAACCACCCAAGGTTCAGTGTTAGGCAAACTGAACGAGGGAACAAGATTCACCAAACAGCAGCAAACCGGTCGACCAAAATGGAGCTTCGGTTGACCGGAATAGCTCCTGGACCGGTCGACAGAAATGGCCATTTCGGTCGGCCGGTTGTGACCTAACAGTGATGGAGGCTACTGGAAGTTTCAGTAAACCGAAATGCCCATTTCGGTCGGCCAAAATGGCCCTGCGAGCTGAGGAATCTCTGCTGGACTGCTATAAACATAAAGATGCAAAAGGGTTGCTATGGCACCTTTAAAACAGATTAAATTCACTCCCATACATATATAAATTTGTAAAATACAACTTAGCAACACCCAACAACATCATGATACATGAATCTTCATAGTTCCTTACAAAAGAACAAATGTTTACAAAATTTACACTCCACAATTTACAATTGTTTCTACAACTTCTACATTTATACAACATTATGCAAAATTACACTCGGTTGCTACAAAAGTTAATAATAAATTTAGCAACATAATAGTCTTGGTCCCGTCTAGATTTGTGGTGGATTGTCGTCCGCCACCTCCTTTCCCAAACCTGAAAATGTTAATAATAAAGGGGTGAGCCTAAGCTCAATAGGAAGTGTCTAAGACACACTTCTTATGTCCTCGTGAATCCATACAATGAATAGGAAGAGAAGAGGACGGGATCATGCCAATTCCGGGGGAAATACAACAATAATATCAATAGCAATAACCCAATTCACAAATATACATGTCATGCCGTGTCATGTGATGTCTCTCCCCAATTCCCAAAACAATTTCTTTTCACCATTTCAAACCATTAATACAACCCGACCCATAACACCTCTATGGCGTCACAAGGAAAGGGTTGGCTAGCAATCCTCGACCACATGGCACCTCCATGGTGTCGTCTGGGCCTAGGTAGCTCAACCTCCTTCTACATTACATTAACACCACGGACCATTAGGCGTCCGGTTTTCACAAACACTTTCCAGAAACATTTTCCCAAAACCATTTCATTTGCTCTAAAAAAAAATACTTTTCCCTTTTTCCTTCCCAATGGATGATGAATGCTTCATGTTTCTAATCATCAATTGAACTATAAAATTGTCACACATACTTTCAAAATAACTTTTAAGATACATAATTCATACTTTCATTCAACATTGATCTAGCAAAGTAAGCATACAAGACAAAATTTCTATTTCACATAGGCATGCTTGCAAACAATATATCAACTAACACATTATCACATATTTCATATACCACACTTAGGCAATTTGCAAGAATTTAAACTAATTAAGCATGCAAATCAACAAACTATAAAGAAATAACTCACAAAGGTATAAGAAATCATGTATTAGAGATCCCTACCTCTAAAAATGAGAAAACCCCCAATTTGAGCCCAAAAATTCCTCTAGGTTGGCCAAAATGGTGAATTGCTCCTATCAACGCGTAGATCACAACGAGCTCTTCGATTTGTCGCAAACGGCACCAACAAATTCTCAAAATTGAGAAAGTAATTGAAGATTGAAGTTTGAAGTTTGATGGAAAAAGAAAAAGAAAAAGACAAGGGAAAGAGAGAGATAGTTGGGGAAAGAGAGAATTTGAGGCCAAAATGGCCTCTTGGCCACTAGAATAAAATAAGTGGTAGGTCCCACCACTTTAAAATCTCCCACCTTTTCCATTATATATATGTATATACTTACAAATAGAATTCCAACCACTCAATTAACACATTAGCATAAAATTATGCACAAAATAATTATGCATGAAATGCAATGGATCCGTGACTCCACCCCCGTGCACAACAATTCCGGCAGTGGGTCCCACCCAGGGACTGTCAGGCCCGAAAAATGGAAAAATACTGAAATGACAACCCTTGCATTTCAAAGAGTCCTGAACTCAATGAAATGCCCCATCCAACTCTCGGACACACCCGGCACACTCCACGGTGTCTGGTACGCAAAACTAGAAAAGACAAAAATGCCCCCGCAAAAAAAGAAATTCCAGAAAATGAAAAATGGTGAAAAACAGGAACATCATACACTGTTTCCTCATCCCGCAGGCACAAGTAACATCGATTAACCCCCACCTGATTCCTCCTCCTCAAATTATCTTGGGTTAATATCCTACCCAAGGCAGAAGTCCAGGCAAAGAAAGCCACCTTGAGAGGAGCGTTAGAGCGCCAAACAGACTTCCAAGGGAAATTGCCTCTAGACCCAGCCGTGAGACATCTAAAGAAAGATCGAACCTCAAAGCGGCCCTGAGAGTTAGTGTTCCAAAGCCAATAATTAGAATTCCCTACCACAATCACTTGACGGTACAACAACTCCAAAAAACGAGTGACCTCCTCAATCTCCTAGTCCTGAAAGTGCCTCCTGAACTGAACAGCCCATAACAGCCTCCCGTTATCAAGAATTCAAGATGATAATAGTTAACCACCATGGCCTGCCTATCAGAAGCAATCCTGTAAAGCTGTGGGAAAGCGAGAACAAGAGGAAGCTCCCTACACCAATGATCCTCCCAAAACTTAATCCTCCTACCATCCCTGATCTGAAAACGAACATGTTTGTAAAACTCATCCCATCCTTTCCGAATGATCCTCCAAATCCCGACCACCCCCCTAGGACCACGTACCTTCAGAGAACTCCACCCACCGCAACTTTCCTGAATCTACTTGCGACAATCCTCCTCCACAACCAATGCCTTTCCACCCCAAACCTCCATTACCATTTTCCAAGAAGGGCTTTATTGAAGGGCACCAACCTCCTAATCCCTAAACCTCCACACCGTAGTGGACAACAAACATGCTCCCACCGAACCAAATGAAACTTGAACTCCCCCCCTACCCCCAAAACAGAAAATTGCACTGCAACCTCTCAATTCTCTCAGCTATAGAAATAGGAATCTAAAAGAAAGAGATGAAATAAGTGGGAAGGCATGAAATGGTGCTCTTAATCAAAGTGACTCTCCCCCCTTGGAAAAGTACTGCTTCTTCCAACCCGTCGGCCTCTTCCCAAATCTATCCACAACCGGATCCTAACTCATAACACACCTCGAAGGAACACCCAGTGACAAACCTAAATAAGAGATAGGAAAAGAGCCAGTGCGACATCCAAGAATATGAGCAAACATCTCAATCTTTGGGATCTCCCCAACCGGCACCAACACGCTCTTACCAACATTCACCTTAAGGCCGGAGACAACTTGGAACCAAATCAAAGCGCATTTTAAATACCTTAGCTGTGACACATTCGCATCACAAAGCACTAAAGTATCATCTGCAAACATCAAATGGGAGATCTCCAACTGACTAGCAGCATCCCTTCCCATTCTGAAACCTCTAAAAAAAACCCCTCTTCATCAATCTACTCAGAGCCTCCCTCACCAAAAGGAACAAGAAAGGAGACAGCGGATCCCCTTGTCTCAATCCCCTCGAACTTGAGAAAAATCTCGTCGGAGCTCCATTCACAAGGACCGAGAAACGAGCACTAGAAATACAAAAGAGAATCCATCTCCTCCACCGCACACCAAACCCCCTCCTCTCCATCAAGTAGAGGAGGAAGCTCCAGCAAACATGGTCACACGCCTTCTCAATGTCTAACTTGCACAACACACCCGGAACCCCATTGCTCAATTTGGAATCCATACACTCACTAGCAATGAGAACTGAATTCTGAATCTGACGAACTCCCATAAAAGCATTCTGGGAGTCAGAAATCACGCCGTCCAAAACCTTCCTCAACCTAGAAGCCAGGACTTTCGCCATCAACTTGTAAATACATCCCACCAAACTAATAGGGCGAAAATCTCTAATATCCAGCTCCCCTCCTTTTTTTGGAATGATATCAATGAAAGTGGCGTTCAAGCTCTTCTCAAAAGAGCCCCCAGTATGGAAAGCATAAAAAGTGGCGTTCAATCTCTTCTCAAAAGAGCCCCCAGTTTGGAAAGCATGAAAAGTGGCGTTCAAGCTCTTCTCAAAAGAGCCCTCAGTATGGAAAACATGAAAAGTGCCCATCACCTCCTCTCGAATGACCTCCCAACACTCCAAAATGAATCTCATGGAATAACCATCTGGACCTGGGGCTTTATCCTAGTTACAACTCCTCAAAAGAAAAGGGCTCCTCCAGGACAGAGCACTCCTCACTCGAGATAGCATCAAAATGAAGCCCTGCAATCAAGGGTCTCCATCCAGCAGATTCTGTAAACAACATCGAATAGAAATCAGCAATACCCTTGCAAATATCCTCCTCCTTACACAACACCTCCCCATCCACCCGGATCCTCCCAATGTGATTGCCCTTTCTATGAGCATTGGCAAGTCTATGGAAAAACTTCATGTTATTATCGCCTTCCTTGAGCCATAGAGCTCTAGACTTTTGCCTCCACGAGATCTCCTCCATGACTGCAATATCAACGAACTCCACTTGACACTCCACCCTCCTACCTCTCAAGGAATCCGTCAAGTTGCCTTGACCCTCCATCCGATCAATCTCAACAATCTCAGAAAGGACTCGATTCTTCCTCCAAATCAGATTTCCAAAGTCCTCTTTGTTTCAAACTTTTAAATCATTCTTCAAGAGGCGCAGCTTACCTGCAAGAGAATGACTTGAGGTGTCAATCACTCCACCCTCCTCCCACTAGGATCAAACTCTCTCCAGAAAACCCTCCGCCCGAAGCCACATATTCTCAAATCTGAAAGGGGATCTTCGACTATGCATCCCACCACAATCCAACATCAACGGAACATGGACAGAAACAGGGTGAGCCAAAGTGGCCTGGACAACATCAGAAAACTTCTCCTCCCAATCACTCGATACAAGGAATCTGTTAAGTCGAGAAAGAGTGGGAGGAGAGCGGCCACTAGACCAAGTGAAAGGACCACCACCAAAGGCAAGTCACATCAATGAACTCCGAAAAAGACTCCATGTTTGTCGTCCACCTACCCCCCGTCGACCTCTCAAAAGGAGACCGAACAACATTAAAATCCCCTCCAATACACCAAGGCAAAGACCATCTCCTTTGAACCTCTCCGAGCTCACCCCAAAATAGATGGCTCACACTATCCTCTGTAGGACCATAGACGCCAGAAAAAACCCAACGAAATCCATCCTCCACCAAGGAAAGAACACAAGAAGCAGAGAAATTTAGTTACAAATGGAAACTGATTATGGATGAAATTCATGTACACATCAGAGAACATTTATGACAAGGCAAACATTTATGACCAGGCAACTTTTTTAAATTTTTTGGAAGAACCAGAACTTTTATGTGATAGTTCTCTGGGGACACACATCTCCTAAATATATCAAGCCTGGGATTTTTTAAGGGTTGTTTTTTGCACTTAAATTTTTACCCAAGCTCTCCTTTTCATCTCAGACTAGCCAGTTATGGGTTGTATATACACCCCCCCCCCCCCCCCCCCCCCCCCCCCTCCCCCTTCTTTTTTTTAAGTACACGATGCTTTCATCAACCTGCTCATTTTGTTAGAGGCACTTCTGTAGGCATGGCCTTTGCTATTTTGCATCTGTCTTCATCTAAAAAATGCACACTGCAACAGCCTATTTTAAGGTGATTGTTTGCTTTTTGGAAGAGATATTTTGTTTTCCTATTGAAGAGTTAAAACTTCATTTCTTGTCCATTCTTTCTTTTGGTATTATCTTTTTTGTTTCGTACTTTTTTTGCAGGGTGAACTTGGTGCAAATGCGATTTTAGCTGTGTCAATTGCTGCTTGCAAAGCTGGAGCTGCTGAAAAAGAGGCATATAGTTTTGTTGCACTTGCATTTTCTAATCTTCATTCATTAACTGCAAGTTGATTTTGAATACTTTTTTTTTTTTTTTATTCTTTCTAATTTATTTGAGTAACATTATATTCAGGTTCCACTTTACAAACACATAGCTGATCTTTCTGGCAGAAGCAACTTAATTCTTCCTGTCCCTGCCTTCTCTCTTATAAGTGGAGGAAAACATGCTGGGAACAATCTTCCTATTCAGGTATGCGTTGTTGAGGTCCTAGTAAAGCGATATGTTTGGGGTTTTTATTATTATTATTATTATTATTTTCTCTTGCTCAATGTTCTTAGGAGATACCTGATGGCATTTCCTTGAAGCTCTATATGATTTCATGTTAGTGACAATTATTCAATAGTGAACAATATATATATTAGCATAGCATTTCAATTGTGTTATACCATCCCATACAAGGATGATTATGAAAAATTAAAGAAACATGCTTTGTTAACTAACGCTAGAAACCCTGGACAATTTTTTGTTTCTTTTTGTGGAGTCCTGTTTACAGTAAACGGTCTTATTTTAAGTGTTTTCTTACTCTAAATTGTGAAAACTTCTTAAAATCCAAGTACATGTTGGTGGAACATGCACCTCTATGCAATGCATCTTGACACTTTTTTGATACATTGATACAACAAATCTCCAAAAATAGGATACTGGTACAGCAAGATATGGCAATCAAATAACAATATATTATATTTTTATATATAAAAAATTAATTTATTGATTTGTTTTCCATAACATTATGAATGTAATATAATCACAAATATGCTCATAAATAAAGAGACAATTAGATAAAATACAAAGATAGAGAATGAAAACCCTAAATCTATAACTTGAATGACCCAAGTTAATGCATTCTTTAGTAGACATCGGATCTCCCTTATTCTTCTCTCTTTCTCTCTGTTTGCGTTGATAAGTATTAATTTAGGATTTTAAGTCCTTTTAGTTCTATTTCTTTAACAATGAACTTCTTTATTATTACAATTCAACCCCCATTTTTATAAAAGTATTTAAAAATTAGCCCAGCCGTAAGTATCCTGCCGTATTTTAGCAGTATTGATTGGAAGAAAAAAAAAATTCTAGATACTTCCCAGCCGTATCAGACACGTCTCTGGCGTGTATCCATGTTAGTGCTTCCTAGGTGGTCCTGGTAGGAGTATGCTTCCTGGGGTGTCCAGAATTCGTGATCCCAGGGCACTGGGATTTCTTTTTGCAGGATGCCTGATGAGGGTACACTGAAATTTCCAGGAATGTCTGAGCACATTAAGGCGGAAGGTGTGACTACAGCAAGGAGGGCCATAGAGCTAGAACACTTTTGCTGAAAGCTTCTGCATGGACAGAATTATGCTTTTGAATAGAAAGAGAGGAACCCTGTTTATAGTTTTATACTAAAAAAATAGCTTTGTAAGGTGTCAATAACTAGTTTTTTTATTTTTTATTTTATTTATTTATTTGATTCTCTCACTAATGGAGTTCTATTGCAACACCTACTGTTGCCACTGGTGTCTGTTTCTGAATCGTGCAGTCCAACATGCTGCTCAGCAACATTCCAACTGCCTAGGATAATAACTATTGAATTCCTTTTCTTCAAGTAGTGCAAGGCCATTTTATGTCATTTAAGATGTTTCTAGTGTCACGCAGCCTAATACTGACCTAGTCAACAACTGGGATTGTCCCCCCAAGGTCAGCTTTGTTTTTCTGTGCTGATGAAAGAAAGCTCAAGCACAATCAGCTTAAGATTGTTGCCCTCTACTCTCATGCTTATGCATTATCAGTGTTGTGGGTGACTGATTGTTTTGTGATAAAAAGGTCACTTCTGTCATCCTGAGTTATGGGGTCAGGCCACATGGCTGTGGTGAATTTGATGTACCAAAAGCATGCATAAAGCAGCCACAGTTTTTATTATTTAGTGATGATGCATCTTCTTGTTCTTCTTTTTCTTTTTGTTGTTATACTCCAGTTTGCTTCTGACAATAACAAGTATGCACCATAGTTAGCGAAGATTCTACTTCATTACATTTTTCTTTGACATGCACTCAAAAAAATAATAATAATAAAAATGATTCAACATTAGATACAATGTTCTGCAAATGTATTATTTAGTAATTTCCTTGCATTTCTTCTTCTTTTTTTTTTTTTTTTTTTTTCCCTTCAGTAATTAAGAAAAGAAAAAGAAGTGATTTGGCTTTTTTTACACAGGAATTTTTGTCTGTTCTAGCTGTATGTGAAATTGTGTATCAATATTGATTTTTCTTCTTCAAACATTTGACATATTAAGGTTGATTCTTTTACCATGTTGTTTAAATTAAGTAGAACTTGAAATTTTATCTCCTAGGATATTATGATTCTCCCAGTTGGAGCAAAAAAATTTGAGGAGGCATTGCAAATGGGCTCTGAAACCTACCATCACTTAAAGGTAAGTTCTTCTTCTTCTTCTTCTTTTTTTCTAAGTCACATAAGCTAAAAGTTACATCTTTCAGATTTTGATCTAATTTAGTGGATCCTAATCTATTAAAGCGAATTGCTCGGTTATTATTGCATTATTGATAAACAACTTATGTTTTTTTTATTTCATTCAGAGGATAAAAGTGATTTGACCATTGTACAACTGCTGTAACTACAATTTTAGAATTTATGCTACTATGTTTTTCAAAAGATAGAGAAGTTTATGTAAAACTAACAAATAAAATTTGAGGAATTATCATTCATCAACTGTACTTTTGCTTTCATGGCCTTATATATTTCTCTTAAATTCAATCTTTTTTGAATTAATTTTCTTCAACATCCATACCATGAACTGCCATTCTTTACTGGAAATTTGAATCACAAAATTGAAGACGGAGTAGGAATTAGTTTTGCAGATCATTTGTTCCAAATTGTGGTTTTGCAGTTTTCTGAAAATGTGACATCAAAAAATTGTTATAGCAACTTAGGAAACAAATGCAAAAGTTTCATTTTATTTCATTTGCTTCCTTGCACATTGACGAGTTCAAAGCCACTATCAATGGTAACACACAACTGGCTGTTTAATTCAGTTTTCCAAGCGGAGAACTTCTTCTTTTTCGTTGAAACAGTTGCGGATGATTGATGTAATTTTGTCCAGTATGTCTAATCTTTGTCAAAACACACATGATCTCAATGCCTAACGTACCCAATATTTTTTCGCAATTGGCATATTTATTATTGTTCTGAGATATGCTCATGTCTCATTTCCTGCCCATGCTTCTGGCTCAATCATTTATTTTCATTTCTGTTCACAAAAAGTGCAGGCTGTTATTTCAGAAAAATATGGTGCACATGAACGTAATGTTAGTGAAGACGGTGGTTTCGCTCCAAACATTTCCAGGCAAGTTTTATCTCCACATTGGGCATTCTTATTGAATGTCTTTTTAGTGATCTTGGTTGTCTGCATTTGCAGCTTAAGAGAAGGGTTGGATCTTGTCAAGGAGGCCATTGATAGAACAGGCTATAATGAGAGAATAAAGATAACAATTGATGTTTCTGCCACTGATTTCTGCATAGGTAGTGTATTCTTTCCTCCAAAAAGATCCCACAGTGATAATAAATTTTGAATACAATGGTATCACTAGTTGAGAGACGTCATTATTGTGAATTGTCATAGGCTGACAAGCAATCATGCGTGTCCAACTTAGGTCATTTTCCTGGGTTTTGCTATGTGCATTTATATATTGCTTATAAGAAAACTGATCCATTTTTCCAATTTTCCTTGATTTAGGTACAAAGTATGATCTGGATTTTAAATCCCCAAATAGATCAGGGCAAAATTTCAAGTCAGGAGAGGATATGATTGCAATGTATAAAGAACTTTGTTCAGGTATATTAACTTCTATTTAGGTATCTCGGGTTGTTTTTCCTATCACTTCACTTGAAGACTGCACAAAATTTGGTAGCATGGCTTTGATAATGAGACTTCTTTCTTCTTTTTCTTTATCCATTTCTTTGAATTTTATTGGGCTCGTAGACTACCCAATTGTAGCGATTGAAGATCCATTTGACAAGGAGGATTGGGAACATGTCAAACATCTTTCTAGCCTTGGAATATGCCAGGTTTGTACAATTCTCCTTCAATGTTAGCTAGTTTCCACTCAGGTCATTTAAATGAAACTGCTAGATGGACCCATTTGCACCACAGAAGGCACCATGCTGACGGGCGAGGTACCATCATGTTTGTTTCCTATATGCAACAATGACTTGAACTAAACAGATATCCTTTCCTGCCCCTCCCCTATCGGGATGGGTTTGTAGTTAGAGGTGCGTGTAGATAAAAAATCATGATCTAAGACAGTAGTTGCAGGTCATTTTTAGCATAGATCGATAGTCCAGACCCCAATTATACTACATGTCTCTGTGTAGCCTCATATCCAGATATGTCTTCAACAAAGCTCTGAACGTATTAATGGTTACAGTGCTCAGTTAGTTTTTGATGGGAACACTACCTTGTCAGTATACTTAGACATTATTTTGTCGGTTACTTTTACTATTCATATATTTTATGACAAAGATCCAAAGCCTCAGCATAGAGTCTGTGCCCTTTCCTGTCCAAATGTTCTGTTGGTTCCTTGGATGCCTAAGGATCCCTATTTATATATTTATCTATTTTTCTTTTCAATTCTCTCTTTGTATTCTGTCAAATTATATTCAGGGGAAACTTTTTTGTTCCAGGTTGTGGGGGATGACTTGTTGATGTCAAATCCAAAACGCATTGAGAAAGCCATTCAAGAGTCTGCTTGCAATGCTCTTCTTCTCAAGGTATCATGCTGATCCATGAATGAATTCTGAGGCATCGTTGTCAATGTGATCCTCATATTGTGATGATCAGTCATCCTGGGTATGACTTTAGGGCTTTCTTGTCAAAGTGATCCTTCTATTGCGATGATCAATGGTCCAGTGTTTGATTTTAAATTATTCCGTATTTTCTTTGCTATTAGTAGTGACCCTTTTTTTTTTTTTTTTCTCCTTGTTTTAAAGAAATAAATCCACTACCTCATCAAAGCCTTGAACCAATTATTTGGCTTGATTGTATGAATCTTGTTTTGTCATTTTCTTATGCCTAGGATAATAAATTCAATTAAACCATATGTTATCATATTGCACCAAAGATGAATGGCCCAACTGGAATATTTATTTAAATAAGCCCAATTGCTTAGCTAGTTGCGCCACTCGCTTTCTTGTGGCTGAGCGGTATTCAAAAGCTGTGGGATGTAAAATACATAGGTAGGGGAGCGTTCTGCCTTAGAGGGAAGCATCTGTGAAAGCAGAAGCAAGAATATCGGCTTGAGTAAAGTAAAAACTGGTGAGAATCCAATGCCCTAAAAATCTAAGGGTTCCAATGCAAGGTCCATCCGTGGATTGGTGAGTTTGGGTTTAATGCTCTGTTTGGTAGGAAGGATGGAAGAGGGGTGGAGGGAAGACATGAAGGAAGTTATAAACTTCCTTCATATTGTAGAGAGGAGGCAAGGAGTTGAGAGAAAAGAGGATGGGTGAGTCATCCTTCCTCCTTAAAAAAAAAATTTCCCTCCAAATACGGACGGAAGAAGCGAAGGAAAAGAGGTAATGCTATTATAAAAAAAATTCAAATTACAAAACTTTCCTTATAATTAACATTCTCTTTTCTCTTCTCTCCTAACAAACAAAATAAGGTATTATCTCATTCTTTTCTCTTCCATCCAACCAAACAAAAAGAGGGCAGGACTCAATCTCTTCCCTAGGGATGTCTCATTCATCTCTTCTTCTCTCCCTTCAATCCAATTTTCTTTCTTCCTACCAAACGGAGCATAAGATTAGGCCGAAAGATGCAGTCAGTGGACAACATGTGAAAATTCTTGTGGTATCCCTTGTTGGTTTCCTGGGATGGAAGAGGCGAGGTTAGTCGAAAGATAGTTATTGATTCAAGGATGTAAGGTGACCTTGCTTTTTCAGGTAAGAATGGATAGAGGAAATGCCTCGAGTCAATGTTCAAGTACCAAGTTGTATGCCGCTAAAGTAACCCATGGCATAAGGAAAAGGTCGAATGACCTTCAGCAGAAAGGAACTCGTACTTGAAATCAAGACAGGTAGATTGGCTAAAATACCTAGGGGTGCAAGGCAACTCTTTATAAGGAACTTGGTAAAATAGCCCTGTAACTTTGAGATAGAGAGAGATCACCCCTCAAAGATTTGGTTGCAACGACTAGGCCGGACAACTGCCCACAAAAGACACAAATCTGCAAAGTCATAAGACCGTAACACCTGCCAAAGGTCAAGGAAGTTGGTGACTTGATGACAGGGGAGCAACAACCATCCTAATGTTAACACAAATTACATCACTTTTACCCATTGATATATTACCGGTCGTTGCTGCACACTGGGTATGCATTTGGGTTGGATACCTCTTTCATCTTCCCTACGAATAGGATTGCAATGAGGTCGTTCGTGGATGTTGCGAGATTACCCCGTCTATTTCAAGGCAGAACTGTTAGATCTGCAAACACTTATCGAGGGCATTCGTTTTTTCTGGATAGTGATTTGGTGGATGGAAGAAGAGAGGACCTTCGATCGTGTTTGGTGGGAAAGTTCGACAAGGATGTGGGTGATTGGGCTCAAATCGCGGCTTGGGCTTCTCGTGTTTGGAAGGTTTCTCCCGGTGTTGTAATCTCACCTCTACCGGATTCTATGTTGCTTTTTCGTTTTACTTCTGCGAAGGAGGCGTCTCGTGTGCTTAAAGAAGGTCGTCGTGTTTGGGGGATGGCCACACTACGAATGGAATCTTGGTGTTTTAGGGTGGGGTGTTCCGAGGTGTTGAAGGGTAAGGGCCTGAAGATTGTGATGTTGTATGGTCTCCCGCTCCATCTTTGGAGTCATGCCCTGTTTGTTATGGTCGGCGATCTTTGCGGTGGTTTCATATGGGTGGATGCCCTTCTTTTGTTTTCATCCACGATGATCGTCTCTGCTACAAAGTGAAGGTGTGGGAAGAGAAGCCTCCTAAGCTTGTACCGACAACGGATAGTTTGGAAGGAGGTGATGGTTCACACCTGCTAAAGGAGACAGAATGGTTAAGGTGGGACTCGTTGGGGAAGAAAGGTTTGGCTGAGTTTTAGAGATGGGAGGAATGGAGGGACGATTTATGGAAGTGTAACTCGGAATGTTTTAGGAGGTTATGCACTCTGAGAAGGAAAGAAGGCTTCTCGGATGGAACTGGTGTTTGACGGCAAGAGAGATCCCGAGAAAGGCATAAGGAGGGTGGTCTCATCGGTCTTGGCCGGCCGGCGTTCATGCAGATGTGGAGAAAAGAGCGTCGACATGGTGATTCTCACGTCAATCAAGCGCGTGGGAGGGAGAGCGTTGAAGGCCTTACACGTGGTTGGCGCAGAAGATTTGGCCGTTCAAAGTGGATGACAGCTGCATCCACTTTTATTTTAAATTCTTGGGCTCCGAATAAAAGCAAGGCCGATTTTGGGGTTAAGTCGGTGGCTGGGCCTAATAATGGGCTGAGGGTTAAGGCTTCTGGATCCAACTCTTTTTCTCCCTCTTGTGGGCCTGTGGTTGGCAAGCCCGGCCTGATTTATGAAGATAATATGTCATCTGCTGGGCCGGATGGAGATGGTGCGGCCCAATCATTGGATGTTGCATGTTGTGGACAAGGACCCGTTGTTGTGGGTTGTGAATTGAAGAAAGGACCGTGTTCTTTTAATGTTTCGTCTGGCCAGTGTTGGACAACAGGTTTGGGCCTTTATGTGACGGTGTTGATAACATCGATGTTCAGCCGAACAGAGATCTTCCTGAAGGCTCTAGAAGAAGTTGACGTGCTAAGGGGCAGGTGCAGGGGCACCATATGAAGAAGAAAGTGATCTTTTCCCCTGTGCGCAAAAAATGGTCTCGAAAGGAAAAGCAGAAGTGGATTCCGGTTTCGCAGTTAGCCTATGGATCGGGTATGTCTTTTGCTTCGCCTATTCACTCTCCTCCTCTCCCTTCTTCTTCCACTTTTCATCCTTGCGGGGTGTCTCGAAGGAGCTTGGTGCCGAAAAAGGGAGTTGTGTCTTCTATGTTAAAATGCTTGTCTCCGGTTTTTGAAAGGTAGTCGGTGCTTGGCCTTGAGAAAAGGCCTGGTGATGATGGTGATTTTGAGATGGGTTTTACTCGGTTGTGTGATTTTAACAGTGACGGATTTACTGTGTGTGTGGGTCGGGATGTGAAGATACGGATTGATGATGTTTCAGCTGCTGTGCTCTTGAATGAGTTGAGAGCTCATCTTGTGTTGAAGGGCTCTGTCATTGAACGGAATGATCGTTTGGCCGATGAGTTGTTTGGAACTCCTCTTTCTTGCTGCTCTCCATCTTTGTCATCTGTTGAGTATGGGGAGGATGGGTCGTGTTCCTCTGTTTATGGGGATGCGGGCATGGTTTTGTGGAACGGATGTGAGTCTGATGTTGATTTGCTTACACGTTTGGCAGTTGTTAGACCATAAGAGAATTATGCGGAAGGAAGGGGATTTGATGCAGGGTTGGCTGATTTGGAGAATGATTGGATGAAAGAAAATGGTGTCGAGATAGGTTCTCTTTTGGGTGTGTCATTTAAGGGTCGAATGGAGGAGGCGACTTATCTATTCCTAGATGTTCTTAATGCTCAGTTTGCTGATAGAATGGATTATAGGGGGAGTGCTCCAGTGGTGAGAGAGGAGAGAGGGGCTCCAAGTCCCTCGACTGTTGTTACTTATGAAAGGAGGAGGAGGGGGGCTAGGGAAAGGGCCAGTGGGAGGAGGGGTGAGACGGTCAATTCTACTGTTTCCCTATGAAGCTTCAAATTCTCTCATGGAATGTCCGGGGTCTTAACGACCCGGCTAGAAGGAAAGTGGTGAAATCGGTGATTCGGAAAGCGGGTGGTCATCTTGTATGTCTTCAAGAAACAAAGATTGCTTCCATGATGGATGCGATTGTTCGAAGTTTGTGGGGTGGGATATTCGTGGAGTGGTGTGCCTTGGATGCGATTGGCTCTTCGGGTGGTATCCTGATTATGTGGGATGTCCGTTGGATCTCTTTATTGGATTCTCAGGCTGGGCGTTTCTCTGTTTCCTGTATTCTATCCATGGTGGAGGATGGCTTTCGGTGAGTTTTTTCTGGAGTCTATGGGCCTACGGAGGATAATGAGTGCCATCTGTTTGTTGAGGAGCTGGGGGAGATTCGTAGGCGATGGTCGTTGCCTTGGTGTATCGGGGGGGATTTCAATGTTGTTCGTTCCCCTTTTGAAAGATCGACAGGGGGCAGATGGACAGTTGATATGATGGCTTTCTCAGAGTTTATTGATGCTTGCTGTTTGCTTGATTTGCCTTTGGTGGGTGGGCCTTTCACTTGGTCCAGTAGTCGATCTCCTCCTACTTTTTCTCGTCTTGATAGATTCTTGGTGTCGAGTGATTGGGAGGAGAAGTTTTCTGATGTTGTTCAGACCATCTTGGCTCGTCCTTTGTCTGATCATGTTCCATTGCTGTTGGACTGTGGCGGGCTGCGTAGCAGAAGATCCCCATTTAGATTTAAGAATATGTGGCTCCGGGCAGAAGGTTTCTTGGAGCGAGTTCGATCCTGGTGGACGGGGTATGGAGTGGTTGGCACTCCGAGTCATTCTTTGGCAGGCAAGTTGCGTTTTTTGAAGAATGATCTCAAAGTCTGGAACAAAGAGGTGTTTGGTAACTTGGTCTTGAGAAAGAATCGGATTCTCTCTGAGATAGCTGACATTGATAAGATGGAGAATCAGGGTCTTTTGACGAGTCCTTTGAAACTTAGGAGGGTGGAGTGTCAAGCAGAGTTTGCTGAGATTGCTGTTATGGAGGAGATTTCATGGAGACAAAAATCTAGAGCTTTAGGGCTTAAAGAAGGTGACAATAACACTAAATTCTTTCATAGACTTGCCAATGCTCACAGAAGGGGCAACCACATTGGGAGGATTAGGGTGGATGGGGTGTTGATTAATAAAGAGGAGGAGATTAGTAAGAGCTTTTCTAAGTATTTTTCGACTTTGTTCACTGAGTCAGCCGAATGGCTTCCTTTGCTTGATGGGCTTCATTTTGATTCTATTTCGGGAGAGGAGGGCTCTGTTTTGGAAGAGCCTTTTTCAGAAGAGGAAGTTCTCTCTGTTCTGAAGAGCTGTAACCCTAAACCCTAAACCCTAAACTCGCTGTAATGGGGATAAAGCTCCTGGTCCGGATGGTTTTACTATGAGGTTCCTTTTGGAATGTTGGGACGTGGTTCGTGAAGAGGTGATGGGCTCTTTTCACGCCTTCCATGCGCAGGGCTCTTTTGAGAAAAGTTTGAATGCAACTTTTATTGTTCTTATTCCGAAGAAGGGAGAGGCAATGGATGTTAGAGACTTCCGCCCTATTAGTTTGGTGGGATGTTTTTACAAGTTGATTGTGAAAGTCTTGGCTTATAGGTTGAAGAAGGTGATGGATGGTGTCATTTCTGACTCTCAGAATGCTTTTGTAGGAGGTCGGCAGATCTTGGATTCTGTTCTTATTGCTAGTGAATGTGTTGATTCCCGTTTGAGCAGCAGTGTTCCGGGTGTTCTTTGTAAGCTAGATATTGAAAAGGCATACGATCATGTGAGCTAGAGTTTCCTTCTCTACTTGTTAGAGAGGATGGGATTCGGTGGGCGGTGGAGGAGATGGATTCTTTTTTGCATCTCTAGCGCTCGTTTCTCTGTCCTTGTGAATGGAGCGCCAACGGGTTTCTGCTTTAGCTCGAGGGGTTTGAGACAAGGGGATCCGCTTTCCCCTTTGATAGTTCCTTTTTATGATGGAGGCTCTTAGCAGATTGCTAAAGAGGGCTGTGGAGCTGGGTTTTTTGGGAGGCTTTCGGATGGGCAGGGATGTTGCTTGTCAATTGGAGGTTTATCATTTGATGTTTGCAGATGACACTATTGTGTTTTGTGATGCGGATGCGTCCCAGCTGAGGTATTTGAGATGCGTTCTGATTTGGTTTCAAGTTGTTTCTGGCCTTAAGGTTAATGTTGGGAAGAGTATTCTTGTGCCTGTTGGGGATGTTCCGGAGATTGAGTTATTTGCTCACATCCTTGGATGTTGCACTGGCTCTTTTCCCATTTCTTATTTAGGATTGCCTTTGGGTGCCCCTTCGAGATGTGTGGGGAGCTGGGATCCGGTTGTGGACAGAGTCGAGAGGAGGTTGGCGGGTTGGAAAAAGCAATACCTGTCCAAGGGGGGTCGTGTTACCCTGATTAAGAGCACCCTTTCTAGCCTTCTTACATACTTCTTGTCTCTGTTTCAGATTCCTTCTTCAGTGGTTGAGAGAATTAAAAGATTGCAGTGCAACTTCCTTTTGGGTGGGGTGGGGGGGGGGGGGGGAGGGGGAAGAGTTCAAATCAAATTTCACTTGATTCGATGGGATCAAGTGTGCCGTCCAATTCGGTTTGGAGGCTTAGGGTTTCGGAGGTTTTTGCTTTTTAATAAGGCTTTTCTTGGTAAATGGCTCTGGAGGTTTGGGATCGACAGGCATTGGTTATGGAGGAAAGTTATTGCTAGCAAATTTGGGGAAAGTCGTGGTGGGTGGTGCTCCCTGGAGATGCGTGGTCCAAGGGGGGTGGGAGTTTGGCATTTCATTCGGAGGGGTTGGGATGATTTCTGCAAGCATGTTCATTTTCGTATTAAAGATGGAAGGAGGATCAGTTTTTGGATGGATCTCTGGTGTGGGGATCTCTCTCTTGCTCTCGCGTTCCCACGGCTCTATAGGATTGCTTCTCATCGACAGGCTATGGTTGTTGACTGTTATCATCTTGATAACGAGAGACTGTCTTGGGATGTTCGTTTCAGGAGGCATTTTCAGGATTGGGAGATCGAGGATGTTTCTCGTTTTCTGGAGCTGTTGTATAGCCAGGTGATTTCTTTTGGGGGATCGGATTGGTGGTTCTGGATTCCTACCTCGTATGGCCGTTTTGAGGTTAGGTCCTTTTTTAGATGCCTTTCGGTTGGTCATGGAGATCCCTTCCCTTGGAAGTCTATTTGGCGGTCCAAGGCTCCCCGCAAGGTCGCCTTTTTTGCTTGGACTTCTGTTCTGGGTAAGATTTTAACCCAGGATAATCTGAGGAGAAGGAATCAGGTGGTGGTCAATCACTGTTACATGTGCTTGTGTAATGAGGAGTCTGTTGATCACTTCCTTTTACATTGCAGTATGGCCAGAGATTGTTGGGATTTGATGCTTCGTTTATTTGGGGTTCATTGGGCCATGCCTTTTTCCTCTAGAGGGTTGATTGAGGCTTGGAGAGGCGTCTTTGTTGGGGCTGGCATTAGGGATGCTTGGAGGGCTACGCCGCTTTGTATCTGGTGGTGTATTTGGCTTGAGAGAAATAGGAAATATTTTGACAGGAAAAAGAAGCCTGTTTCTATGCTTAAGTTCTCTGTCATTTCTACTCTTTTTTGTTGGGTTTCAGGGAGAGATTATAGATCTATGGAGGAAATTATTGTTTTTTTGGCCTCTCTAAAGATCTAAGGCGCCCTTTGGCCCTTGTGTTCCTTTTGTTTCTTTGGGCTTCGCTCCCCTTTTTGAGCTTTTTTAATAAAATCTTACTTATCAAAAAAATATATATTTGTTAAATTATTTGAATAATATATCTAATGCATCTGTTCTTGAAATTTATCGAGCCTATGTGACAATTATTTTTTATTTTTTCGTATTTTTTTATTACTAATCTTCACTATATATTTGTATTCCTAGTTTTGTTATAACTACATTTCACATATTCAGTTTTACTATTCAATCTGTTGCTCTAATTAGAGGTGGTTCCTTTTTATGTTATTAAGAAAAATCTTGTGGATGTTGCCAAATTTAAAAGAAAATAGAACTGATAAAGTGAAATTAGTCAGCGCACTTCTGAATTCTGTTAATAATTTTACTTGGCAAGTTATGATATGATGTTGTTCCCGAGTGGAATTCAGGTAAATCAGATTGGGACTGTGACAGAAGCCATTGAAGTAGTGAAGATGGCAAAAGATGCCCAGTGGGGACTTGTGATCGCTCATAGATGTGGGGAAACTGAAGATTCTTTCATAGCCGATTTATCTGTTGGCCTTGCCACAGGTCAGATTAAAGCTGGTGCACCTTGCCGAGGAGAGCGGCTGGCAAAGTACAACCAGGTCCGCTTCTCTTTCCTAATATGCAGTTCTGAGCAATAGCTAATAAACTATTTTGGCGTAACCATCAACTTCTTTCTAACAACTTTATTTGAAATTGACATGGATTTTACCAGCAACCAACTTCATTTTATATTGACATCTAGATGTATCAACACATTGTAACAAACTATAAACGCTTTTGCATGATAAGTTATAAAAGATATCATTATGATCAAAATCCCACAGTAGCAGGTATATAATATCGGATCTGCGAGGCATGATAGTTTTTCCAGCTATGCCCTGTCAATTCATTATCAAATATTTATGTTAAAATACTGATATGGCTAGATTTACTACCCTTGCAATAATTTGAGGGCAGCGGTGTTGAATCACTGCGACTTGGGAAAAACTTTGTTCTAACTCTTTGTATAGGCTGCATATTGGTAGGGTACAAAAATGATATTTAGGCTACTACTTTCAAGATTTGTTGTTTGCAAAAATAAAACTAAAGTCGCTTAATTCTGTTCTTATTTTTACTAAACTTCTGGTGGGTGCTTTTTTTCTGCTTTGCATGAGACCTTATTTCCTGATACTTACCATCACTTAGAATGATCCAACTGACGAGCACAAAAACTTGGTGCAATAGCCCTTTTTATGAACAATAGCCATTTTCTTGCATTGATTGATTATTTGTTCTTTTTATTGGATGTTTTAATTTCCAATTAAAGTAGAGGAGAATTGTTCCGGTGACACAGAATACCTTCAATATCAGGCTCGTGTTGGCCTAATGGATTACTTCTAAACAGTATAAATTGACCAGTTACAAATTTACAGCAAGGAAAACGTAGATGGAATGTGTTCATCAATTTTCTAGTCTTAAGCATGTGATGTTTGCTCTTTTTTCCTTGAAAAGGAGTATGATAGTAATGGTCAAAATATATTTTGCAGTTGCTTCGAATTGAAGAAGAGCTTGGCGACCAAGTAGCGTATGCTGGCGAGGACTGGAGGATGTCCTGATCATACTCTTCAGTTTTGGGTTCTCCAATTTTTCTTAATTGCTTCTTGGTACATGAAGCTACTAGGTCATGATGAAGTTGTTATTCTGCACAAAGGCTCTTTATCTCAAGTGTTTCGTCTGATTGTAGAGGGGACTAGAAATGCATAGCAAGGTTCCATTTTTGGGTGGTGATAGTTGCATTTTTTTTTTTTTCTCTTTCTTTTGGTGGGTGGGGGTGTATTTTCCTTCCTTTTGAAATATCAGAAAATTATAACTGAATTTGTGAAAATGGTATGTACTTTTTACCCAATGACTTGTCAAATACAAAAGCCTTAAATAAATCGCGACGAGAAGTGGCCAAATTTAAGGTGTTTTAGTGAGGGTTCCAGTGGAACATTATAACAAGTAGATAGATAAATGAAATGGAAAATTAGTTGTTAAATCTTTTTCTTCAATTTGAAGTTTAGGAAGGTTTCTTCAGCAATAAGGAGTCACCACCCTCCACACAGACTGATGATGGGCATTATACTTGTTAATTTATCAAAAGATTGCATTGATAAAAGGGGGGAATTTCTCACGCTTGATGGAGTGGCCAAATACTTGCGTTTGAAATTTCTACAGTTTTCACCACCTAGTGGTGAAGAAACTTCTTTTTCGTAATTGAAATTCTTTTAAATGAGGGCTCATTTGGCAATTTTTTTCCCATTTTTTGTTTTTTAAAAAACTGAATTAGTTGTGTTTGTTTTGGAGAGAATGCTGTTGGAACCATGAAGCACTAGAGAACAAACAGAGAGATGGTTGATTGGTCATGATACAGCTGTAGCTTCTCTCGACTGTCGAGAACCCTACAATCCTAGTAAAACCCTAATTCTTTCTTGCATGATGCGAGTGATCATTGATCAGTAATCGATAATGATTAAAACAAGAGAACAATAATAAATTCATGATCAGTAATCGATAATGGTTAAAACAAGAGAACAAGAACAAATTCAAGAGACCGGAAGAACCAATCGAACTGCATTGGTGGGGGTTGCGATTCTACTAATCCCCAAGTAGGGCACAGATCTTCAATGGAGATGGTACAACTGCATCAGTTCTAAGACAAATTGCCAAAACTGATTCTATGAGCATGGTAATAAGTAGCTCATGTGGTAATTTGCATTTAGCCTTTCCCGGTTCAATTATCTTGAAATTTTCTATGGCCATTGGCATAGCACATTTCGTTTCAGTAGGTAGCTCATGTGGTAATTTGTGCAAAATGTTGCTCATTCTTGTTTAGCAAGTTCTCAATGTACACTATTGAGGAATGTTATACTTAATACTTTTGTGACACGTACTTCAGTCATTTGTGTTTTGGTTATATATCAAACTAGCTAACGTCTTTCACCTTAATACCCGTTCCATCCATCCTCCAGACCATGAAAAGCATCTCCTGCCACTCTCCAAGAGTCCAAAGAGAGAAAATAGTGGAACTGTTTGTAATTTAATGTGCACAACAATGTGCAAAAAGCAAACCATTTAGTATGAAAACTGCAACAAATCCATGCTAGAGAAACTTAATGTGCACAAACACAGGTACACACACCTTCAACAAGTACATAAACTAATCAAATTAAGATTGGGTTAAACTTGCACCATCATTATTGGTCTTTAGATTTGAAGAATTAAACTCCAAACACATCATTCTGTAGCAAAGGTATCCATTTACATCTTGCTTGTATAAAGTTAGTTTCTTCTATAAGGTCAAATTTCTACAAGTTGAAAATTTTGGGACAAATCTAGCCTTCGAAAATTTATTTAAAAACATTACCATCTTTCTGCAGCTTAAAAAGTAAAATAAAACAAGCATAAATAGAGTTCAGATGTGAGCAGGCAAAGCAGAAGGGAAGAAAACCATGCAATAAATCTATGAACTGAAAGAAGGAATGAACATACATCTAAACATTAAACATTGTTTAGACACATTAAAATTGAAAATGCCTCTGAAAAAACATAAAAACACAGCACAAGGACTTTAAACATCTAAACTACTGACTCATCGAAAGCACAGACTTGCTTGTAGAAAAGGGACAGTAGATCATAATAGCTAATATGACATTTGGAGCCCTAAACTTAAGGCTTAGTCTCTTCGTCATCTTCTTCAATTTTAGGAGCCAAATAGAACCTGATATAACCCATCTCAGCAATTTTGTACTCCACCACAACAGGCAACTCTGAAGACAAGCTTATTGTGACTGTGTTGGACAATGGGGTTGCCTTTGTAAAGGAGTTCATGTACCTCAGTGCAAATGTTAGCGACACTGGTTCATTCATCTCTATAATTGTAGCTTCCTCTGGCTGTAAATTAGAAAACAATGTATCCATGTCATATACCATCAACTCTCAAGAAGCAACATATCTGTCTGAAATTCCATACAATTCATTATGAATTTTAGCAGCTAGCGAAGATTCTTTAATTTGATCTTAAAGCAACAGTTTACAAGCTTTACAATCTACAAAAAGTACCTTGTCTACTGTGGTATTCTGCCTGCAAACAATATTTGCAGTCCCAATATCACCTCTTGTAGAGAACTTCACACCTTCCTTTGTCACAGAGATCACAACTGTACACCTCGAGCAAAGATTCAATTTACAACCATTTATCTAGTTAACCAATTACAGAATATCAACATACCATTAGTCATAATAATAACACATTACCAGTGTCACCAATACTGCTAAGATCTTTACAGATTCTACCAAATTCTGTTGAAGGCATCCGAACAATAGCATGGTACTCTGCTTCTGGGATCCCAAGATGCTCGCTATCGATGTCCATCAATTTCATCTCAAAATCAGCAATCTTGTCTTGAGCTTTAATCCAGTACCCATAACGCAATATAAAACAAAGCCACATCAATAAAATTGAAGTCCCAATTGAAGAAAATCATCATAACACGTATATGTAGAGTTGTTAATCTTTGAGCCCAAAACAGAGGGGAAATAGAGAATACATTCCCAAATGAATGACAATTAACCAATAAAACCCTCAGCACCCTTTTTGTTACAGAAGATATTGCAGCAAATAAACCCTACACATATATAGAGTTGTTAATCTTTGAACCCAAAATGGAGGGAAAATAGAGAACACGTTCCCAAATGAATGACCATCAGTCAACACCCAATTTGTTACAGAGAAAATTGCAGGAATGAAAAGGAAAATGAACTCTGAGCCAATAATAAAATATCACACTTTGCAATTAAGGAGTTCCTTTATTTATGAAACAAATAATAATTAAGGAGTTGTTAAAACTTTATTAAGTCACATATAATGAAAAAGAAAAAGGAAAAAACAAAAAAATGTAAGGATTCAAGACCTTAATTTGTTTTAGTTTTCCTGTACTTTCTACATAACCAAACAGATCAATTATTTCCTCCCACAGTAATTACTTACGTGTTACAGATAGAGCAAAATCAAAACATTACAAGCGATCTAACAGAAAACCCTAACATTTCCACATAAATTTAGTGCGCAAAAAACAAATTAAAATTGAAGAGAAAAAACGACTGAGTGAAGCTTACTGGGACTCTCAAACATGAAAGTGACGGTGTCACTGCCATCATCGGCCTTGATGGTGATGATATCGTCGTTACCGGCGCACTTTAGCATCTTAGACATGTTGTTGAGATTCATGCCCATGGATATGTTCCGGTCGCACCGGTAGTGCTCAAAACCCTCCGATCTGAGGAGGAGAGCCACCAGGGCCACATGGCTCGAGTCCATGGCCTGGAGAGAGAAACCAGTGGACGAGCAATCGAAGTTTGCATCGTTCACCAGATCCTTGATGGCTTCCATAACCTTCTTCAACAGACTACCTTGCACAAGCCTCAGCTCCAACATCTTCTCGCCTGGTTTTCTATTTTCCGGGAAAAAAGATTGTTAGGGTTAGGGTTTGTGATAGGTTTGAAAGGAAAGGGTGGGAAAATTGAGGCGATGTGTGCAATTTCAGTTTATTATAGTGGCGGGGTCCGGAATATTTCTTCAGAAGCTAGTGGATGCATTGGCGGGACAAGTAATGACTTGATTCCCGCCATGATTTTGGAGATTTGGGTCTGGATTGGGCCTGGCCCATAGAGTACCACACCTTTGTTCAACTAGGACGCCCAGAACCAAAGAAAAACTGGGCCATTGATTACAACTTCAATTACTTTCGGGTTAAGTGCAAAAAGTCCCTTAAAAGTGCAATTAATCCCATGTTGTTTAAATTTGTATATAATATGGATATTATGTTAATTTAGCAATTAAATAATTTTAAAATACCCCCATTTAATTTTTATATAGAAAAATATCTATTAATATATCTAATTTAGTACTAGTACTAAAAGTTTGCCCCTCCCTCCTTCCCCGATTGGAGAAGACCGATATATGCTTCGAAGACCCAACTGACAATGCTACAAACTCCACAAACGCTGGCAAGAATAACTGAGCATCCGTGATCCAGAGCTTCATCTCTGCATCATCCATCTTTATCTCTAAAAGGAGAGGAAGCTAGCTCGAGAGTTTTAAAAAATAGAACAGTAGTCTGGTAAGTTTTAAGATACTCGCGAACGGCTTAATTCACGGATGATGATGTTGTAATTTTTTTTTTTCTTTTTTTCTTGTTTACATAAGAAGGGGGTATTTTGGAATTTTTATAAAAAAAATTTGGTCGAAATTGATGATTAAAGAAAATTTATTCAAAATATGGATAATATAGAGAATTATATACACTTTTTTCTAATATGAGGTTTCTTACACTTTTTTTTTTTGGTATAATGAGGGAGTTTTTTACATTTAACTCATTACTTTATTTATTTTAATTTTCAAAACATTTGATACGATCTATCACACAATGAAATATAACAATTTATGCAACTATTCATTTAATGGTCATAATTTGACAACTTTCCAAAAGTTGAATGGATTGTTTGGGACAAAAAAATAGTTCCTGCTTTCTAGAAATTTGGAAGCGTTTATGCAATTTGGCCTAATTTCTCCGGTAAGCTTATAATACATCACTATTATACAAGAGCCCTCGTTTAGGCCATCAATCGCCTCAATTAATATACTATAATAAGTAATCCACAAACTAACCTAGCTTTAAATTATTTTCTATCATACAAATACATCTAATGTCATATAGGCATATAGCTAGTATAATTTTGAGCTGACAAATACATATTATTTTGAGCTGAATGTGAAAATAAATACACTCGGAATGATACAACGTTTCAAAAGTTTAATAAATTTGAATCACACTAATAGATTTACAATTACAAATGCAGCGATGTGATCATTCGAGTTATCTCATTTTGTCTTATTCAATTGATGGACCATAAATTATTTTAAAAATAATTGGGATACAAAGTTTGAGGATCTAATGCATTAAACTAAATTTATATAAATAAAGAATGACGTTACGATAATATCATGTTTAATGAAATCCAAAAATGAAATTCCCAACAAATAAATAAATAATTAATATATCTAACATTCAAATCACTTATCATTTTATTTTTTGTTTTAATATTTTGTTATATTGATGATATAATATTACTAATTAATTAAATGTTGACATATAACAACCACTAAATAAATATATGTTTCCTTAGTTTTTTTTTTTGGAAGGTATATTTCCTTAGTTGATAACACCAGTAACGTTATGTGAGAGAGGAAGTCTTTTTTGCCTGTATCCATCAAAATCATTGGATAAAAAAAAAAAAAAAAAAATCACCAACAACAACAACAACTACTACTACTACTTGCTAGCACGCGCGCTTCTGAGCCGTCGATGTTGGTTGAGCTAAACCCTTAAAAAAATAGTCGGTAAAGAAGATGTTATTAACAGGCTTATAACAATTGCAAAGCGTAGCAAGGCACTGCTACTGTGCAGGACCTCAATTGGACCGACCGACCTTTTCATCTGCCATTTCTTCAAAATCACTCTCCTCCACTGAATAAGAATTACGAATCATCAACCACTTCAGTGTTGACTTTACTCAATTCGCCTCACATTGCTTCGTCTCGGCAATAGTTTGCAAATTTCGATGGCAGATCTCAATTCCAGGACTGAAATTTCATTCCTTGAAACGTTTGCGATCAGTGCCTTCGCTGCTTGCATCGCCGAGGTATCATTCATATTCGTCAGTTAATATTCACTATGTGTGTGTGTATATATATATATGTATGTATATGCTGAAATTGCACATTTTAGAGTTCATTTGATTGAATTGAGATCTATTTCAGTGGATCACTGGTTTAGCGGATGAATTTAATGCCTGTCTTATGTTCTAAGCCTTGAGAATCATATGTTGCGGTCTACATTCTGATGATTCAGATGTCATATTTCTTATAATGCTTGTTTCTGATTGCGTTGCACGCACTGATGGTGATAGTTGTATTGGCCTATTGATTTATACGATTTGAAATACATCTCTCTCTCTCACACTCATTTGTATTTATCAGTATATGTATGCAGTATTGCTGCATTTCAGATCAGCCCATAAGGAAGTTGATGCTATTTGAGGTGTGGAAGTATTCCTATAAAAATATGGACTACTTGATTGTTCACAGAATGTTCGAAAAAGAACAGCCACATAACTGGTGCTCATCCAAGCATGAGAGGATTAGTTTGGCACCTACAAGGCTCAGTGTCCGTGTTTTTGTAGCCAAAAGTTAAATTAGTTGGATTTAGTAGATATCTTCACTTAGAAATTACCTCTCTCCACCCCAACAAGATAACTGAAAATATTGGCAAGGTTGGCTGTTGTAGTGAAACTGTTTTATATTTGTTTTCCCACTCTGTTCGCACCTTTTCTGTATTGACAGCAAATGGCCTTGATGGTCTTGTAGACAACTTGGTTGTACTATCATCAGTCACATACATCCAACCCTAAATGGCAGTATCATCATATCTATTTAATCCTTTTCTATTTTTATACTATTTCCTATCCTTCTCTTACCACACTTTAATCATCCCCGTGTCTATCTGGCTTTCTAGATCCAAGTTACTCGTTACGTATGTTATTTTCGAAGATAAACAAATGAGTTAATGGAGTTCAGAAACAGAATTTGGTCCAAACTTACCAATCAGATACAATCTAGCTGTATTCAAGAGATTAAGCCTTTTTAATATGTTAGGTCTTCAAGTTCTGTGATATTCAGGTAAAACCAAGTAGGCTTAGTGTCTGTCTAAGAAGCACGGACACGGATACGGGACACGGATACGACACGGACACGGCGACACGGCAAATCCAAAAAAATTAGGACACGGACAGCGAATAGTATATATATATATATATATATATATCAGCATTAATAATTTTAAAAAAAAAACACTGATATGTTTAGGTTGGAATATATATATATATATATATATATTACTGATATGTTAGTATATATATATATCAGCATCTTTAGGACACGGACACGGCGAATTGTGGCATCTTTAGGTTAGTATATATATATATCAGCCTTTAGGGTAGTACAAAACAAAAAATAGAACATATCAGCATTAAAAATTAAAAAAAAAAAAAAAAAAAAAATTAACATATCAGCATTAAAAATTTAAAAAAAAAAAAAAAAAATCCAGAAAAGTGTGTCCGAGCCGTGTCCGAGCTGTCCGAGCCGTGTCCGAGCTGTCTGAGCCGTGTCCAAGCCGTGTCCGAGCCGTGTCCAAGCCGTGTCCGAAAATTAAAAAAAATAAAAAAATTCCAGACACGTTTTTTGGCGTGTCCGACACGTGTCGGGGCGTGTCCGACGCGTGTCCGTGTCCGACACGTGTCGGACACGGATTCTTCGCCCATTTTGGAGTGTCCGTGCTTCTTAGGTGTCTGTTGCTTTCCTTCTCAACTGTGGGAATGAAATTGATTTTATCTTGCTATTACATTTTGGTACACGGTGAAATTGGTAAAGTGCTTTCATGTCATGCATCTGGATTTTGTGCAGATCTGTACTATTCCTTTAGATACCGCTAAAGTTAGGCTTCAGCTCCAAAAGAAAGCAGCTACAGGGGAGGGAGTGGCCGTACCAAAATACAGGGGCGTGTTGGACACTGTTGCTACTATTGCTAGGGAAGAAGGGTTTTTAGCACTTTGGAAAGGCATCATACCTGGTTTGCATCGCCAGTGTATATATGGAGGATTGAGGATCGGGTTATATGAGCCTGTAGGTTTCAAAAAATTTCCTTTAAACATTTTGATCGAGCTGTATGATTTCTTGGTGATTCATTGGTGCATCGGTGTAATTGTATCTTGTACAGGTCAAGGCCTTTTATGTTGGGAGTGCATATGTTGGAGATGTTTCTTTGTTCCAGAAGATACTTGCTGCTTTGATAACCGGTGAGTTCTTATGGTAACTGTTCTGCTGCACTATCATTTATAGGATTTGGTTTTTATTTCATTTATTCGTACTGTAGTTTACAACTTGTATTAAACTCTTGTTTATACCATCGAAAGATGATCAGATAAACTATTTTATCCTATACTTTGCTAAATATATATCTTAGGTAAGTAACTTTTGCATTAAACAGGTGCCATAGCAATTACAGTCGCTAGTCCGACTGATCTTGTGAAGGTTCGACTTCAAGCTGAAGGAAAGTTGGCTGCTGGTGTACCTAGGCGTTACTATGGCGCTTTGGATGCTTATTACACCATAGTGAGACAGGTCAAATTTTATTTATTTGTTTATTTTATTATAGAAACTCCATCTAAACTTAATTTTATCACTCAGTTTACTGATTATTACATATATTTTCAAACAGGAAGGATTGGGGGCATTGTGGACTGGGATTGGGCCCAATATTGCACGAAATGCTATTATAAATGCCGCCGAGCTAGCTAGTTATGATCACGTGAAACAGGTTATACCACACTCCACACATTAGGTCTCATGAGGAGTAATTCTGTAATTTGTACGTTGTTGCCATATCTAATTTGTCTATAGCTGTTCTAATTTGTTCTACATTTGCAGGCCATATTAAAAATTTCAGGGTTCACAGACAATGTTTTAACCCATCTATTAGCTGGTTTAGGTGCTGGTTTCTTCGCAGTCTGTATTGGTTCTCCTGTTGACGTGGTAAGCTTTCTTTTCCATTTTCTATTACTTGCTTTCTGAATAACATCAGCCATAGCTCTCAAGATGTCTGGGCCAATTCTGGAGCACTATTGAGGAAAAGAAACAAATTGCAAATTGATGAAAGAAATGATACATGAGAAAATCTATAAATACCTTATCACATAATTTAAGTTATTTAAATAAGAGACTGGTATAGGAAAAAATATCAAAATAATGCAGTTAGAAGCAAAATCTTCAGATAAATCATGAGACTATAACCTATAAGTGTCTTATTTATTTTGTACATACTATTTTGTTTTTGTTTTTGTTTTTTGTTTTTTGTTTTTTGTTTTTTGTTTTTTTAATCTTCTTACTCCTTTTAAAACCTCTAGCCTACTTTAACTATAGCTTAACCACCACCTTATGGATGTTCATATTCGATGAACTATTTCTTAGTTGATATGGGGCAGTAATTTAGGAACTGCATCAACTCTATTTGTTGATCCACTGAATCACCATGTCCAGTTTCGACTTTTTAGTTATTAGAATCAGTATCTTGAAGTTATACCCATTTTGCTGTGTTTTATTTTAACTAGATTTACTTTATCATAAGTATTTATTAATTAATATAATAATAATCATATACTGATACTGATATATATATATATATATATATATCTATATATAAACTTTTCATTTTTCTCAACTATGCTGTTTTTTACATTTTCTGAAGAAATGGTGTATAGTTTCTTTTTGGCACAGGTTATTCAATTGAATGATTCATGTAACTGTGATTTGACCAAGACTTCAATTTGATGGATGGACTGGGTGAGGCTCTTAAAGCGTTGCTTTGCCGAACATCCTTTTGAACAAATCAAATTGGCTGCCTTGATTCGTTAGTGTAGTGAATTTGCATTCTGCATTTTCTCTGTTCAGTTTTACTTATATACTACTTGTAGATCTCAAGGAATCATTGATACTTTGGTTTCATGAATTTACACATTGTGCAAGCAAGAAACACGAAGACACCTTAACATTCGATTTATTTCACCTTACATGTCACACAATAGTCAAACGTGGTAACAGCTGGGTTTTCTTAACGCTTTATAATTTCAAAAAGGAATCAGACCAGGATAAGGGCGATACGAGATGAAAGCTATTCATATTGCTTCTTCTTTTCTCCAAATATATTATTAATATGTGCTTTCAGCTCAAGAAAATTCCCCCCCTCCCCGGAAAAGATGTCTTCTGCTATTAAAAGGCAATAGAACATTCTAGATAAGTTGTTTTCAATTAATTTTGAAGAATTCTCATGCTTGAACGATTAATTTAACCAAATTAACTGAATATAGCACTGGTGAATTTCATTAAGTTTTTATTTATTTACAAAAAAAATTCTGATGTTAGTTGGATTTTTTTGTTTTCCGTCAAATACACTACGCCCCCCCTAAAATTCAATCCTGGCTTCGCCCTTGCACCCACCCACCCACAAATGCTCATTGGGGCTCGAACCCCTCGCCTCGCATTAAGTTAGATTAGACACAGTTAATCATGATAAGCTTAAGTAGCATAGTATATTCAACATACAATGCATTAAGCATAGATGAATCCATGCACGATTGATCTCCATCATTTTCTACTTTTTACTAATTATATATTTGTTCTATATTTGTTTCATAATCTACATGGTAGTAATTCACTGCAAGCTGCAATGAGGTTCTGCTAGCATTATGACACAAGTCTCTCCTTTTGTGATACAAATGTAATTTTTTAATTATAGTTTCTGCTGAATGCTCTTATCAGTCAATGTCAGCTGTGATGTTTTACTTGTTACCAGGTGAAATCTAGAATGATGGGAGATTCATCTTTGTACAAAAACACTTTCGATTGTTTCATCAAAACTTTGAAAAATGAGGTAAGTTGATTTTCTTTTCCAGTTTGTCATTTAAGCTAAAGTACCATGTTACTGACTTAGTTATTTAGTTAATCACGTGATAGTATGTTAGCCATGGAAGAATAAAATAAAATAATCTCTGTTGTTGAGAAGTCTTATAATTTACTGGGTGCAGTTGTTATAATTTATTGCCAAGGTAGTCAGCTTCATTCTTCTCAAAGAATAGTTTTGTTTTTCTTTGGATTCTGTTTTGAACACCTCATGTCTTCTACATCTGAAATGAGTGATTTTAGTGGAGAAACATTTAACATTTCTTTGTACTTCTATGGTTGCATAGTTTGTGGTATGAATAATATTGAACGCAAGTGGATTAGCTGATTCTTCTCAGTGTTACTTTCTTTTGGTGCACATTCATGTACAGGCAATACACTCGGATAGATAGTTTGGACACAGCTTCCATTGCATTCTTATTTATCTTTGTGGATGTGTATATTTAATTGCACTCTAATATTCTCTCTCTCTCTCTCTTATAGGTTAACCTTGTTTGTTTTACATACTCTCTCTCTCATTTTAGAATAAACCATCTAAAAAAATATCCATGGATAAGAGAAGGCAATCCTCGCCTCTAACGTTGGTTAAAGGGAAGAACAAAAAGGTATAATTGAATGGGCTGTATAACATTTTGTGGAAGGTGGTGAGAATGGGATGTCAGCCTGTTCAAGGAATCATTTGACAGTTTACGACCTGGTGAACTGGTGCATTACTCTGCTAGATTTTACTTTACTCCTAAAAATTCAATCTTGATCTGGACACTATATAAATGTTTTTTTCCTAGTCGACACTTTATAATTCTGTGTTCCTGTCTCATTGCTTCTGGTTTCACTGTTCACAAGCTCCATCAATGTTCAGCTCTCAATATGAAAATAAGATCAAGAACTTGTGAGAATAACTTCCCATAAGCTGCTAGTTCTTCTCGTACTTTTTTTTGTTCTTTTCTTCTGGGTGCCTTATTTGAAATTTTATAGATTTGATGCATGAACTTATTATTTGACGAGGAATTTTAGTAAAAAGCCATCAACTCAATCAATGGAATAGTCAACTCATGCTCGATACATGTTTTGCAGGGACCTTTTGCCTTTTATAAGGGGTTCCTCCCAAATTTTGGCCGGATAGGATCTTGGAACGTGATCATGTTTCTGACTTTAGAGCAGGTAAAGTTAGAAACAATATTTTATGCATTTAGTGGAACGTTAAAAATCTGGACTGTCAAGTGTGAAAATTCATGTTTGTTTCCAAGAGCAGCCACTTTGTACCAAATATGCATTTGGTTAGTCTGTCTCCAGTCTGCTCCCCTAGCACCCCGGTTAAATGGGACTAGCAATGAGTATGAACTTTATTATGCATTTTGGTGCTAATTTTTACCATTAAAATCTAGGCATGTGCATAAACTTGCATCTGTTAAATGATCTCAAAATTACCAGTTCTAGCTTATTTTTAACTTGAAAAGAATGGATGCTAGGTTTATCATCTTTTGTTCACTAAAAAAAAAAAAGAACAATTCTTATTGTTATTTTATTTGGTTTATGTTCAGACTAAACTCCCAGATGTTGGGGTTTTCACTCTTTCTATTATGTAACAAACCAACAACTGCTTACCCTTGCTTAAACAAATCTTATTAAGGATATTTTGGGTCTCTTTTGAACAGGCCAAGCATGAGCGGATGTTAATTTCACTTTTGGCTGTTTAATAGGATCAGGGATGGCAACATTAATAGTTTAGAATGGGTTGTAGTTAATCTTTCAACCTTTTGCAATCCTAATGGGATGACCCGTGCTGACTCGAACCTGTAACTGGATAGGTGTTAAACACTTTCATCCTTCGCTGCCTAGTTGCACTTCAAAAGTTGAGTAGACTTGGGAATACATGAACACTAATTTAATTAGTAGTGATAGGGAAAAATTCATATTATTGTATCTAAGGAATCATAAAATTGACTAAATCTCACACGAGAAAAAAAAGAGAAAATAGTGACAAATTTATCATCTGAGGAGAAAAAAAGATTGACATTGGGCCAAATCTTATTGGGAAAGAAATATTCTAGGGGAACCACTAATACAGCTTTTAGTTTCAGTGAAGAATACCAAAGGACGAATAATGAGATGAAGAGAACCAATACATCGAATATAATGAAAGATGCAGAAAAAGAAAATAGAAGAAAAATGAGGGATGCAGAAAAAAGGAAGGAAATAGTAGAGGAAGGGCTGAAGGGGAGTTCCTACTTAAATTTGGAAATTGTAAAGCTGTGGTTGGCAAGATACCTAAACTGATTCTATTAACGAACTAAAACATTCATTGGACAAAGGAGAGGTGGGGAGTTCATAGCATGGGGTATAATAACCTTAGAGAAACGGAGGGTCAAAGCCTGATATTGCCCTGAACCTCCCATCGTGGGTTTACACAGCCCATCTCATACCCATCTAACCTCCAAAAATAGTTGCAGGTGCTTAGGCTACTGATTAACCCATTGTAATTTGGACTTCACTTTACAGAGAATTTCTTGGCACTTCTGAAAATTGCTCCAAATTGTCTTAAATTGTTAATTGTGAACAAATTGTCACTTCCAAAAGGTCCTCCAGTTTGTCTTAAATTGTCCACTGGGCTTTGCATTTCATAGACTGCTGCCTTATTCGTGTCTTTCAACATGAGTGAGTTTGTCAGTCCATGTTAGCAAAAGCGGCATCAATGAGTCCCAGGACAATTTTAAGACAGCAGATCAATGTTTAACTTTGAGGTTCTAGTGGGCTGTCTTTTTATCTCTAAACCATGCGCAAAATTCCCAAATATCAAAACACATTATACTCTCTTGTGATCGTGGAAAATTTTCTTTTCTTGTGATAATATATATATATATTGTTAATTAACAAAAAAATAAGTAGCATTTGTTATTAATCTTTGCTTGGGCTTGCAAAGCTTCTCTGTTATATGTGCATGTTTGTTATTGAAAATTCTCATCATTTTCCTTATTTACGTTACAGGCGAAAAAATACTTGACAAGGGCAGTGTGAAACTACTTTTGTTGTACATTGGAGTTTATGAAAGTAAGAAGACAACAGCTTTTATTTGGAATCTGCCTGTACAATAGATGAAGATTATTCGGACAGGGGAATTAGGTTCCCCTGCTAGTATTCTTTTTCATTAGGTTAATGTATAAAAGAGTAAAATCCTTGAAACAAACTTGCCAACACGATTTATTGAATAGCACCAACAATATTTATTCTTTCTACCACCAAGGATTAGAGGCCATTACCTCACCTTTCACTTTCTGATTTCCTGCATTGAACGATTGTACAATGGCCATTGGCCAACTTTATCGACATTGAATTCGTTATGGAAGTACAGGCTGCTTTCATCCCGTCCAATCTAACATTAACATATTATCAGCTTATATCCATGGTTGATGCTAATACTTGATTATGTTGGCTCATTGCTTTGGCTTACACAGATTCACATGTTCGAACAAATTTGATAATGTCAATTCAATATTTTGACCATTGCAGGCACGTTAAGGCATGTATATATGTTTTTTTAACCTGGCAGGGGTGGGGCTGAGGTGAGTCTGGCTCCCAAAAACCACAGGGGAGTGTCCTATCACTGGGCCACCAGCTCACCTCCACATTAAGGTAGTTATTGAATGGTTAAGTTTGTTATAATGTTATATAACTAGCTGGATTCCAAACTCGAGTCACGCGATGAGTGTGCATTGCATATTATGTACTTTATTAGAGCATGTGTATCAAGTTACTGTGAATGTTTTTATTTTTCATATTTATCTCATTTTTTTATAAATGTTTTCTTTCTTTTGATAAGTGTTGAATTGGTGTGAATTGCAAAGTTGAAGAAGTAAAATGTATTTTTGAGTAAAAGCCTGGTGCCCAAAGTGCTCTTTTATTATGACCTCTCTCCCTTTTGTTTTTAGGCATAATGGGATATCTGCTTTGCTCAGCCAATATTTTCACTTTATGTTATCCACCTCAGTTGTCTCGTGCCCACTAGACTTTATGGACAGGCAGTTTAAGAATGGATGATATTAAATCACCCCCGCATTTTTTATGCATTTGTTAAATGAAGCAATTAAAAAATAAAACGCTCATTCTTAAATCATCTAGTATGTTTATTGTTTGAGTAGAATTTTATGGGTATTTCTATTTAGGTCCGTTTGTTTGAGTATAATTGTTTTCTGGTGATTGATTATCAATAAAAAAACACATCTATTTAAAATGTACATTACTCCATATAACATGTTGCATAGTTTTGATAAGTTACTCCACAACAAAGCATTTCAATAAATTATGGCACTAGCTGAAAAGCTCATGCGAACGTTACATTACACCTAAACATGTCCTAATCTCAGAACATTACTAAATTCTAACAACCCCTAACCATCTTATAGAAACTTATCCCACAATAACTCATGACCTGGGTACAAGATAAACCCTAGCCTTAATAACGGACCCATTTGCAAGCTTAAACCCAGGACTGACTGGGAATCCCACCATCTGACCCACTGTCAACCGCCCACCGGAAAATCTGACGACACTCTCCATGTACTGAGGATGAAACTCCGCCCCTTTGCTCGCCTCAAAGTGACTCGGTGGTGGGTCCAAAGAGAACGCCAACAAGTGGAGCAGCCAAACCGCCTTTGCCAGCCCCAAGAACTCCCCGTAAAACTGACTCCTCGGGTGGTTTCCGGCCAACACCTGGCGGCGCTGCTCCAGGTCCCCAAACAGCGACTCCTCCATCTTGGGGTGGACTATGGATAGATACTTCTTGGAGCAGAACTTTCCGAAGTCGCATGTTGGTAAGATTCCAAGCAGCTCGATGGGGTCCATGGCCTTCATGTCGCGATACTGTGTGAAGCAGTTGCGGCGGTACTGGTCCGGGTCGATGAGAGAGGAGAGGCTTCCGTCCATGTAGAAGGTCTCGTGGTCGAAGCCTTGGAAGATCTTACGGTTCACGTAGGACTCCAGTGCGTACTTGGCGTGGTTGGTTCCGGCGGCGGAGCTGTCGATCGTGACGGTGGTGGTGTTGGCGATAGCGGCTTCAATAGATCTGACGGCGGCACCAATGTCCCAGTGGGCGGAGCGCATGAGTGAGAGGAGAAGTGCTGTGAAGGACTTCGATGCTTCTTTCACCTGACTCACTGTGGCTTCGAATAGGTCCGGCGCCGGCACTGCCGCAAGTGCCATCAGTAAACGGTGGTCAGATTTCCGAAACCACAGTAAATTTACCAGAATACCCTTTCCAAGAAATACTAAAATATCTACATACTGAACTGTTGAGGCCATAAAAGTCAATTCAAGTTGGAGAGAGAAAGAGTACCTTGAGGTTGACTGGAGCTGACTTTTCTCTTTGACTGATGAGACCTCCCCTTCCGACCATTACTGCCGTTGAGATCGGTGGCTGTTTTCAGCTTCTCCTTCAAGTTGTCGACCTCAACTTCCTTGGCCTTCACCTCTTTCTTCAGGTCCTCCAGCGCCGCCTCATACGGCAAGACCACCTCCCTCAGCGTCGCCGCCGTGGACCCAACCCTCCTCCCTCCGCCTCCGCCACCGCCACCACGTTCCCTCCCAAAACTCCTCCGAAACCTCTCCCTCAAGACGGCCAGTCTCCTGAGCTCGGCCACCACCGCCACATCAGCAACGGTCATCTTGTCCGGATCCCAGGGACAATGCGCCCCCTGCAGGCTAACGTACGCCCTCTTCATCGCCGACACAGCCTCGAACACTTCGCCCATCAGCGTCTCCATCTCCATCACCCTCTCATTTCTCACCTCCTCCTTCGCCCCCTCGCAAACCCTAACATTTTCTCTATCCGCCTCCTCTTCTTCTTCCTCCTCCGTCTTGTAGTATTCGTCTTCGGACTCATCTCCTGCTCCATTGTCAGAGAGTTCATCGGGTTCGTGCCTGCCGGAGGCGAGTGGGTGCAACAAGCAAGAAGCGGTGACTCGTTGGATCAGATCCGAGAAATTTGAGACCTTGTTCGCCATCTTGATCCCTCCTCCGTTTCTGTAAATTACAGTGGAATAGTAGTAGTAAAGAAACCAACTGTGATGTGAGTCAATTTTGGCGTTTATTTACTACTTGTCCAATATTCTATTGATAATTGATGGTGCGAAGAAAGGGCAGTTGAGAGAAGGGAAGGGGACTTGGTGCTAAAATATTAATGGCGCCACGAGGGGTTTTAGATTACTAGTACCATTTTACCCGTCAGTCATCACTACATATATATACTAGTAGCTTTTTTATTTGAAAAAACTGTAGGGAATCTGAATCCGGTATAATATTATTGATATATATATTTTGTCTGTTCTTTTCTTGTGCATTTACATTAGTTATTGTAAAACAATAATTGAGTTAAATTGTCAAAACTAAAGTTACTTAGTAATGTATTCTATGGGTTGAGCTGGACTGGGGAGTTCAGTTGATAGAAACATTTTTTTTAGTATCGCGTGAGAGTCCAAATTTGACTTAATCATTTTTTTTCCTTTCCTTCCCTTTCTCAGGTATTTTATAAGTGTTGAATTTTCGAAATAATTGTTCCATACAATTATCTTGCATGTTGGCATCTTTGATGTAAATGTACGATAAGATTTGCTCGGACGCGCAATTGGAAGATGGGCGAGGAGTGAACACAATGGTTTGACTTCTGTGATGTTAATTGGGATGAAAAATATTAGATGACTCTTTATTTGAACGAGAAATATTAGATGACTCTTTATTTGAACGAGAGAAATTGCTTAATAAGAAATGCTAATTGCAGTACCGTAAAATTCACAAAATCCAACGATTGCAATAGCAAAGCTCTTCCTTTATAAGCATTTCTTTTCTTTTGGTGTATACAACATTAATCTTCCAAGAAATCATTAGGTGGATAGAAAGGCCCATGACAACTATGAGTCATAAATGAACGGTTTGGTTAATTACAACACTTGGGACCATTGAAATTCATCGCTAGAGGAGGGTTAATTGAGTTGACAAGAACCCATTAAAGCAATTCAAACTCGTTAATTTTATATCAGTGTCGTTCACGAGTTAGTCATAGAAGATATCATATTTTTACATATCGTACTAGAAATAGTGATATTATCTTATGGGTAGAACATTAATGATGTGATAGGCTTGACTCATCAAATATCTACTAGGCTTGACTCATCAAATATCTACTTGCATTTATGGTACTGACATGACGTGTATAGATATGAATCTATTATTCTACTCTCCCTTCTCTTCAAATGAAATAAAGCCATACGTAAACAGCGTTGAAAAAAGATGTATCACACCACCTACCATTCTTATTAAGGATAAGCCACTTTTAGATATTTTCTCCTGAAAGTGGATCACAAATATCTAACAAAAATATCATAACAACCATTCCGGTGCTATGTTTTGGGTTTTATATTTTTATATATAATACTCCGTGTATAAATTAATGCCCAAATCTGGCTCTTCATTTGTTGTGAATGAGGAATTGAAAAAATAGAGAGAGAGAGAGAGGATATATAGAAGAAAAGAGAAATGGAGTGTGGTAACTGTCAGAGGCCAAATCGGAGTGACATTCACTTGTCTAAGGAAGAAGAGGCAAAGCTAGAGGAGGAGACGAGAGACTACTTTGATGGGTTAGCCCCAAAACGCCACACTAAGCCTCAGCGCAGCGAGTACTCGTCTCATTACGTCGATGCTCTTTCAAATCCCAAATCTAACGCTCATGACGAACAAAATGGTATTCCAGAATTTGTTCAGTTTCAACGACTTGAAAATGATTCTCAGGTTTTCTTTTAACCCCTCTCTCTTACATTTTATTTACGTTTTGGCGATTTCCGCAGTCCACTTGAAACATTGTTTTTGAGAACAATAATTATTTATTCTTCCATCTGTTGCAGAAACTGATTTATAAGGGAACCGGAGTGACAGACGAATTCGTGGAAACAGAATATTACAAAGATCTTAATTGCATTGACAAGCAACACCACACGGTAATTCCTGATATATATATATATATATATATATATATATATATGTCACATTTTGGTCAGGGTCTTCAACTGCTTCAGCAAAGTTAATAACACGTTATTGTTATTTGCAACCAGTAATTTTATACCTACTAGTAAAAATTACATCCACCAGAAAGCAAGGCATATTTGCCTCCTGTTAGATAGTCCAATATATTCACAACACAAGTCTATATCTACATACAAGACCTTCCTATCATATACAAAATGGTGTATTGCTGTTTTGTCTAAAATACAATTTTCTTTTCATGTTTGCAGACAGGAACTGGGTTCATCAAAGTGGAGAACGTGAAAGAAACGAGCTTCAACATAGCTCCCGATTCCGCAACCGGCTGTCACACCACTTTCAAAGGGAACCCAGCAACTAACGACTGGATTCCAGCCACGGCTGATATGGTAGAATGCTCTCTTCGTTAGGCATAGGCATTAATCTTTTCTTGCAAGACCTCCAAACAAGTCTCACTTACACGATTGCTTTGTTTCAGGTGGATTTTGTTTCTGACAAGCCAAACAGAAGCGACAATTGAAATTGAGGCTGGGTGTGAGTCTTAATATTAGCAGCTGGATGTTGTATTTCCTCTCAAATTTTCAGTGTTCCACAAGTATGGTTGTATTAGTAATGTTCAAATTGGTACCATTTAAGTATGGTTGTATTAGAAACGCTATGTAATGTTCTATGATATCTAATGGTATTTTTCTTTTTCTTTTTCTTTTTTCCTGTCATTATATAGAAAAAGATCTAGATTTTAACCTAATGAGAATTATGGAAGAGCATTATAAGCAGCAGCTTATACACTAGCAGGACATACATGTAAAAAGAAGAATAATCTCTCTTCTTCTTGGAGATGCTGTGTGACCATTTGTTCACCATTTCTTTCTGCCCCGCAATCTCTATTATATCTTCTGGAAAAAATAACTGAAAATCACAATTCAAGTAGACATATAAACAGAACGACTGCTGCTATTAGATGCAAAAAATTTCAAAATTTGACCGACAATAATTCTCAACTCCTGTGGGTAAGAAGCATAATAAGACTAGCAGCTGAGACAAAAGCCTAATGCTTCACTTGCCTGCTTCTTGGCAGAGGAAGTACTAAAGAGATCGCAAAATGAAGTTTGGATACATGAAGCATAAGACTAAGCAGAGTCCATCCAACAGCATCTTTGTTCTAAATCTGAAAACTTGAATTCCCAGGTGAATTAATTGCAACAATTTGGAAGGTCAATTGGATTTATAATTTCACTTGGATCATGCGAGATGCGCGTTCAATTTGCAGAGGTGGTTAAAGAGATCAAATCTTCTACTGGCCATTCTATGGTTGGAGCAGTAGGAGCAGATTGGTTTATTATATAACTCCTGACACATCAGAAGTCACAATTTAGTTAGGAGAGACCAACACGCCGTGGCCTAACGGTATCAGAGGTTTGAGCCTAAGTGGAGGCATGTATGTGTGAGTACCAACTAAGAAAAAAAAAAAAAAATTAGGCAAGCGAATAAAACAAAATGGATACAAATTAGTGCTCAGTTGAGAAGACACACTTACCTCAGTAAATTATGAACTCCACCAGACCAAGACATTGGCAGATGGACATAAAATTGGATGGTGATTGGAGTAGTATTGGGCTTTGAGATCTAACAAGAATCAAATGTGAAGATCATAGCCGGTTCAGCTTCCACCAAAGGTATATATCATCTTCACAAAGACAGGCTACAGCTAGTCATTTTTCCTTGCATGCTTTGATGCTTACCTGTAACAGAACATAGAAGTAATCTAACTCATAATTACCCTGGCTAGATCTGTTATACACAGAAAGGCTCATAATATTATTATTATAGCTCATCAACAACTTCTACTTGAAGTAGTAAACAGATATCCCCTGATTAGGAAGGGGAAAAAAAAAGATCGGAATAATAAGCAACATATTCCACTTTACCGTTATAATTACCTCCTGTCTCAACCATAATACCAATTGTTGACGTGTTCTGTTGGTTTGAAATTGCTGTTAAAGAGTTCTCATTCCAAATATGGTAGATCGAATGCGGAGAGGAAGAAACTTACATGGTGTTGGTACAATGTGATTGTGCAAGAACCAATTCATAGCCCACATGCACCTGATTCTGAAGTTAAGAGACAAGGCAACATAACAAAAAAAAAAAAAAAAATGCTGCAAGGCAGCCAATTAAAGGCAATTAATCTGCAACTAATTCATGAAATACAAACATAAATCAATATTGAATACCATGCGAAATCGCACATTAGTGCTTGCCCAAAACTCTCGAAATAATTAGTTAATATGAAAGCATAGAGAATACTATACTATCTAACGAACAACAGTTGTAGGACTGGTGATGATACTTCACCTTCCAAAGTAGAAGGTCCAGGGTTGAGTCCCCATTGGGGAAAAGTGAGTGTGTGAGTTTCAAATAGGAAAAAAAAAATTGTCTCAACCCACTTAAATCAGGACTGTGACACCATAACCACAACCACAACCACAACCACAACCAAGGTTCCAGGTAGTGGTTGCAGGAATGCTATCTCAATTCTAAGTCAAAACATTAAGATTCCAATATCAGAGTGATAGATGAAACATCAACCTTTGTTATGCCAGTGAACCATCCATGAATCCTTTCAACTCTGTGTTGGTTACATTCTTAAAGATCGCAGATGCAAAGTGAGAAGTTCAATAGCAGTCACGATCAGCCCTATCAGATAGGAACTCAAGCAATCTTTGAGCGTTATCTTTTTGATTATTCTAGAAGATACGCATGAAACTGCAAAGATCTTTAGGAAAGAGACAAATCCCACAATTGATCCAACGGCTCCTCCAGCAATGCATGTTTCCAATGTAAAATTCTGAACAAGAGATATGTATTGCATGGCAAACGATGAACTCTAAGCATAACTACATTTCTTCTCTTGAGGCAATAACGAGATCCTACTCCAAAGGGACACCATGAGATGAATGAACAAATGATTAGGCATTAGACTCGGTGTGAATTCAGTTGACCACACGAGGAAATCCAACACCACCAACAGGATGGTCTTTAATAAAACTGAGCAAATTCCTCCCAGATTTGACATGATCTAAAATCCAACAAGAACCACTTGCATGTGCTTCAGAAATACCCTGTCCTCCACACGGCTCTGATGATATAGTTCTTTTAAGAAATAGGTTCATCAGTTCATGCGACGTTGAGAGGAAAATATTGCACCTAATCATGGGTGATCTATTGTCTCCAAGAATTTGAGATCCGTGTACTTGCTTGCTTTGGTTGACAATCAGATAATCATTCGGGTCAAATCACAATTGAGATCAACCGGGAAGCATAAGAACCAATTATATTTTTAAGAGAGCAGCACAAGTGTTCCAGATATTAATATTTTCCTTTAGAAGCTTCATAGCCAATTCATATGTCCGGGATGCTAATCTCAAATCTCATGATGATAAAGATGAGTAACATATTTCTTTGATTCTTTCAGCGCCTTGCAAATATGATCTTTAACTCCCAAAACAATTGATTCAAGAGTCTGTTTAGTTGTGGGGTTTGGTAATTTCTGCATTAAAAGATTTCAACATAGGCAGTCATGTCTTTTACAAACTTCTTCAACCCTTCTTTTAGGCCACCTTAAAAATATCACCGAAGTAATGAGAAGTAAGATTCAAATTCAATAACACACAATGAATTTTTCTATGCAATGAAATAAGTTCTCTTAATGACTTAACCACTAGATGTAAGTGATGGAATTTAAAATAGAATTGGAAAAGCAAGACTGTGATGAAAGAAGCCAATCTGGAAGCTCAATCATTACAGTAATAAGAATCATTACTTGTTTAAACTCTGCAAGTCTATAAGATATACAAGAACACTAGGATAAAAATTTTATTCATAAAATGAAAACTAGCAAAAGCAATCAGAAAACTATTATCATGGCAAACAAATGATGGCAAATGTATCAAATCGACCAATCCTATTGATTAAGACAATTGTGGGGATTTAACTAATTTATAATTTCTATACTAAAGTTAATAACTCAGAGGATAAAATTTTACGAATATAAAAAAATAATAATAGTATATGATATCACTCTAAAAGAATTTTGAATATAAAAAGAATTATATTATATATGATATTACTCTCTTATTTTGCCACTACGGTTATGTTTTTATTCATTACATACTGTGACGTGCTCAATGTCAACTTTTTAAAGAAGAGAGGTTGAGCACTTTGATGTATATTCATAACGTCGTTTCTAGGATAAACAAGTCTTTGTCTGATAGTGTGGAATGTGTTGATTGAGTGTCCATAATGTGTTAAGCAAGTGCCCAAGATGTGTCAGCCAAGAGTCCAAAATTATAAAAAATATTTTTAAATTATGGACATGGCCGTGTGAGGAATCGGGCACATGTCTAGGTGTGTCTATGAAGTGTCGTGTCCAACACAAATACAACACCTTCGCAGAAGTTCAGGTTTGACCTTCTAACCTTTTATAACTCATAATTTACAAGCTTACAGGAATAGTCAAAAGGAAAGTCACAACTGTTCATGGATAGAAATTGCTGGATCTGTAAAATTAAACAACATAATTGAATCTTCCAACAATGTCATCCAACACCATGACATGTCTCCTAAAAATATTAAGCCATTGTTACTACACGAGGCAATTGGGTAGCAATTCGAAACAAGTCAAAACCTCAGAAACACACGCTTTTAGTTTTATTGAGAGCACCACACGTTATTAATGATGACAGAGCAGGCCTAATACTAAAGATGTCGTGAAACATGTGTAAGAAGAGGACTATTGTAAATATGTTGACAATTGACACAAGGATAAATCATTGTTTACTTCATTAAAACAAGTGCACGAGGAAACCTTAATTTTCATTCAGAGCATGAGAGAGGTTCAATTTATGCTCACAAAGAGTGGTGTACTTTAATTTCTTTTAGATACATCTTACCACCAAAATTTAACATAATGAAGCTACTAGTCCACCTTATCTTTTAGAAAGTTAAATCCAGAATCAGGGGAAATAAGTAAGAGGGAAGCTATTGCCTGGAATTTAGGGTGGGAGTATGGTAGGACAAAAAGGGAACTTTTTGAATGAAGCCAAACAGCAGTATAAAGCAAGCCGGATTGCTCAGGGAACTTTTTGAATGAAGCCATAGAACATTCATCTTTTAGTAGTACCCTTAGCTTTTACTTTAAGAAAAAGAAAAGCATAATTGACATATATTCAAGAGATATTTGTGAAGTCGACTTCAATAACATTCTATTGTCTAACATGCCTCTTAGCCTTCATATATTAGAAGTAACGTGGAAAGCCAGTATACAAGCAAGTTGAATTATGAGGGAAAAAAATCAGCAATTATTCTTACTGTTGATAGGTAAATATACTCGTACTAATGCCCCCACTATGGCTTGAACATGGAACCTCTCCTTTGAAGAGGTGGAGAAACATACCACTCAAGCCAAGGCTTTAGTGGTTTAATTCAGAGATTATACGTTTGAATAATAGAATAACTTTGCATATGAAGTACATAAATTAAAGATTTGTACAGATACAAGCAGGTATGTAAAAACACACTTTCAAAGTTCACTTTTATCTATGTGAATACTTGCACTACATATTCAACTGAGAAAATTGAACTAGAAGTGGACATACAATTTCTTGTAAAAAGCAACTGATAGAGAAAATAATACCTGACAAGGAATAAACACTTGGACCCCAACTAATGCCGATATGAGGAGCTTGAAATTGTGAAATTTGTATTTGACAAAAGTGCCTTCCAAAACTATTGTATCTGCAATTAGTTTTTAGTAAAACATAATCAGAACCATCAAGAAAATCAGTGTGGTGGAAGATCCATGTCAAAAAGAAAACGAACAAAAAAAAACCTGTAAAATGCTAAACGATTATATATAGAATGCCTATTAAGTAACTTTTTTTTTTTTTTTGATAAGTACCTATCAAGTAACTTATAATAATGATTTTCCCTTATATAATATCCACACAATTGAAATTGAATAATGATCTTTCTTGCAGAAAAAATAAATTGCAAAAACTTTTCCGGAAAGCAATTCATAGTGCCCACCAGGAATAGCAAAGCTTGTGGAATCAACTTGGTTGATCCCTATCCCTCTGAACTTGTATTTCTCCTCTATATTGCATTTACAGACCGACAAAACTAAGGCAGGTATCATGAATATTCTGACTTAAGGTAGAAAAGTGTCTATATATATATATATATATATTTAAAAAAAAAAAAAAAAACAAACAAAAGGACAACATAAAGAAATACCCCCTTCAGAGCCTTCCTTTCTGATCTGGATAACAGATGTAAGATTGTGCCCATTGGAAATAGTAAAGGTTGTGGAATCAACTTGGTTGCTCCCTATCTCTCTGGACTTACATTTTCCCTCCATTTTGCATTTGTACAGTCCGTTAAAACTAAGGCAGGTATCATATGAATTTTCTGACTTTAAGGTAGAGAGGTATTTGAAAGAAAAAAAAAAAAAGGCAACACAGATAATTACCCTCTTCAGAGACTTCCTTTCTGATGCTGCCTATTGATTCCAAGTAGCTTTGGTATTAGCATAGCATGAAAACTGCACTATCACTATGCTCGTATTCAAATCCATGTGCTGGTTACAAATATTAACCTAGGTTGTGGTTTGGTACATCCATAGGTAACAGGATTGATATGGAACTTGTCTTTCATAATTACACTATACGGCAGGAGAGGGGAAAAATCGCATTCCTAAGCTTTTGAAAAATCTAATTATGCCTAGGGAATTTCCATTAATGATCAAATGTAGATAAAATATTCTGATTATCTGATTTGTGGTAATGAAGTCTAAAATTCTGAAAAAGTGGGGGCTGAGTGGGACGGATCACTATTTATCCTAGATCGTCGCTGTCCTTATGTTGATTTTTGAGAACACTGAAATTAGCTTAAATTGAAAACACACAATTTCAAACCTTACTATCCAAATCCCGACTATAATGGTTACAAGTATTAATATTTAACCTAGGTCATCGTTTGGAAAATCTATAGGCATAGGAAATTGACGATTTGATCCAGAGCTAATCTTTATATTTAAACTAAAAAAAGGAAGCTAAACAATTAGTAGCCTTGGGACTTGTAATCTATATCAGCAACTTTATAAGCAAGAAGTTCCAAAGGGACATTTTTTATTTCTTTATAGGACCTTTCTTTTCTGAAGGTATTCCAAGCCTTAGGTCCTTATGTCTATTTACTACTTTGCAATTTGAGTAAAACTAGAAGTAATATAGAGGGTAAATGATGAAAATCGGTAGTGGTATGCCAAAGAGTCACAATTTCCGCTAACTTTTATCTATAATACTCTAGCAATCTAGAGTATTGTGAAAAGTTCTACACTGACTGACTTGATGGAAAAGTTCTATAAGGCAGTTACAAGCAAGATTTGAAGACGTGCACACGATTGTAGTGAAACTTTTTTAATTTCCACTAACTGAGGCTCCGGTCATGGTCGTGAAACTTTTTTACGATACATACCTTGGCCCAGAATACAATGATATGCAACTTTTAACAACACACTCCAAAAAATGTTGGGTTTTGATAGTTTTTAGTTTATTTTGCTGAAAACTTAAAGGTGATTTAATATGAGTAAAATCCTATACATTGAATTTTAAGTTGTTATCTGCTGTGAAAGCTTGCTAATTTGTAATTTTCACTTATTTATGGCCATAAATACACTAATATATAAAAAGTTACCAAATAAAACATGTTAAAACAACATTCTAGAAGCGCTTTATACGAAAGAAATGAAATCCACATATTACATAAACAAAGTAAAGTTTGTCATACAAGTGAAAAAAAAAAAATAATAATTCAAAAATTAATTGAAGAACGGACTAATTACTTCAAGGGTCAGAAGGCTTTGACTCAAGATTTAGGCCTAAATCTTGTGAATGTTGAGTTTTAATGGCTAGACGTAAGTTTCACCCTGTGTTTGGAGGAATGTGTGTTTGCTACAAGAAGAAGAAAAATTGAAAAAGAAGGGTGAAAAGAGATTTTTGAACCCATGGTTATGCACTATTAGCACAAAGTTGTATTGACAAATACAATGCTATGTTGATCGTTATGTAATGTCAACTCTACCATAGTGGTTAAAATTGTGATCTAGAGAGTAGGATCATACACAATTCCAAGTTGACAAATTTATTGGAATCACATTAAATATTGATTGAAGGCAGGATCACAATAGGATCACAGAATCATATAGGACTGTACGTCCCACTAATCGCCAACAGCCCATTCTAGATAAAGAAATAGGATAAAACCTAACTCTTTTAGCCTAATTGCAATTAAAAAATATAAAAGAACAAAAATATTTTTAAGAGTACAAAATCAGATTCTAGGGCTCCAAAGGTTACTTTCTGTGTGCCTTTTGAAACAGTAATTTGGCATTTCGGCAACTTCCGGTGACTCCGCTTACATCCGATGAGGTCCAACTACGTCCAGAGAGCTCCAACGAAACTTCTAATTGCATTAATATTAAGAGGTTATTAGCTCAGCTTGCGCAGTGGACTGCTGACTTGCAGGCCACAAGATATGGACTTCCAATGGACATGAGCCAACTATGGTGATTAGTGGGATATATGAACTTATGGTGCAATTTCTAGTTTCTAATTTGGGATTGTGGATCAAATTGAACTCCCATATTCCCAATTCTTTTTATGTTTACTTTATGGTGTGAGAGCCCTCTTGAGCTACACTTTCCAACCCCTTAGATGCATGTTTGTAGTAGTATTTTTATATGTTTATTATTTATTTTAAAAAGATACTTGTTTACGAGCTAATTAGTTAGAATTTACGATCCTCGATCCAATCCTATAGATCCCTCCATTTATTGTACATGGAATCCCGAGCCTAACAGCCTTGAACTCTACGTAGTTAAAAAAACCTTGGTTACAAGACCAGCTATGCTTTAGAATCCATAATGTTGGATAGTAAAGAGATAGTGTGTTAGAAATGATGTAGCCAAAGAGAAAAAAAAAAAATTTGAGATGGATGAGTGAGAATCCAACAAAAGCTTAAACAAGAAAGACGTCTTTTGTGAAAAAATATTGAAGATTATATGAGGAAAATATTTAAAATGGTTTAGCTACGTGCATCATAGACCAATATGATTCAATTGAAGATAACAAAAAGACAAGAGTAAGAAAAAATGTGGGTACTATAAAGGACGTGATTATGCTAGATTTAATCGAGCCATCAATTACATAAATGAATTGGGGAAGAAGGATTCACATTACCAACAACAAGTGCTTGTTTAAGGATTGTGCATATATGTTTGTCAATCGTGTGTATACAACTAGGCATTTGTGATTGTTATAAGATGGCAAGTTGCCGGCATTCCAATTATAGGCAATAGCATCCTTCCTTTTTAGCAATGCGTTGATCAATTTTGTCATTAAGAAAGCATGTTGGTAAACTTTATATAACTCATTTAATTTGGATTTCTTAAATATACATTAAAATTGTTTCCAAACAGATTTAGTGTCTATAGAACGACAAAAATCTTCTACATACAAAAATGCTTCTATGCAAATTATTCAATAATGACTCGCATCCTATACGACAAAGCCTTATATCAGAACTACTTGGGTTTGCTCCACAAAACAATTTCCACCGTTAATCCAACAAACAATACGCAATGACCAAAACAATCCTTAGCCCTTACTCATGCACGCAATGGACTTTGTCATACGCAACCACATGGCCAAACCTTTATAAACAGCCTTTTGCCATCACATCATCATCTTTTGTAGTCAATAGATTATTATGGAAGCATTGTTTTCTTGTTCTATCTCTTCAGTTCAGTACCAAAATATTTAATATCAGTTTCCAGAAAAATATCGATTTATCATTATGTAAAGTACCAAAATTGGATTGATTAATACCACTTTCATTGTCATTGTCATTGTCTCTACACTATAAAGTGAAAAGAGTTCATACAATACTATATACCAAGGGAGACTTAATTCCCTGACAAATTTTGGTACACATACTCCATTATGTACCATACAGTTCTAAGAAGATTTCAGAATATTAAACTCATTACGTCAATATCTTTAAACAAATGGATAGTAAGATCAATAGCATTAAGTAATAACATAAACAAATGGATAGTAAGATCAATAGCATTAAGTAATGGTTCTTACTCCCTTATCAATAGTGAAACAAGATCTTTTTAAAAGTAAGATCTAATTATTCAAATGAAGGTAGACAAATGAGTTGTTAAGATGGATCAATAGATGAAAAAATAGACCTAAAATCAATATATTCTTAGATTAATGGAGAACAAGATAAGGAAAGTATTCTGATTGAAGTTAGAGAAGCCAAAGAGATAAGGAGAAGGCAAAAAGAACTATAGTCGATACAAAGTGATTGCAATAAATATTTTGGAGTCGGGAAGAGAATGGGTGTGGTTTCAAGTTTAGTTGTTCTTATAATTTTAGATTTTGATGGATTATTCGGAATATCAACTAAAGCATATAAGTTCAAACTATGGTATACAAGTGGTTTAGTGGTGTGATATAGAATGGTCAACAAGAGAACTTTCATGCTAGACAAGTAGGCAATGAAACTAACTGATTGATGAAGTGATTGTGTTATTCAATCAACGTTGTATGGACATTGCCATGACTTATATTCTCTAACTCAACAAAGCATTTTTTTTCAGCTACCACATTAAGGCCAACAAATCCTAAAAAATGGTTATGGACACGGTAAGAAGACATGAACGAATAAAA